GGCAGGCAAAGGGTACAATTTAAGGTCCCACTTAGCCAGCAAAAAGAGCGATTTAATTTAACAACCACAGCTAAATTTTGACTAAGCTTTTACGATTAGAGGAAGAGATGCAGTGTGGTTTCGAGTTGAAATCTTGAGTACGAAAATTAGTATATTAAAAAAGTCGTTCCCTGTATAAATTTTGTAATATTCGAACTAAACGTAATCGAGTCCAGTAGATTTTCAGATGCCGGTGATTATATTAAAAAAAAAGAGATGCAGTCCCGTGATAATATTCCTATTATTACTAAATGATTTATTATTATTATTATTATTATTATTATTATTATATATAGCTATAATATTGCAGGGACATTTTATAATATGGTATTAGCTACCTGCTTTATACGTTAAAATATAATTTGGTGGCAAGTCCACCAGTAGATGACCTCAAGTAACCTCACAAGTCCTTGGAGAACCTTTACTTTTGAAGTTTGAAACTTGAATTTTCTGCAGTTCTGGGATTTTTCTGGCCAAGAATACTAACGAGCAAACATCAAGGAGCTAACACATAAATATTTTTTCCCCATTTTCAGTATATTCTATCCAATATCAATCCAAAAAATCAGTGTGTGGAGTCTGAAATGTTTTTCAGTAGAGTCATTAAATTAATATAATTTTTTAGTGGGGTTAGATTAAAAACTCCAAAAAGTTTTTACACAACATGTAATTTTTAAATTTTTTTTATCAATTTAAACCTATATTATAAATATAATTTTTCAACTTGAGTGGGATCAAGGAAACCGACTATAATTGCTCAATGCGATGAATACAGGCACTTTTAGGAAATTCGCACAGGTGATTAAGCATTTGAATGTTCTAAGTGTAAAATTATAAAAAACCAACACTTTCATTTCAAATGACTTGCTAGCCAAAAGGAAATTTATAGAATTTGGATTTAAAAAAAAAAAAAAAAAATTGAAATGTTCCTAAGTGTAAAATTATAAAAAAAACCAACACTTTTCATTTCAAATGACTTGCCTAGCCAAAAAGGAAATTTTTTTATAAGAAATTGGATTTTAAAAAAAAAAACAAAAAACTCAATCTAGAAAAGTGCAAATGTAGGGAAATATGGATTTAAAAAAAAAAAAATCATTCATTAATGAAATTTGAAGATATTTATAAAATACCTTTTAGCTATGGCCAATCCAAAAGAATTTTTAATTTAATATATTATATATATATATACGTATAATTATATATATATGAATACTATTATATAATTATTATAAATTAATCTATAAATATATATATATATAAATAATTATTTAAATTATCTATAATCTATACTATATATAAATGTGGAAATATGAAGGGATAATATGATTTCTAATATCGTCCTTAATAAAATTTGAAATATTTAAAATATTCTTAGTTATAGTCTATTAAAAAAATACATTTTATTAATTAATTGGATATAATTTATAAAAATTATTTTTTAAATAAATACATATAGATAATTAAGAATTTCAAAATTTTAACTTTATCCTTTTTTAAATTTAATTTTAACAAATATATATGATGATGAGACATCCGAATTTAAATATTTTGATTTTATTTTGATTATAATTTAAAATACTTTATTCAAGGGAGAGATAAAAAGAGAAAAAAGCATATTATTTTTTGTTTATATTTGTATAATTTGATTGGATATGTTTTTTAAAACATAAATTTTCAAATAAAATATACATAACATTTTATGTAGGAGCTTTCTGTTACTTCGAAAGTAGCTGCTTCAGCTTCAACCACTCGAATTTTCGATATTCCTTTTTATTTCTCATCAAACGAATGGCTGGTTGTAGGGAAAATTGAGGATTTATTTAGCGAGGATAAAAGGTTTGTTCTATATTATCTCTTTTTTTTTTTTTTTTCTTTTTTTTTTTTTTTTTTTTGAAAGAAAATATTTCTCTTTTTTTAAATTAGTTAACATATAAATAATTAAGGAAATTTTAAAAATTTTTAAGTTTTATATTTTTTTTAATTTTTTAATTTTTTTAAATTTTTTTTTTTTTTTTGAAAGGAAAATATTCTCTTTTTATTAGTTAACATATAAATAATTAAGAATTTTAAAATTTTAAGTTTTATATTTTTTAATTTTATTTTTAATAAATATATGTGTTAATTAGATATTTTAAAAATTTTTATATTTTTAAATATTTGATTTTATTTTTAAATATTTGATTTAGAAAATATATAGTTGGTATTTTTTTTTTCCCGTTGCTCTTTGTAAGAATTTTGATTAGTTATGCAAATTGAAGAGCTATGAATTTCATTAATGCAAGTGTATCTGATCTCTTGCAAAGTTGATGACTTAGTAATCTTTAATTTGTTTAAAAAAATTTTTTCTTTAATTTTTTATATTATAAATTTGTTATTGTTTGTGATCCTATGTTTGAATTCGACACTTTCAATATTAGAGATAGACTCTAATGTTATGTTTGTGATCCTACTTTTTTTTTTTTCTACTTTTTATATATGCATTTTATCTCTTCTGCTATCCCTTTTTTTTTTTTTTTCTAAATTCAATAAATTTCTCTTTTGATTAGTTCTAGATTTTACTCAATAATAATAATAATAAACTATTAGATGATTTTTTTAGTATAAAGGGAAGCTAAAGCTCAAAGGAAATTAATTAAAAATACTAAGGGAATTATAGTTATAATTAATTTAGAAATTTTAACTCAATTAAGAATTCTATTAAATTATTACTTTAGAATTATAATTCAATTAGGAATTTTAATTCAATTAGATCTCCTATTAACTTACCACTTTATTATAGCCATAACTAATGTTTGATGCCTCTACAACTGTTTTTTATTGCTTCGGTATTTATTATTTTGCTCTTTTTGGTACTAATTTTATATTAATTTTGAATTAATATTATTATCAATATTACTGCAATAAATTAATTAATAATATTTTACTAGTTAATAGATTGTTATTGTTGCTTTGTCTCCATATTTGGAGTTCTTTTGTCCCTTCTTCCGTAATTATTTAGTTCCTTCTTTATGAAGGTTTGTTCTTAAAATATATGATATTTTATTTTATTTTGTTAGAGAATTTAGATATTATTTTACTGATGTGTATCTTCGATCAATAGAGTCTGGTACTGCAGCCTGTTCCTTTATTCATACTATTAACGCATAGTGGCTTGAACTCATCTGTATACGTCAGACACAACAAGTTTTTGGAAAGGCAATCCAAGTATAGAAGAACCAGAGAAGTTATTTTATCGTCTAAATCAATTAAAAGACCAGTAGCAACATGAAGAGTTATATTGGTCAAGTTATCTTCAAGCAGAAAAATTCAATATTTTTTTTTAGTTTTAATTTTATTATTCAAAAGAATATAGATAATTCATTTGTTGTTGAAAGATCAATGAACTTTCTATTAATTATGATAGTAAGTTTTACGTCTTATCTAATTGAGTATTTATAATACTTGATTTTATTATCAATGAATCAAATTTCTCAAAAAAAAAAAAAATGTTAATAGATTAGTATTATCTTAGTACTTATTATCCTCAAAGTAAATGAAAAAATTTATTATTTTACTGTAAAGGACTTATATTTGAAATCAATTAGAAATTCAGATGGAAAAAAAAAATTATTTTTTCCTAATTAGGACGGAGAAATATTTTTATTCAATAAGTAATTAAATAATATTATAATACACAATAATATTCAATACTTGATTCAATAAGTAATTTATTATAATTGTGAAGGAGGATTTATAATATTATAATACACAAAAAATAATAAATAGTTATATATAAGAAATTAAATAATGAGTAATAAAAAACGAGTACTGATGATGTACAACACACGTTGTAGAGAATTTATGAATATATAAATAGATAATTATAAATTTCAAGTTGTTGGATTTTAGATTTTTTTTGTTAATTTTTTTTAAATTTTATTTATTATAAATTAATAACTAATCTGTAAATACATAATTGCAATTTTTAAATTTTTTAGAATTTTTTTTTTTTGTTAATTTTTTTATAAATTTTTATTATTATACAATTAATAAACTAATTCTGTAAATACCATAATTGCACAATTCTTTAAATTTTTTGAAATACAGTCCACAAATATATCATATATATATATATATATATATATATATATATATATATATATATAATATATAATAATTAAGTTTATATAATCTAAATCTTATTTTTAATTTAATTTATTTATTTTGAATCATCCAAAAAAATTTTATTTAATTATAAAATTAAAATGGCAAAATTGAATATAAATAGATTATTAAATATTGCCTTTTATAATATAATATCTCCGTTTTTATTTATTCATGCCGCTTATTCCTCTTTGAATTGCCGTGAAAAATGAAATGAAACGAAAAATCCCAATTTATTAATAGTTTAACTTTATTTCCTAATTCAAATGCTTTTTTTTTAAACTGAAAATCTTAGATGTTAATGAAAATTTAATTTTATAATTAAATAATATTTTTTTAATTTTATCATCTACATTATTTTTATTAAATATATTTAAACTTTTTTAATATCATGCCTATCAATATAAAAATAGTTTTAAAATAATATTATTTCACTTAAGAATATGAGTAATTTACTGTAAATAGAGGACGAAATTTTTTAATTTAAAATTATTCACCACCAAAATCATATTTATACATTATAAAAAATCTAAAAAAACATAAAAGAAAAATTAAAATAATTATACTTTAATATTTGTATAAAATTAAATTAATATGAAAAATATAAACAATAAAGTAAAAATAATGAATTAATAACACCACGTGAAAATGCATATCTAAAAAACATAAAAGAAAAATTATAATTATACTTAATATTGTATAAAAATAAATTAATGAATATAAACAATAAGTAAAAAATAATGATTAATAACAACGTGAAATGCATCTTATAAAAAAAAAACTAGTCTAGCTCAAAACATCTAAACAAAACTCAACGGTTAGGATTATAAACATACTTGTTCGCCATAATAATATAAATTATCATAAAATTTTCAAGCCATTGTCATTTAATACAAAAATATAAATGATAAATAACCACACATAAGTTATTATTAAAAGTAATAATTTTCAATCATGGAAACTGATTTAACTTATCCGAATTTTTCACTGAAGCAGACAGAAGTCAACAGAAGCATACGGGCGTCTCTTCTCCGGCAATTTGTCCCCTGTGGTGGCATACCAATGAGGGGCCAAATTCAAGTAACTCCACGTCAAAAACAGCATAATTTTTCATCTGCACAACACCGATAATAGTTTGACCTTATTCAATTCAAAAGAAAAGGAAATTGAAAAAAAAAAAAAAAGAACAATCATATTATGTCAATTGTTGTTATTTTTACAAACTCAAAATCATATAGTTTTATGGAATTTTTTAAGTTATTTTTCATTTTGTAAAAAGTATTACTGTCGGCTATATATATAGAAATTTGATTACTAGAGGCCAAGTCAAGCTCTTTCATTTTACCTTGGAGAGAATTGAATAACTGTCTTTTTGATCCTTCTGAAATTGAAAATAATGGAAATGTGTAGTTAATTAATAATAAATAAGTCTGTCGGAAAAAAATAAAATAAACAAGAAATCTTTTTTTTTTTTCTATTTAATATTTAAGCGCATCCTAATCCAGAAAATAGATGTATACTGACTTTTGAGACAGGGACAATAATCCTTCTTATTCCTCCTTTTTTCATCCCTTGAATTCCTTCCACAAATCCTACAGTAATTCCCATAAACAAAGAAGGATCTGAAATTAATTGACAATTCTTTCTTTTTGCCAGTTTACTCCAAGTTAATATATATATATATTACTTACCTTCACCAAAACTATGCGAGCACAGGTGCACTTCTGCAGCAGAATAATCTGAATTTGAATTTGCTTTGCTGCTTCGATGAAGTTCTTTGGATTCATAATACAGATTAAACTTGAACTTAACCTGCAAAATACCCCAAGAGTAGATATAATAATATATTTTGAACAGAAACGGGAAGAGAGTATCGTTGGAGATCGCAGACTAAGGATGATGAGCATTTTGCTTTGAGTTTTTTTCAAGTTTGTCGCAGGGAACTGGATGCTTGGTTTTCAAGCTGGGTTAGGCTCTTGTAATGCTCTTGAAGCTGATAGTCTATGCACTTCAAATTGCCTGGGATTACGGTTGGCATCGACTCATGGTGCAGGTAGATTCTCAACTTGCTTATGGATTGATTTTAGGAGGTGGTTAGGCTGCGTTATGAGTCAAAAATTTGGTGGAGAAATGCAATGAGATTTTGAAGAGGGAATTGGTGGTTTTTGTGCTCAAGATTTAAAATAAGGTGAATGGGGTTGCTGATTCTCAGCTGTCTGGAGTTTAAGTGTTTCAAGATTAGCCTTTTGGTGTTCAGCAGCTTTTAGATGCAGATTTATTTGGGCATTTGGCGTCGTGTTATTTCTTATAACCATGTGGTGTTCAGCAGCTTTTAGATGCAGTTGAAAAAAAATACTAGTAAAAATATACTAAAATGAGACTCAAGAATATATGCATTTAAAATACTCAAATGAATACCAAAATCATGTTGCGTTCAAATTAATCAATTATGTTACTATTAAAACATAGTTACGTTAGAACATAATATATATTTAAAAAGAAATTGTAATATATGAAATTGTAATAATATTACTAAAAATAATATATAAAATGCCACATTATTTTAGATGGAATTTCCTTTTATCCATTCTGTCAAAAATAAAAACAAATACTAGATCATACCTTTAATTTCGTAATACCATGGTTTGGAAGAGCATTATGACTATGTGCAGGAACGAAAGCATCAAGGTATTTAACATCTGACCTTGGAACATTTGTGTAGTGATCACGAATATATTCTTCTTTCGGTTTTCCTGTTTTTAAGAGAATGTATTAGTTAGATCTTACTGAAAAAAGCCAATTGAAACATTAAAATAAAAAATCTTTCTAGTAAGCTAAGCTAAGGGAATGACTATCCTATTTTATATAATCTATAATTTTATTTCGATCCATTGAGTCTCTTAATATATAATAACTAAAAAAGAAAATACTCTGCAAGTCTAAGAGTGCACTCCAAAAAGTAAATAATATTTTCGAATATTTACAATCCTAGCTATATAGTTTGTATAATTCCTATTCTAGCTCTATAATATTTACATGAGCTTCATGGTCGGCTACTTTGTTTGGGCCTGATTTTTAAATTGGCTGCAAGAGATTCTTACGATTTTATAATTTTACGACTAATAGATACCAAATAGAGTTAAACATATATAAACTCTAAATCTGATCAAAATCTACTTTTAGTAGTAAAATTATAAAATTGATATGATTTTACAAATTTATGATAAAAAATTGGTAATTTTACAATTTTAGAAATTTATATTTTTGGATTTGTCTAGTGACAGAGCCAGAGGGCTGGGGGCTATACCAGCTTTCTATAAAATTTGTGATGTGCTTGTCATTTGTTATCAATTCATTAGCTTAATGGTATTGATGTTGTTGCTTAGGTGTGAACTTGAGATCAAACTATGCTGACTGCATTCTTTTGTTTTTTACATAATTTTAACTAGTTATTTTAATTCGTTTTTACATATAAAATTAGTTATTTTAATTAATTTTTTACATAGTTCGAAATGGTGGTGATGCATATATATATATATATATATATACACACGCATGCTTTTAATTATTATTTTTTACAATGAGTACTAGATGATCTACATGATTTAAGATAGTAAAATCAATTTATTAAAAAATAAAAAGAAGAAGAAGAAGAAGAACATTGAATTTACACAAACCTTCATAAAATGGAAATTCCCCAAATAAATTATGAGAATCCAAGGAGGGAGCATCTGCATCAGTCATAGCATTATCTAAGAAACATCAGCACAACCAAGTCCAACAGTCTGAATTATCATTATAGTTACAAATTCTAAATTATCCTAATAGTAATTTTAATCAAAATCTTTATTACTGTATTAACTGGGCAAACTAATTACCGGTTAATCTTTCAAATTCTTTCTGGGAAGATATATCCAAGAGGAGCATCTGCATCAGTCCATAGCATTTATTATCCCTAAGAAAACATCAAGGCACAACCAATCCAACAGTCTGAAATTTCCATTATAAGTTATCAAAATTTAAATTAAATCCCAATAGTAATTTTATCAAAATCCTTTTATTACTGTAATTAACTGGCAAACTACAAATTACGCGGTTTAATCTTTCAAATTCTTTCTGGAAGATTATATATATCTATCCATATAATATATACTATATATATATAATATCATATATATATATTATATATATATATATGTGTGTGTTTGTGTTGTGTGTGTGTGTGTGTGGTGTGTGTGTGTGCTGGTGTGGTGGGTGTGTGTGGAATGATAAAATTCTTGTAAAAAATCAACTAAAAAATTTATTTCAATGTTTTTTTTTTTTTTTTTTTTTACTGGGCAAACTAATTACCGGTTAATCTTTTAAATTCTTTTTGGGAATATATATGTGTGTGTGCGCGTGTGAATGATATTCTTGTAAAAAATCAACTAAAATTTAATTCTCATGTTTTTCCAGTTTTGTCAGGTAATTCCAGTGCAAGGGGGGAAATTTGAACACCTGTGATAGTATTGGTATGTAATGTTTCAGTTTATTTAGGCAGAAATCAAGAATTCTAAAGAGTTGAGAAGCTTGCTATTGAGCAAAGAGGAGCATTGATTTTCTTTTTTTCAACCATCTAGTGTCCGAAATTCATTGACTCGACTAATTTGGATTCGCGCCGGGCAGACCCATAAATATGAGCAAAGCGCACCCTCCCGAGTATTTAAAGGCTCGAACTCGAGACATCCGGTTAAAAGAGAAGGATCCCTCCATCCATTTAATAGGTGATTATAATATATATATATATATATATATATATAGCTGAGAACCTGGGGATGGGCAAACTTGAAGCAGCTCCACATCTAGAACTGCATAATCCTGCACCTAAGAAACAAAAGTAATTAAAATGAATGGTATAACTTTAAATAATCAATTAATAATATCAGATAAAGACAATTTGTATCGGAGAATAGAAGAACTTAGAACAGTAAGTTTTGGCTTGTTGACATTGATGAAGTGGTTTCTGCACTTGAATCCAAATAGAGTTTAATTTAAAAAAAAAAAATATTGGAATTTTGAATTAGATAATGACTTGTAATACGGTTAGTCCTCCATCTGGAGGAAAAATGATCCTTCTTATCCCTCCTGCTTTCATGCCTAGAATTCCTTCAACAAATCCTGCATTAATCAATTAAATTTAATTACTATTTTTTGTGATGGTAATGTCTAATTTGGCCATTAACTTTAACTCTGCAAAAGAAAAAAGAAATAAGGATCTCTTCTCACCTGGACCAAACTCATAGCGGTACAGGTCTTGTGTTACAGGAAGACGTCTAGAATCTGATTTATTAGTTTGGACAAGTTTTTGAATTTTATTATAGAGATCATAGTTGAATTTAATCTGGAAAAGAAACCCAAAACAAGTTTAAATGTTGGTTCACAGCTACAGAAAGATTAAGAAATAAAATGGGGATAATATGAACACAATCCCATACTTGCAGCTTATGAGCATTCACCATCTCAACGCTATCACCACTGCCAGATTGTTTGTCTTTGTACTTAACCTCCTTCAATCTCAATCGTTTCCGTAAGTTTCCTGTATGACAGAATGCCGCAGTGAGAAAGAAAGAATAAATAAATGAATATGGAGCCAATAATTAAAATAACTCGCACTACCCACCTTCAGGATCAAATGGGAAATTACCAAATGAACAGTTATCCAAAGATTTATGAGGTTTTTTAAACAAATTTAAAAACCACGAGAATAAGCAATTATCCTCCTTTACCCTCTCATCATCTGTAGGATCTGAAAGCAATAGTTGTGTGTCCTCAGAGAATACTGCCATCCTTCAATAAGCTTTGAAATTCTCTGCTACAGTCTGATTAGAGAAGACGAAATTAATTTTCCGGTAGCTGTAGTACAATCCAATTATATTTCAGCACTTTATATTACCGACATGTGCTACCTAACACCCCTCAATAATTCAAGCTCAATGAGCCAATGAAGTTACAAATGCATAATTAGAAAATGTAGCAGCTATGCAATTATTCAATTAGTCTCACATCAAATGTAATTAGGAGTCTTTTTTTAGTTTTGTTTGGTGTCATTTGTCATCTTAATTAAAGGACACAGACTTATTATGTTTTGATTTGACTTTGGCTTCCATTTAGCAAAAGATGAATCACTGTGATGATTTTAGGATAGGGTTTTTGATGGACGGTTATGATTAAATATGAAGTGTTCATGGTTTTTGATGGTGTAGTCACCATATTCAATTTTTAAAAAAAATTTATTTTATAACTAATAATTAATTATTTTATTATTTAATAAAATAATAAAATTCACAATTTTTAAAAAAAATTTATTTTTATAAACTAAATAATTAATTATTTTTATAAAAAATTTATTTTATAACTAATAATTAATTATTTTATTATTTAATAAAATAATAACAAAAATATAATTATAATTATAATGTACAAATAAGTTTATTTTAATAAATTATGTGAATTTCAAACCAATTTTATTCACACATATAAATTTTAGTAAAACTTACTAATTTTAATTTTTTATATAATATTTGGTATATATTTAATTAAGTTACAATTCAACCCAGTTGTAGTCCAATTAAAATTTTGACTTTTAATCCTTTGCTTCACCACATCAGTGATCAAGGTAAGACGAAAAAACCTTAATAAAAACTCAATCAAGTGATCTCAAATTCAAGATTGAATTGATAAATTATTTTTAAATATTATTGATAATAATATAAAATGTATTTAAAATTATATTAAAAATAAAGATTCAGTTAGGTATATATAGTGGATGGAGATAATATCAATTTTTGCATATTCAGGTTTCATGATATAGATATTTGTATATGTATATTCCAAGCTTCAACCTGACAGTGGGGCATTTTTCCAGCCACTTTCTCAGTGTCTCTGCGGGTGAAGTTATGCAATTTGTGCCGGCTGCTAAGATGCCGCCACATTCAATGCTAAGCAACTTGCTAAAGCAACTTTTATATCATATATAATATATATTATATATAAATTAAAGTTTCTATATATATATATATATATAAATTAGTTTCATTCGTTAAGAAAATTTAGTTTCGGTATGCATAAATTAGGTAAACGGATTTAAATAGGTAAATCGACATGTAAATATTGTATTGACTGCAAGGTTAAAAAAAAAAAATTGAGGATTCAAAATGCCAATTATGTTCTGACTTATTCCAAAGAGTAAAATTATTGCTTTATGATGTTACGAAGGAGTTAAAAGAGCTAACGTGTTTTAATGATATCGAGTGGACTGCAAGAAATACAAATCCAAAACAAATAATAGCACTGAAGACTTCCACTGTTTAAAAAAAAAAAAAAAAAAAAGGTTATAAATATATCTCCAAGAGATATAAAATAGACAATTTATATAAAACAATAGACGAATACTCACTATGCAAACACAGGGAGAGACTGTGCATTATCAAAATAAAACAATAGAGACAATCGAGTACCATATTGGATGCTCAAGCTAGCTGGAGATGTTTGACATATTGGCTTTATGCCCAACCAAAGTGAACCAAAAGCATATCTCTATCCATAATCTTTAAATTAGAGCACCATTATCAATTAATACTCGATTGAAATCAAATTATTGAATCTGAATACATGTAGTTTGGGGAATTTAATTTGGTATTTTGAAATATTCATCTTAGATTTAATTTTATTGTTAATATTATTATTAATGAATTACATTTTTAAAAAACATTAGATGATGAATGGTTTGAAAAATAATTATAAGTTTATAATTACATTATTATTTTTTATTATAAAATTATTCATGAGTAAAGTTTGTTAATTTTTTATAAATAATTATAAAAATTTAAAAGTAAATATCAGTCATCCGGTTTAACCGCGAGCCACTCATCAACCAAATTCAAAGTCAGGTCTGATTTTAAAAAATTGATTAAAACATAAAAGATATATGCCTAGAAAAATGTTGAAGTACTCGATGACGAATTTGTGTCTTATGTGACAAATTCATGATAATTAATCATATTTTGAGATTAATTGTGAATTTCTAAAAATATTTGAGGAAGTATATGATAGTGTAATTGGAAATCAAATTTGATTTCACGAGAATTAAAAATCAATGTTAAATTATAGAGAGAGTTAAAATTCATGCATTTCATGTTGGATTTGTCGTTCATTTCCATTCAGCTATTTTATTGATTCCATGTTTCCCCATCTCAGTACTGAGTTTGCTCAAGAAACTCACCAGGTTTTGCAGAAATAACTTAAGTAGCAGCGGTGCTATGGTGGTGGTGGTGATAGTGTTTTGGGAGAGAAGACTTGAGCTGAAACAATTACTGCTTATTTTTGTTTTTATTTAAATACTTCTTATTTGGGTTTTTATTTTTTAAATTTTTTTATTTTAATATTTTTGTAGTTGTTGACTTTTCTTTCATGCCGTTACTAATAACACAATAGAATTTTAAGTTGTTTATGTGTCTCAGCTGCATGAAACAATAAGATTATTTCTATCTTTTTATATAAAATTAACGGAAACATGTAATTTTTTTGACAAAATGATTAAAGAGTTAGACGGAGATATACATAAGGAATTATGGAATTATTTCTATAAATATTAAGGATAAACTAATGAATTTTGCAAAAATTCAAGGATTTGGAAATAATTTTTCTTTATTTTTATAAGATAAATAGAGTACATTGTTGGGCCTAGGTACCACTTGCCTCAACTCTGATACCAGTTGTTGGGCATCAACTCTGATACCACTTGTTAGGCCCTTTCAATCAATTAAGAGAAAATTAACGCAGCGGAAAAATAAAATTATGACACACAGAAATTAACGTGGTTCACTCTTAACTGTTTAGGGTTACGTCCACGGGACCAACTCCGAATCATTCTTTTACTATTGAAAATAGTATGTATACAAAGAGAGTAACACAAAAATAGTGGCACTCGAAGTGTTTCTCAAAAACACTCCATAATAATTTCCTCAACACTCCATAATAATTTCCTCACTATTTTTCTCTCTCCTAATTTTAGGAAACCCTTCCTAAAACTAGATAACTCTCTCTCTACATTTTCTTTTCTTCCTTACTGTTGTGTCTGCTGTGTATTTAGCTTGAGGCTTCGCTACCTCTATTTATAGGAGAGGTTACGAGAGAACCGTGTATAACTCATTCACGGCTCTCCATTTTGTCAAAAAAGTTACATGCCATCATAGACTTTCCTTTTTCTTTTCTTTCTTCCGCAACCTTCTTTGACTGCCAAAAAAAATGTGTGTTTTTTTTTTGCTTTTCAAATGTGTATGGGTCTCATATGTCGGAGGGACCCCACAACAATTCTCCCCTCCCAACGACATGGTGGGACTCTCCATTCTTGCCCCTTTGACACACAGCTCGGACTTCTCCTTTTGCCTCAGTTGTTGACAGAAACACAATTCTATAATCTTGACTGCCACGACACGGCTCCCCTTGCAAATGTGATTGGATATCCTGAAAATCCATTTCACTGTAGTCTAATGTTCCTTTCCAGGATTTGAAAGAAACCAACTCACCACTCCAATTGAGTGAGCAATATCTGGCCGTGTATAAACCATGACATACATCAAGCTTCCAATTGCTGAAGCGTATGGAACCTTTTCCATTTCTTCCTTCTTTCCATCAGTAGAGGGTGCTGTTTAGAACTTAATTTAAAGTGATTAGTAAGAGGACAACTAACTGCTTTTGCGTTCTCCATTCTAAACCTTTGAAGTACTTTCTCAATGCACTTCTCTTGTGACAATCATAATTTCTTGGCTCTTCGATCCCTTGTAATCTTCATGCCAAGAATCTGCTTTGCCGGTCCCAAGCTTTCAGTGCTGGTCCCAAGTCTTTCATAGCAAAAGACTTACTTAGCTGTTTCTTCAAGCTAGAATTCTGACCAACAATCAACATATCAACCACATAGAGCAAAACCAATGTAGTCATCATCAGAGAATTTCTTCATAAAAAAACACAGTGATCTGAAGTAGTTTTTCTATAGCCATGCTCCCCTATAACAGACTCAAACTTCTTGTATCACTGTCTTAGTGCCTACTTCAAGCTGTACAGACTCTTCTTCAGTTTGCAAACACAATCCTCTTTTTCTACGAAACCCTCTAACTGCTCCATGTATATTTCTTCTTCCAAATCTCCATATAGGAAGAGTTTAGTCTTTCCATCCATTTGCTCGATTTCCAGTTCAAAATGGCGGCCGTCCGACATTGTTTCGAATGGATGTGTTCATTTCACCAACTGCTTAAAAGATCAAAATCAATACCCTTCTTTTTGAATTGAATCCTTTCACAACCGTCTAGCTTTGAATCGTGGTTGCGAGCTGTTGTTCTTCCTGCTTGATTCCTTGAACACCACTTTGTTCTCAAGTTCTTCAAAGCTCCATTTGTTCTTCAAAGCTTTCTTGCCTTTAGGCAACTTCACTAGCTTAAATATTTCATCCTCATGCAAGGACTTCATTTCATCTTGCATGGCTTCAATCCAATTCCTCTTATGTTCATTTTCCATAGCTTCTTCAAAGCTTTCAGGTTCTCCCCCATCAGTCGTTAGTACATGCTCATTGACTGGATATCTAGTATATGGTTGTCAGACTCTATTAGATCTTCTTTAATGTTTGAGAACCTTCCGGTACTGGTGGTTGAACATGAACACCATAATCTTCATCTGGTTCATTTTGATTAGGAACTTCTGGATTTTCTAACTCTGGCACTTATTCTTGTGGAACATTTTTTTCATCTCCAATTCATCTGCTTCTATTGGAGGGACTCTCTGTATGTCTGTTGAGTCTTCATCAGATCTATTGGCACTCTGCTTCAATATCTTCAATAGTCTGATCTTCAACAAATTCTGATCTTCACAAATACCAAGCATCACGATTTCACGATTTCTTCTAATCGTCTTCTGGATTTATAGCCACATTAGTCTTGCCCATAGCCAATGAATACACACCGTCTAGTCTTGACATCAAGCTTAGACCGTTCATCCTTCGGGATAAGCACAAAGGCTTTACAACCAAATGCCAGCAAATAATAATAGGAAACATCCTTTCCTAACCATACTCTCTCTGGAATATCATACTGTAAAGGGAAACAGGGTAAATGATAAACTGCTGTGAGTAAAGCTTCACCCCAAAATCTTTTAGACAACTTTGCATGTGAGAGTAAACATCTGACTCTCTCCATCAAAGTTCTAAAGTTCTATTCATCCTCTCAGCCAAATTCATTTAGTTGCAGCATTCTGGGAAGGTTGTTTGATTTCGAATGCATGCTCTTTGCAGAAAGCATCAGAAAGCATCAAATGGCCCAGTGTATTCTCCACCTTTATCTGTCCTGATACACTTCAACTTCTTGCCTGTCTGTCTCTCAACCAGGTTTAGAAGACTACAATGTGTATACCCAGGCCTTCCTAGAATGGTCATCGATAAATGTCACAAAATATCGATTTCCACCATATGACATCCTCAATGTTCCACTAAAATCTGAAAGAATTAGATCTAATACATTCTTCATTCTAAAGGAGGGGTAATTTTGAAAACTACTCTGTTTTGCTTTCCCGCCATACAATCAGGACACTTGTCTAGGTGAACTTTATCCAATCCAGGTAGCACATTCTTTCTTGCTAGAGTTTTCTTATTCATGTAACGTAGTCATTTATGCCACAATTCAAATGTACTGTCATTCACATGCATCACGTACAGCTTTCGGTCTTTAGCTACCACAAATGAACCCTTTGTGAGCTTCCACTGACCATTTCTGAAGGTGCTACAGAAACCTTCATTATCAATTCTACCAACCGAGATTTGGACGCATGCTCAAAAGCCCATTCCTCATCAGTCTTGTCTTCTGGTTTAGTTGAACTAAACACAAGCAAATGTATTTTGATTACCATAAGGAGATCGCTCATTTTTCCATATATGGTAATTCCCGCCATTTAGCCATATATGGTAATTCCCGCCATTTAGACTAATCATTTTGCTTGTCCATTTTGACTTGCGCAGAAAATCATCACCAACATAAACCGTATACGTGAACAGTAATATACGTGAACAGTAACTGTGCATGTGAATAGTAACAGTGTACTAGAATAGTAACTGTATGCATGAATAGTAACCGTACACGTGAATAGTACTATGCGTGAATAGGGCTGGGCTTACTTGAAACGAACTCAGCAACAGTACACGAATAGTACTGTTTACCATCAGCTTTGAGTTACTATTTTACTATTCATCACTAAGTCGATTCTGCAACGTCTTTCCGAGCGGACAGTACCAATGGACTCGTTGTAATTTTCTCTTCATCGTGGACCAATGGACTCGTTGTAATTTTCTCTTCATCGTGGTATATTTATTTTCAAAATATATCCACGGATCCGGTACCGCTATCTGACCAGCTAGACCTACTGAAACCTTCTGCTCTGATACCAGTTGTTGGGCCCAGGTACCACTTGCCTCAGCTCTGATACAAGTTGTTGGGCATCTGCTCTGATACCACTTGTTAGGCCCTTTCAATCAATTAAGAGAAAATTAACGCAGCGGAAAAATAAAATTGAGACACAGAGAAATTAACATAGTTCATCATTAACTGTTTAGGGCTTTTACTATTGAAACAACGCGCGTAATACAAAAATAGTGGCACCAACGTGTTTCCCAAAAACACTCCATAATAATTTCCTCACTATTTTCTCTCCTTTTACTGTTTCTGTTGTGGATTTAGCTTGTGATAGGAGAGATTACGAGAGAACCGTGTATAACTAATTCACGGCTTTCTCAAAAAAGTTGCATGCCATCATAGACTTTCCTTTTTCTTTTCTTTCGTCCGCGGTCTTCTTTGACTGCAAAACGTGTTTTTTTTTTTCTTTTCAAATGTGTGTGGGTCCCATATGTCGGAGGGACCCACAACATACATATATAGTATAAAATACAAATCTAACTAATAACAAATAGACAAAAAAGCTATTAGCTACTGATGATCAAAATCCTTTTCAAGCATCTCTAGCCTATTAATTAGTCTCACATCATCTCTTCAAAAAAAAAAAAAAAATTAGTCTCACATCAAATGTTTATGGAATCAATAATTAACACCTCAATAAAGAATTGTAAGAAGACGGAAGTCATTATTTAGCTTTGGTCGGTATAAATTAATAATTTATCATGGGAGGACAGTGGACTTATGTTTAGATCAAGACAAAAAGCCTAGCTCGTATGTTCCAGAATTTTAATTTTAGAATCTTATTTTTCAGCCCCCTAAAATTTTTTAACTGAGACTAATAATTGGTTTAGCTGGGACATGTTGGGTTTTATCCACTTCAGGTTATCTCAGATCAAAATTTCAATTATTTTGGAATTTTTTCTAAGTTAAAGAGGAATTTTCGTTTACAATTATTTAAGCGTGGTAATTTTTCGAGCATGTTTGGACAAAATTTTCTCTTTTCTTTTCATTTTTTTATTTTTTATTTTTTTGAAAAAAACAATCCAACTTTTTAACTTTTTTTTTTTTTTTTTTATGAGCCCTTCCACTTCTCAATTTTTATTTTAAACACAATTTTGTGCATTTTCAACTGCAGGTCTTCAACTGCTAGCGAGGGAGACCTGCAACAGAACTCCATTGCTGTAAAGGGAAAAAAATAAAGAAACAAGAAGAAAAGAAGAGAAGGATCTTATTTTTTATGAGCCCTTCCACTTCTCAATTTTATTTAAACAACAATTTTGTGCATTCAACTGCAGGTCTTCAACTCGCTTAGCGAGAGACCTGCAACAGAACTCCTTGCTGTAAGGAAAAAATAAAGAACAAGAAGAAGAAGAGAAGGATCTATGATAACCGTGTAACGGTGTACGTATATATATTATATCTCACTACTCTTCATTTATGTGTCGGAGTTGGCTTTGTGTGTTTATATGTTAAACTAAATTTTGATTTTCAGTGTCCATTCAGAAATAACAATGTGCCCCGATGGAAATAAACAAATTGAATGGAAGGACGATGAGCGCAAGGAAATCAATTTAAAAGCACTGGATGATCTTGTTAACGTGAACTCACTTTTCACAATTGCTGTGTTTATTGGCCTATCCTTTACTGCAACTCCAAACCATGTTAGCCTTGAACAGCGACCGGAATGCATGGCGGACAGAAGAATGGGAAAGAGAGTGATCGTTTTCGAAATTATTTCATTTGGTCTTTTCCTCCTTTCAAGCCAGGTAGCCAAATCACTCAAGATTTATATCAACATGTATGGAAGTCAAAAAAGTGATAAATTAAGAGTGAAATGGGTTCAGGGTCTATTTTTTTTATTATCAGTTCTTGCATCAATAGCTGGGGTTGTTCTTTTGGCATTTTCTCTGGCTTACGTGGTGGAGATAAAGGTCGGAAAGATGTCCTGTGGAACCGAAGCTCTCCAGGCAGTAGTGCCGTTAGTCGTATTTGTGGGTTTTGCTATGTTAATTTATTTATTTTCAATGTGTCATGCTATACGCCATTGTATGGTATAGTGTTTTAAAAATCTTTTGTATTTAAAACCCTCTGAATAAATAAATTCAATTTTATCTTACCCTATTCTTTATAAAAGACCTATTTTCTGTTTGAGCTTATAAATTTTAATAATGTTATACACATTTTTGTACTAACGATAATAATTTTTAGAGTGATTTGGCTTTTATATACAAGATATTGATTTGTATTCGCTTGTACATATTTTGGTTTTTTTCCTTTTAATCCCAACAAGCTAATCCATTTTGACTCCCTCACTCACGTAAGCAGATTTTGTCGTTATATATATATTATTAAGGATGCTGCTGCTCCTTTTCACTTGAATTCTGCAATTGCAAGCTTTTATCTGGTATTTTATTATCCTTTTCTCGTTTTCATAATTTTAGGAAATGTAATATAGTTGCATAGTCTTGGGAAGTTTGGGCTATCCACTGGGTTAGAGGAACACTTGTGATTAGAGGAGGTCCCCTCCTCAATTCACTCCTTTAGTGTGGAGTAATTCATTTTAAATATCCTGAATTTTACTAAGTTGTAATTGTTGTATTCTCTTTTCAATTTAATCTCTTAGATACTCTAATTTCAAATTATAAACTTTATATTATAATTGCACCCTAATTTTAAATTTAGATTTAAAAATAAATAAAATGATAAATGATAAATTTTATCTGACACATGAGTTAACTTAACTCAAATTAAATTAAAACTAAAAAAATAGATTTAATAACCCTCTGGTCGCCTCCCTCCCATGAAAATGACGAGTTCTCCATCCAAAATCCTCAAAACCCTTAAACCTAATCCCCCATATCCTCAAAACCCCAAAACCTAATCCCTAAAATTCTCTAGATAAATTATACATTTTATGTCTCATTTAAACCAGTTTTTAGTTCCTCAAGTAGCAAAGATTAAAGGGGAGAGATATAAATTCTGGGATTTATTTAAAATCTTATGCCCACGCCCAAAAATCCAATTTTTTGAGAGATAAACGAGTCACAATCGATTTTTTTATATGGTTCAACATGAGACTGTAATCAAATCTGTAATCTAAGTCCTACGTAGTACTGTAAAAAGGAGCTTAAGCCTGTGGACAGCTCGGAATTACCCTTTTTTTTTTTTTTATTTGAACAAGAGAATTGAGGATCGTTTTCAAAAAAGATTTTTTTTACCCAGTCCCTTTTGAGAGCAAACCTGCACAGGCCGGACCAAATGGGTTAGTGAACTGCCCGCTTTAGGAGGTCAGAGAAAACCATAACTGTGAAGATTACTGAAGCTCAAAATTAGAAGCTCGTTGTTTAACGGGCTTTTTTGACTCAGTCCATTTTAGGACCAAACCCGCACGGACCGTGTCGGACTGCCCGTTTTGACAGTACTATCTACCTCACTATCTTCGATACAATCAACCTCCTCTAATATCTCTCTTTTGCTTTCTTACCTGGAAGAGCAAAGCTTTTTTAATATTTTTAACTAAGAAAATTGTTTTTGCAGTTTGGCGCATTTTAAATTTTTGTTGATGGGGCTCCCTCGCCTTTGAAGTCTCGGGTGAGGATTGCTCAGCCTTTCCGTTATTTTGGCGTTGACGTTTCTTTGTTGCTGGTAGAGATGAGAGGATAATAAATAAGGTCTGGGCATTTTGGATCGCAATAGTGACATGGCGTTCATGTTAATTGAAGGAAACGAGTACAGCGGGCCTTTTGCTCTTCCTCAAGAAGGTATCAATTGATCTTATTAATCTCTCTCATAAAATTATCATTTGATATCTTAACATTTATGCTTCACAATTTTAATTTTGTTCACCACCAATGTTGCTCGAGTTAAATTTATTGAACACAAGTCAAAAGCCATCATGGATTTAAAGCCAAGGAAAAGTAAAGCAAGCAACAAAACCCTTAACACTAGGACAAGAAATCATCCCTTGTAAGAGATACCATTCTCATGTTCTTTCTCACCTTATTTTATTCAAAGCAAGTGCAAATTGTTATTTGGGATAACCCCTTCGTCATCAGTGTCTCCCCCATATTTGCCACCATTCTCAGTCTTTTTACCCTTCTTCCGTGAAGTAACTCTTCTCTGAAACTCAATCAAAAACCTTGAACGGAGTCGAAAGCTGCTCATATGGTAAACTCACCTCAAGCTTCACATAAGCTCTTTAAGAAAGGGGAGGGGAAGGGAGAAGAATAACAGAATTCAAAATTGTTAAATGCAAATGAGCAAACATTTTTGCTGATACATGGAAAACAAGACAAACTGAATAGATACAATTAGTGAAATCTCATGCCAACAGATATATAGACCAAAATAAATTAATATTTGTGAAAGAATTTTCATCTTATCAATCTTGTCTGGTAGTAGTACTAACAAAAATACTACACAGTCATAAAGAGAATTATCATCCTGCAAGTTTGCAGGATGTTATTATATAAAGGCACTGGATTCATTACCTACATATGCAACAACAGGCACAAATTCAACTGAGGAACAACCAATTAACTAACCATAAATAGATTGAAAATCTGTTCAAATAACTAAAATAAACCATGCTTCTTCTATGTTAAAATTTTAAAAATAAATAAATAAAAAAATTCATATAGTAAAATATGGAGAAGGGATTAAATTGAATTCTTATTTCAACAAAGAAGACAAGAAAAAAACAACGAATCTTGCTAACATAGCATCCCAACATTATAGATCACCAAAAGCAGTCGATTTGAACCAAATTAAGGTGATTGATTAGACAAAATCAAGTACCCTCCCCACCATATGATATGCTAGAGAGTCGACAAGAAAAGAATTAGATTCAGGTCATGACAAAATCCAGCCCGTTCACTTTCACTAATCTAATATTTGGATTGATGTGCAACTATAATCCATATATCCGATCAGAGTCAACTTAAATCAGAAAAATGTTTGTACAAACCTGACCAGATTAGCGCTCGAATTTAACTAATAATAATATTTCCTTCTACACACACAATGAATACTGTGTACTGATCCCACCAAGCTTTCAGATAAAGTTCAAAACTTCGCATTTAAATACCCAATATTTAAGTACCAAAGCGTCCAAATTCCGTTACTATATCCCCCAAGTTATATATATCAATTTCCCCAGTAAAAGCATATACTAACTAATAGGCAATCACAAACAAATTGTTAAGGAATACTGAAAAAAGTTTAACAGCGAATTAAGCAATCAAACCACCAAAAATGGGAACCACAATGAGCTTACCCAATAATCTCATTTCCAGAGAGCTTATATTACAAATAATTTTTTAAGTTCAAATTTGAGAATCCTACAAGCAAGATTAAATAATTAATGGAGAAAAGCATAAATAGCAGTGGAAATATAAATCAAGAGAGCAGAAGAAACCAGAACGACTAATGCTGTAACTGCATGAACCGCATTCTTGCTTCCACAAGACAACATCCCCAACCGTATTTCAATCACATTCACCATTGAAAGCATCAAGAAAATGCAACCCATCACAGACCCAACTGCAGAACCCATCATTCCAAATCTCAACACCTTTAGATTAATATGAGCTCTAAACGCCTCATCCACATCTTTGCTATTTAATAAATTGATTGCCAATTTCAGACCTTGAGCGATTAAAGAAGAGAACAAGAAGAAACTGAACGACACAACCTCAAAAACAAGAAGCTTTCTAGCAACATCGATGCCTGCATCACAGGCAGAGCGGTTCTCAAGACTGCGCTGGCCTGGTGTGGTGAGAGAGAGACCAACAAAGACAGCAATAGTGAAAAGCGAGTTGACATTGACAAGACCGTCAAGGGCTGTGACATGGACACTGGTGGTGGAGGTGGAGGAGAAAGAGGAAGTAGATGGTACTCTTCCTGTAGATGGGTTTCCATTATAGTATGGATCTTTTGGAGATCTGGGCAAAATGAAAGGAAGAAAATGGGTTAGAGAAGAATCACTGCAGACAAAAAGAAAGAAAATATAAAAGTAAAGCAAGAAATGATAGAGAAGAGAATAAAGAGAGATAGATAGAGAGTTACTCATCCATTGTTTAATCTTTTTGAATGAATCTTGGATTTAGCTTGTAGGGTTTATGTTCCCTGCAATAATGGAAGACAGCTGTGGCTTGAAGAAGGAGCTTAACACTGTATATAGAAAGAAATTTCCTTCTTATTTCTAGAATTTCTTGCTTTATTTGCTTGTGGGGTTTGAATACGTTTTCTTGGAGAGAGAAAAAAAAAAAAAAAAAGGAATTTCTTGGGCTTTATTTGCCTTGTGGTGTTTTTGAATACGTTTTTCTTTGAGAGATGGAAAAAAAAAAAAAAAAAGATGCTTTGCCTTTTCAGTTACATTTGTTGCTTTTAAAAGGTTTGTCGTAAAACATAGGTAGAGGTGTGGGAAAGGAGCTTGATAAACATAGAACATGTGGGGTTTGTTTGAAAGGATCAGTCTTCTATCTAGGTGGAGAATGACGATGATAATGGAAATTGACTGTATTTGCCCTTTTCTTCATCATTGCAAGTTAACTGTAGCTTGTACTTTTTTGGTCATTGAGAAACCATATTCTAATTCTAATGTAATGCCATTATTAGAAAAGTTGATGGAACTTATCTACCAAAAATAAATTGGAAATACCATAAACATCCTCATAGAAACAAAACCAAAACCCATTATGAGACCTCAATTTTTGGGATTTTGTCACTTGTATTTCTGAGCGCCAAAATTGCAAAGTTATTGCTCATCTTATTTCTACATTAATTGTATTCTTTTTTTAAAAAAAATATAATTCATCGATAATAATATCAAAAATTATAAATAATCATATAGACTAAGTATAAACTTTAATATTATTAACTAATAAAGTTTGCTGATCTTTTAACGAAACAAAATAATTCATATTCTTAAAAAATAGTATAATATTACATCTTTCAATTAGTCCGTTAATTAATATGGACGTCAAAAAAATAACTCTTCATGATCTTCTATAATTAAATTATTTTTCTGAGAATTTGTAACATATGACGAATACAGATGAGTTTTCGTCACTATGCTTTAATAACATCAATGGAAGAACAAATCGTATTATTAAACTCTATTGATCGAAGATTCACACCTACAAATTAAGATCTAAAGTCTCAAACGAAATAAAGCCCAATATTATAGTTTTATTTAATAATAAATCCTTACAAAGAAAGAATTACTCCCACAAAAATGGGAAAAAAAATGAGTACAAAAACAGATCTAAGTTTAGTAAAGCAAAAGAAAATTAAAAATAGATAATAAAGTGGAAAAACCAAAATGACAATTAAAGGTACGACTTTAATCCTTTGTTTAGAAAGAAGAGGTTTTTCAAGAGAAAAGAAAAATGTGTAAGGAAAATATCAATAAAAAGGAATTTTTTCTTATTTGAAAAGAATGAAAAATAATCATTATTCTTTCAAATCTATAGAATTAAAATCTCTATAAATTGGAGAAATAACAATGAATAAATTGAGAAAATTATATTATTTACTGTAAAATATATTTCTTTTTATTTTTTTTTTCTTCCAATAGTTTCTTTCACTACCTTTCCAAATAAAGCCTAAGGATTTTCATATAGAAATTTCCGGTTCTGTAAATAATCAAAATACATTGCAGAGAAGACAAAAATAGAAATCTTTACCTAAAATCACTTTTAGAACGGATTGACTAAACGCGGTTTTTACTCTACCTTAAAAAAAGAATTACGTGTTGGATAGTGGATTATTAACAGATATTTCCTTAAGTACTAATGTTAAATCAAATCTTGGTGACACATTAGCTGCCTAACTTACACATGGGACCAACCAAGCTATGAATATTTGAGCAATAAATCAAAATAATTATACACATTTCTCTTAAATTTTGTTATTAGCAATAAACAACAATACCAAACAGGTTCTAATTGTGGCCTTTCAGTGATCAAGCATTTGATAAAGTTGCCTAATAAAACAATTGTATAAAAACTTTTCAAAAATAATTAACATTGCGAATGAATGAAAAATCTATGGTAGAGAATACTCAAATTCAAAACTTCTCACTTTTTATGTAGGTAAAAAGACCAAAAAGACCAACGGAATCATTACGTGATTGGCTTTTTATTTACATTTACTGTTGAAAGTTTGTAATCAAATATTATTTGTTTTTTATCTAGTCAAATTAAACTTGTATTTGAGTAATGTTAGTAGATTTTTTAGGAGGTATATTTATTAATGAATCATTATTTTTCTGAGAATTTATTATTGATCTTGTATTGAAAGATTAAATTTGCGATTGAACAAAATTAATGTCTTTCAGCTTTAAATTTATTTATTTTTTCCTTCTCTAAAATTAAGGTCTTGCAACTGCTTAGTACCAAGAACAACAAAAGAAAATTAAAGAAAGAGAAGTAATCCATAGAGAGAGAAAGAAATCTGTCATCAGTCTTTTTGTCAAACAACTTTACAGGTATATATTAGCAGGAGTTTCCTACGATTACATCAGCTATTCTTGACAACAAGTTACTCACTGATCAGACATCAAATTAGAGAAGGAGAAACTAATTTGTAAGCAATATTATGATGCTTGAATGCTTATCCTAGTGGGGACAATAGTGCCCTCCATCTCCACATTTAAGGGATTCTGTCCTTAAAAACACTCAAAATTTAAAGAGTATAACATAAATTATTGTATATATTATATACAAAAGTTAAAAATAATTAACTATTTATATAATTTTTGTATATACAACATTACTTCAATGAATCCAAATACTTGAAAATTGTAAGAGTCTATTTCACCAATAATCCCCACAAGAACAAATCCCATTCTCAAACTGGTGAAACCTATTGCGATCCCTAACCACTATTTTTCTCTTGGTAATCTCAGATATAAGTCTGATCATTGAGTGGCAATCATTGCATATCCTTAAATTTTTCACAACCCTTATTGTAGTAAATGGTTTTGTAGAAATTAATCCATAGCATATTGCTAGTTTTTCACTATGTATTGCCAAAGCCCATTCTTTCTCCCAGTTCTCAATATCATGCAACACTACCTCTGTTGCAGGAGTATACCCTTTCAATCTCAATTTTAGATTAATATCTTCTAACTTTTTGTAGATTTTTTCTTTCTGAGGATGTCTTAGGTCTCCTGAGATGAATTCATGAATCTCATTGTTTACTTCAATTGAACTACAGCCTGGTTCCTTCAATATTCCCTCTTCTTTCATCTTTGCTCTTACTTGTGCAGCCTCTTTCCATTTCCCAGATGAAGAATATACATTTGACAGCAAAACATAAGTTCCTGAATCAGCATTTCCACAATTCACCAACATTTTTGCGATTTCTTCGCCTAACTGCAGATTTCCATGAATTGTGCAAGCACTTAGTAAAGCTCCTAGCATAATATGATCTGGTTCTAACTTCATTGTTCTAATGAAATCATAGGCTTCCTCAGGTCGTCCCAGACGACCTAAAAGATCCACAATACATCCGTAATGCTCCATTTGTGGTTCAATCTCATAATCCCTGGACATAGAGTGAAATATTTCAAAACCTAAATCCACCAAACCCCCATGACTACAAGCATTCAACAAACCAACAAAAGTTACACTGGTTGGTCTATGTCCTTGTTTTGTCATTTCTCTAAACAACTCAATAGCTTCATTGCTCTTTCCATGCAATGAAAGCCCCATAATCATAGAATTGTAAGTGATGGCATTTCTTTCTTTCATTTTTCCAAAAATTTTCCATGCCTCATCGATGTCACCACACCTTGAGTACATATTGATCAAAGCAGCACCAACAAAATGATTTAGCTCTATCTTACACTTACCCATATAAGAGTGCACCCATCTTCCAAGCTCCAATGCTCCTATTTGTGAGCAAGCTGATAAAACACAAACAATTGTAACTTCATTAGGCCTCACATCAAGCCTTTGCATTTCTCTAAATATCTCTAATGCTCTGTTCAACTCCCCATTCCTGACCAACCCATCAATCATCGCAGTAAAACACACTGTATCCTTAGTCTTAATCAAATTAAAGACATTAGTTGCCTCTTGAACCAATCCACGATCAAAGTAGGAATCAATCATGATTGTTGATGCAACAACATCTAATTCAGGCATTTCATCAAACACCTGCTTTGCATCTTTTAGTGCTCCACATTTGCCATAAACCTCCATCAATTTCATTCTCGTTGACCTATTTGAACTAAACCCAAATTTCAAAACTTGGCAATGAACCTCTCTGCCTTCTCTCAACGCTAATTGAAACGCGCAAGCTTTCAAAACAGAAGTGATTGCGTACTTATCAGGTAAGATTGATGAGCTAATCATTTGATAATATAATTGAATCCCATTAATGTAATAGCCAGATAATACGAACCCATCAATGAGAGCAGTGTAGAGGTAAACATTTGGGTTTTGTGTGTAAGAAAAGATTCTAGTGGCGTAGTTAATAGAGTTGAGATTGGAACAAACGCGAAGTAGCTCAAAGATAACAAAAGGATCTTGGTCATGGTTGGTTCTTATGATTTTAGCTTGGATTACTGGAATTTGGTTAATGTGTTTGCAATTTTGCAAAAGAGAGAGAAATTGATTTCTATTTGGAGAGTTTCTGGACTTTGCGCCTATATTTGGTGGGAAAGCTGTGCAAGCAGCTATTGGCTGCGTGGAATGACTCATTCCTTCGCGTTTTGTCTTTGCTGGCCTGACTAAAATACAAGGTAACTGTATGCTTGTACTTCGGATTACAGAGGAAAGAAAATAAGAGAGAGAAAATATAGAAGGAAAACAAAAATAAAGCTAAATAAGTTTTGTTATCTAGTTCTTTCGAAAAAATAGAAAAGTAGCATTTTTCTTATTAGAAAAAAAAAAACAAAAATGGTCTGTCCTTCAGGTACATTGTCAAAAATGAAAAATCACTTGCTTATAATTTTTATTTCAACATGGTGACTAAAAATATCTAAAATTATCATTTTGGTGCAAATAAAACATTTAAAACAAAGGGGCATTTTTAAAATTAATCTCAATTAGCTAGGTAGATGTTTTCGACTGTGTACCTCTCATTATGTTTGCATTCCAAAGTAAAATTTAATTAATCACGACATGCTCAAATTAATAGATAAGAGATAATGTTCAACTGCTTCCCCGCATAATCTAATGCAATGACACATATGATTTTCAAAAAAATATATGAAATTCATTACAGATTCTATATTTTTCATGTTAGATGTGAAAGAAAATTTAATTTCAATTTTATATACTATAACTAAATCAAATTCTATCCTCAAAATCCAGACTAATCAGACTCGCAACTTCGGCTTCCGGGTGGTTTAAACCGAGGAAAAAAAAAAAATCACTCCATATTTTGAAATTCATTTATATCAAAACATCATACGGGTACATTTTTCTTATCTGACCATTTGGGAATCGTCTCACGTCGTAGGCATCAAGATTCAGGACCTGACTTGAGCTCGAGTACGAATTTGTACACATCAAACCTGAATAAATGTATCCACATGAACAGTGCTATACTAAGAAAAGCTGTAATTTGGCACAATATTTTCCTTTGGAAAAAAAAAAAAAAATCAAAACAAAAGCCATAACTTTTTCTTACGCTTTACTTCAATGCTTATGGGATTAGAATTCTACCCCCTCTCAATCAAGAAGCTTATTTATCACAATGCATCTTAATACTCGTCTGGGAGGCTTTCCATATGAATCGCAGAAGCAAGAAATGATAAATACGAAAGAAAACACTATAAAAAGTTGTTCATTAACGTAAACTAGCTGTCAAAAAGCATTACTCAAACATCATAGTAGCGGTTGCCAATGCTTACATCAACCTACAAACATGGCAAAAACCAACAGGAACCAGAAAATCTGAGGTTATTCGCATTGGAGAAGCATGACCCCAAGGCAAAGGCTTGCCCGGATACTCATTTGCTAAGCTTCTCCATAACTTCCTTCCTCCAAAATTTATACAGGACCCTGATGAACATTTCCCTGGGTCTCGAAGATGAAAGTACTTGAAACCAATGCAACAAGAGAGGTCAGAAATATATTACCATCAAGCTCTCTATATGCTTAAAATAATGCGCAACACTAGATCAGAAAACTAAAAAGGTCAAGAAGTACTGCATACTTATTATAGAGAAACGGTTGCCAAAAATATATACAACTCCGAGTTCATGCTATAGATATTGATAACAAATACTTGCTGTTGAGAAACATTGAGAAACCCTATTAGAAACATGAAATTGTCATGCAAAAATGCATTTATCCAGTCTTCAAAAACATAAAATCTTCAAGCAATATACCTACCAAACATTGATGTAAGTGTTCCATTAATTTAACAGCAGCATTGAAGCACTCACCATCTCCTCAGGGAAATGCTTAAACATAACTCAATTTGACCGAAATTCTAGCATTTTCGCTGCAATAGTAGAGCCAAACATTTCATATATTATTGAGCGACAAGCATAGTTCATTAGGGGGAAGCCATTATATCAGCCTCCATATGGACCAAATATGAAGGGGAACCTCTTCAACCCAGACAACCATATTGTCTGCAAAAGTACTTGGCTATTGTGGCTCCTTCACTTCCTAAATGATCAGATGTAGTGAAGAAAAATCAGTTTTTGGAGGCTTTCAATGGAAGGCCACTGTTAAAACATCACTTTCCAAACTTATCAACTTCTAACCATCTCCATAGCAAGCTGCAATGCTTATGCTTTAGTAATCTCAATAGAGGAAATATTAGAGAAGCATGTATGGAGGTGATTGCTAAGCATTAATTAGCTACTTCACTTACCTTATCCTAGTAGTAATACTTTTGAAATCATTCCATTTAGCAATTAAACTTGTCATATATCATATGGACAACCTCTTACATTTTACTTGTGCCAGATGAGTCCTAATTGGATTTACTCTATGTCATTACATACCTAATTCCACACTCTACCAATGCTGCAAATAAAATCCCGAAGGCATGTTCGCCACTTTATATATTAAAACTAGGCTTTCAAATAAACTTGAAGAGAACAATTGAAAGGTTTTGGTCCCATAGAACAATTGCTAATGCATGTGGAAACAACCTACGATATATTGCTGGAGAGAGGAGAGAAGTGTAAATGTAGAAGTAGAAGAAAATCCATATTGATATATTGCCACTTGATTGGACCAGGTCAAATATCCAATCTTCAAACAATCTTTTGTTTTTTTTTTTTTTTTTTTTTAGAGGAGAGAAGTGTAAATGTAGAAGTAGAAGAAAATCCATATTCTGATATATTGCCACTTGGATTGGACAGGGTCAAATATCCAATCTTTCAAAAATCTTTTGTTTTTTTTTTTTTTTTTTAAAGTGAAGAGAATAAGAAGCCATTGCAATCGCTGCTGAGCCTACATTCCGTAACTCATGCAAAGACAAGCGGCATACAAAAAGGATTAGTACAAAAATGGAATTATTACAATATCTTTTACACTTATTTTAAAGAAGGTCCTAATGATAAAAAATATTCACTTCTCACAATCTTTATAAGAAAATATCAATTTTAGCAAGAAAATTTTCATTCCTAAATTCAATTCCTCTTCGAATCTTTAGAATTGTGTTTTAAAATTAGTCACCTCTAACTGAATTGGAAAAAAAAAAAATTACTTCTTCATTAAAATAAGATATTTATTTCTAATGTCCTGCAATGACAATTTAATCCTCAACATCCTTCCTTCCCCCAAACCCCCACCCTCCCCAAAGTACTGAGACCTTCCTCAACTTAGTCTAGGTTGTGGAGATGGCCTCCTTAAAAATCCACAATTTTTTTTTTTTTTTTTTTTTTTTTAAACGTGAAGAGATAAAGAAGCCATTGCAATCGCTGCTGAGCCTACTCCGTACTCATGCAAAGACAAGCGGCATACAAAAGATGTACAAACAAATGTGAATTACAATATCTTTTACACTTAAAAAGAAGGCCTAATGATAAAAAAATATCACAATCTTTATAAGAAATATCAATTTTAGCAAAAATTTTCATTCTTTCAATTCCATCTCAATCTTTAGAATTGGTTTTAAAATTAGTCACCAACTTGAAATTGAAAAAAAAAAAATTACTTTCTTATTAAAATAAGATATTATTTCCAAGTCCTGCAATGACAATTTAATCCTCAACATCCTTCCCTCTCCCCAACCCCCACTCCCAAAACTAACCTTCCTCAACTTAGTCTAGGTTGGAGATGCCTCCTTAAAATCCACAACAACTCTCATCTTCTAGATATAGATATTATAGCTAGGCTGTTTAGCCACTTTGGCACAGTAGTAACATTGACTCGAATGGTATTAAACATTAAATCTTTATAATTGCTTCTTAGTTTGCCAACATTAACAGGTTTTTGGTTCTTATAGAAACTTCCCTTTAGTGTCCATGATATCATAAATATCAATAACACGTATGGTAAGACTAAAAGATGACAACATTTGACGCATGTTAAAAATGAGAATACAGCTGCCTATTTCTCTTTTCTTTCTTGCTCTGACCAACTGTAACTGAAACTCTTAATCCTAATCCTAATCCTAATCACCATCATTTTTAATTGTGAACTTTAATTGCAATCACTTGAGATTTGCAAAACATAAAAGCATTTGCAGGTGGTTGCTTGGTATGTCCTATAATATCACTATCTAAAAGGAATTACTCACCAAGAAGTTACCATAGGCAATCACTTTAATTAATGTATGACCTTACTGGGCAACCACTTCAATTAGGCTTTAATTCACAAACGCTTGTTCAACCAGCACACCAATATTTTGTTTAATCTATTCATAAAGTACTTTTTTTATTGGTCAAATAGGAAAACTTTGCAAGTGTATTAGAAAATACAACTATTGCAATACAAATTTATTTTAGGAATGTCATTTAGTAACTTCATCTCGCTTCAATGAAGGAAGTTTGCCTTATTAAACCCTTCAATAAGTTACTTTAAGATATAAGAAATTGGATGCCTAATATTAATAAGGTCTAACTTCCTTTCAAATTTTACTTCCTAGCAAACCAAGCACAATAGCTCCACTTGCTTCTCAAGAAGTCCTTAATTAAGCCCACTTCTCATGACACAAAATGACTAGATTAGGGTTCATCATTCCAAGATTAAATACGCTTTACCTTTTAACAAGAAAATATCCCCATTTTTAGTAGTGGATGCTAATTCGTAAGTTCTTATTGATTAGTATCTTTCTATTTCCTACGCAACAATATTTCTTGGTATTATTAAAGGAACGCCTTACTTAAGGCTCAAGGGCTTGTGCCTTTAGGCGAGCAACTTCACTCAGGCTATTGCCTCTGGGTCGAGGCGTGTGCCTCTTTTGCACCTACGGCTCAAGAAAGGCGCGCCTTTCTAATTTTTTTGTTTTTCTGAAGAAGTCACGTAGGGTTTTCTTTCAATATACAGCTTTCTAGCCAGCATCTAGCCTCCACTCCTTTATCTAACACTCACCTCGTGCAGTCTAGTTTTTAGCCAATATCCATTCAGATATACCTTTCTCAATTTCTCTTCCTATATTTGCATTTTATCTTCTTTTTGTTCCATTTTCTTGATTCTATTCTTTTCTATCTTAATTGTAATATCTTAAAATATAACTTATCATGTTGCTATTTTTTTTTCTGATTCACGCGTGTTCCTTTCCATGTTTTTCTAATTTTCTTTTTCATTTGTTTTATCTTAAAACACAATTTTCAGTTGTGTTTAAATTCATTTTTTTTTCCTTTGCGCCTCGCTTCACTCAGGCTCGCGCCTAGGCTCTAGCAGCCCTTTGCGCCTGAGACCTCACACTCATAACAATGCTTCAACAAGCATAAAAATTATCACCTTACAATAGTTACAGCCGAACACGCATCTTGGAACTTAGATAATTCCTTTCGATAAATGAAATTTCTTGGATCAAAATGATATGCAAAGCAATTAATGCGTCATTATATTCTTTTACTTATAATCCTAATTAAAAACAAAATTTTCACTTCTAGATCATGAAGCGATTGAAATTTCACATTTTATTACAAGATATTAGTGGTCACATACCAAAGTAAGCATCAGAAGATATCTGATTAATGTGTCATAACTAGGTTCAGAGGTGGTACGGGTATCAAGAATTCTGAACTACCCATTTAAAATTTTAATACCCATATCAGTCTCCAACCGGTTTAAAATTTTAATACATACCTGCAAGACCACCCTGCTAATGTATTCATTGCTAACTCAAGTCCATTTGATACAAAATAAAACTAGCAAAAATCTTAGAAAAATTAAAAATAAATTTCAAATTCATAAATATCAAAATTCATAGATAAACCAAGAAAATTTTCAAAAAAAATAATTATCTTAACAATATCCACGTATGAATTAAAAAATTCATTATAATAACATCCACATAAAAACTAAAAATTTATACTGACATCATAATCTTCCAATTTTTTTGCTAAGTTAACCTTTCACATCCAATTAAAACTTCCAAAATCTATCAGTAAGACAACTTCAAAATTAAAACAACTACAACAGGTTAGAAATTGTATGCTTATGAATATGGGATTTTCATTTAATAATATGCAAATTCTATGAAATTTTTTCGGATAATTGATTTGTTTGATATTTTTCACTTAAAATATTATATATTTTTAATTTTTTTTAAGTGGGTTTCGGTGGATAGCGAATACCCACAGCCTTCAACCCAAACCAATGACAAGTAATAATTTAATACTCATCCCAAACCCATTTAACTAATATCTAAACCCAATTTAAATATGTTTTTATAAGTACCGCCAGTAATCATCCCTAGTTGTAACATCAGCACAACATGAGTATTAAATAATGTAGTGCACTTATGGTACCACAATTTAGAATCAGAAAGAAATCAAAACCTGGGCTCCAGCTACAGCAAGATGTTAGAAACACCTGTTTATTCACATGCCAGTAATCAAAAATGGATGAAAAGGAACCTTCCTCAAGCATATTGTATGACGACGATAGAGAGCACGCTAGTAGACAGCCAAGCCCACAGCATGAATGCTAACCAGTGTGCTCTCTCTCGTCGTCAAGCAATCATGTCAAAAGTTGAAGGCAAACTGCAAGAATGGGCATAATCAGAAGAAACACAGATAAAAGGAATCCAAAAGACCAATATATGGGAAATTTTGATGTACTCACCAAGGGAAGGGGATGGCACGAGAACTTCACATTCTCACATGAGTAGGATCTTTCAAAAGGAACCTGAAACCATATCAATAACACAATGAAATAACAACAATATCTTTCCATCAGCACATGATGATAATGAGAAATTGGAGCTAAATATCTCATTCATTCATAATCTAGATGTTGTAACCAGCACAAATTAAAAAACCACCTATGTATATAGACTAATATATAGTTTACTCTTGGGACTATATAAAGGGAGAATCTCTTAAAGAAAGAAAGTTTGTCTAATCTATTTCTTAAATTGTTAAACATGGAATCACAAACCACTGAACTGTTTGTTTAAAAGGGATCTACACATTTAATTTGCACTCATACTACTTATTAGAAGTAAGTAGACATCCAGAAAACGTGAAACGCTTAAAATTAGCATAATACAAACAAAAACACAAAATATTCAAATAAATAAATAGAGCATCATCCTATGTTAATTTTAATATATAGGGCACACCAGAACCCAATTCTAATATATGAATATTTTAATAAAGGGCAAAACTTCGCCAGGTAATCCAAGCAAAAAGTGGCAGGTTTCTCCAAGCATTACAGATTAAAAGGAATGAAGTGTTGATTCAGTTATCATAATCACAAAAATTGAACGAGCTATATAGAGAGCAAGCGAAGAAATTGTAGCAACAAAGAAATCTAATGAAGACTTGCAAAACATGTTCCACACCTCAAGTTAAAGACGTACCAAAAAAACCTAAAGAGCAGATAAGATAAGAACTTTAATGCATTTAGAACCGCAAAATAATTTAATCAAGCTTGTCCATTTTAATTTACAAGTTACAACAAAAACCCAAGAGAAAAACTAAATTTTAGTGGAAAAAACAAGGAAAATTTAGAACAGTTTTCTTTCATCTCCCTCGCATTTCTCAACAACCAAACAGCAAGTAAAGAGATCTGAACATCAGAGGAGAGAGAATTTTTAGACGATAAAATAATTCGAATTTTATGAAAGAAAATTACAAAAGATCAAATCTACCAAACACAATAATTCATAAAAAAATAATAAAAATAAAGCCAGATTCAACCCGAAATAAAAATATAAATTGATCTAAAACAATGAAATATATTTAAAAAAAAAAAAAAAGAAAGAAAAAAAGCACCGGTATCAGCATGCTTACTTAGAGATTGAGAACAAAGCACCGTCTCAAGGAAGAAGAAGAAGCTATAGACAGATACTAGAAATTACAATACGTCTTTTATCTGTATAAACTGTAAGCACGAAGATAAAGGTGAGAGAGGCGTTTAAAAATATACTGATAAGTTAAGCAAACATATACAGCTAGAACCAGAATTTTGTAGTAGACCCCACATCGACCGCAGTACATGTACCAGAGTCCGGCTGGTCGGAGTACTCCGACGGTTATTTCGGGGAAATGACTGTGTACTACTGTATTATTATTCTTTGTTTAATGAATAACCAAATGCCCTAACTTTATCCAAATGTATCAAAGTGCCCCAAACTTTTATGGACTATTCAACTTCACCCTATCTTGATGTTTCTGTCAATTTTCACCTTAATTTCGACCCTTTTCTAATACTCTCAATTTCAATTGAAGAGATAATTCCAAATTAAAAAGTTATTCCTATGATTCTGATAAAATTTTAAAAAATAAAAATTTTAAAAAAATTTCATTAGTCTATCTAATTAATGCAACATAAATAAATTTTATTTGTTATAAATAAATAGCTTCTTAATTTTTTCTCAGCAAGAAAAATAATCATTAACCATTAATATTTTTAAAAATGATAGAAATATTTTTTATTCATAATTCCATCCCTAATTGTAATTAGATGTATTATTATTATGATATCTTTAACTTTTATTTTACTTATAAATTCTTCAAATTACTTATAAATTCTTCCAACTTATAAAATCACGTTTGTTAAAATACTATACAAATCATTGTATTGATAACAACTTCATATAATTATAATTAGGTCAAAAGTGTTATTGTTGAGGGAAGAGATGTGTAACATCATCAAAATTAGTAACTCTAGGATCACAATGGGTTCCCAAATTGCCACAATATAAGAAAAAATAATTAATTTATTAATATTATTTTATATTTTATTTATTTCATTATGAAATAAAAATTAATTAAATATAAATAAATTTTTAATATATAAAGTAACTATCAATGTGTAATATTAAGATCAAATATTACAATTAGATAGGAAAAATAGACCTGTAATCCTTTGTTTCTAACTTGTGAATAAGTTTAAACTGATCAAAAAATGAACAAACCAATCTTGAACAATAATTTAATTTCAATTTCATGGACTTTAAAACAAAACAATTAAATCAAATTCTACTATGTACAAATAAACTTTAGACTGAGAATTCATTTATAACAAAATACCATAAATTATATTTCCCTTATTTGACCATTTGGGATCATTCCTCAAAAATTTCAGAGAGATCAAGATTCAACACCTGTCTCAGAACTTCACTATGAATTTCTGCATCTCAAACTTCAATCAATAATTCAAAACCTACAAACATGGAAAATACCAAGCCAGAAAACCTGGTGTTATCCACATTGGGGAAGCATAACCCAAGCAAAAGACTTCCCCAGCTCAAGGAAAGAACCGGGATAGTCGTTTGCTAATCTTCTTCTCCACAATGCATACAGGACCTCAAATGAACATGAAACCAAGAAGAGAGGTGGTCAGAAATTTATTACCATCAAGCTTTCTACATGCTTAACTTCATATCATGACGATAGGTACATGAAACATAGAAATAATACCAAAAAAGCGAGATCATAAAACTTAAAAAGTCAGTAACTACCACACTTGCTATAGAGAAACAGTGCCAAAAATATATGCAACTCCCAGTTCATGCTATAGATATTGATAACATGTAGTCGTTAAGAAACATTGAGAAACCCCATTAAAGACAGACAATCATCATGCAGAAAAGCATTTATCCAATCTTTTGTAACATAAGATCTTCAACTAATAACATACCTACCAAACCTTGGTGTAAGAATTCAATTAATCCAATGGTGGGATTGAAGCGCTCAGCATCTCTTCAAGAAGCGCTTGTATAGAACTCAATTTGACCAAAGTCCTAGTATTTTCACTGAAATATTAGGTTCCAATGAGTTGATATACTTATTTAGTGAGAAGCATAATTCATTAAGGAGAAAGAAAGCCAGCATATTGGTTTGCCTACGGATTCAATATGAAGGGGAACCTCCCCAAACCAAACAACCATATCATCAGCAAAGGACTTAGACACTGCGGGTCCTTCACTTTCTCAATGATTAGATGTAGTGAAGAAAAATCAGTCTGTTGAGACTTCCAATGCTTGGTCACTGTTAGAACCTAAACTTTCCAAAATTATCAACTTGCAATCATATAAATATTAGGCTACATAATATTACAGATGCACTAATAGAGGTGATTGCTAAGAATTAATCAGCTACTTCACCTACCTTTCCCCAGTGCCACATTACAAGCATTCCATTTCAGCGATTAAACAAGCCATATATCACATAGGTATTGTCTTATATTTTGATCATGTCAAATGAGTTCTCATTGAATTTACTCTTCATTATTGCTATATTCCATCTATTTGCACTTTCCTTGTATCTTAGCTATGTGGGGTTAGAGGAGGTGGGAACGTTGCAGCGCAGGCCTTGTATTGGCAAGCGAGTAAAGGACTTTCTTTTGTATTAGCATTTGAATCAGAGAGGGATAGAAATGCAGCCATTATGCTTGCAAGGAGTTTTGCCATTGATTGCAATCTAAGTATTTCCAAAATTTATCAACTTCTACTTGTACACAATTTTTTGTTTATTGGTATAGTATTTCTTTTCCTTCCACCTTTTTTTTTTTTCTTTCTGTTCCTTCCGTATTATAATATCAAATTCTTGAAATGCCAGATTATGCTTGCTGGGCCTGATGACCGGAATCCGTTAGGAAGTTAACCAACTCCACATATGGTATTCCAATTCAGTAACTGTAATTATCACATTGAGTTTCCCCCTGTATTATAGGTTTGAAATAGTAGGAGGTTCCATTGTATGTTCTGTTATGGGCTTCCATCTGCCTCCATCACCATAACTCTACAGGTCCCTTAAGATCCTAGAAAAAGATAACAATCACTATATTGATGAGGTTAGAACATGGTAGAGGACTGCTATTGCCAAGGGAAAAAGAGAGTGAACATATCAAGAGAAAAGTTCAATAGTTTGATTAGTATTCTTTAGAGTTGAAAATATTTGGGCGCGTAGCATTTGAGCTGAATGTATTGCGGTATGAAAATATGCAAAATCCTCGCTTATGTCTTCATTAACATAATAACTATACATGGCTTTCAGATTTCATAAAGAGAAGTAATAATACATGATGTAAAATGACCAAATCACAAGCATTACCTATAGGAATGTCATACATAATAATAACAAATCACAATTTAACACACAACAAATGCATTAGTTATTATCTAAAAGACTGATTAGTAGGTCCATATGCAGTCAAGCTCAGTAGGACCATCGCTCAAGTTGAGCATGGCTGTCATAGGAACAGCAGACATGGTCATGTAAAGTAGAGCTAGAAAGTTCAATTCAATGCAAGAAAATTGAATCGAACCATACTCAAAACCAGTTTGGTTTCCTGATTTTCACCAGTTCTTACCTGGTTTTTTAATTCTCGGTCTTAGATATCCAATTCGAACCAAACTATGGTCCCTTTCCTTATTAAAACCGGTGGAACTAGCCAATCCAATCTGGTTCTCAAAACCATGCCATCAACAATAAAACTTCCATCTAAAATTCTTTTAGGCCTTACACACACATGTATATTCTTGCACTCACACTTAGAGACAAACGGCAATAGCATACAAAACAAAGTTCTTCATTAGTATAAGCTATCACATTATACTAAATATATAGCCACATGTATTATGATCTACGTCTTGAAAAAAAAAACATGAAATCTATCCTCATTATGCCTAATCAAATATAAATAATCCTTTTTTTTCCCTTTTTTTGAACATCAGAAGACAAAGAAGCCATTCCAATTGTTGGATGTTTTAAGCTTACTCATGAGTGCTCATGCATGCACCGATGCAAATGGAGACTTGGCATACAAAAGATAGACAAAACAATGGTGAATATCACTATACTAGCTATATATGCATGTCTTTACACAGAAAAAAAGGCCTAACAACAAAAATATCACATTCTTTATGCGAATTACCAACTTTAGCGAATCTTTTTAATTTTATCAATTCTATCTTCAACCGTTGGAATTGGTTAACTTGAAATTGAGAAAACAAAAACTATTATTTTCTTAGAAAATAAGATAATTCAAAGTCTTAAAATAACAATTTGATCCTTTTTCTCTCTCACTCCTCGTCCCTCCCTCTCCCCAATCCCCTCCCCACCCCCAAAATTGTTCTCCTTCAATAGAAATTAAATTTCCATCTCATCAACCCATGCTTAAAATATGAAACCTGAAACTAGACAACTACTATGATTCTTTTACTCTACAACAAAAACTCAAATTCATAGCCCTTCAATGGAGATGAATCCTCAAAATTCACAATAATTTTGATCTTCTAGATGTAGATATTATAGTTAGCCACTTTGGCACAATAGTAACATTGACACAAATAGAATTAAACATTACGCCTTATAAATGCTTTGAGGTTTGCCAACATTAATGAGCTTTTGGTGTGTATCAGATCTTCCCTTTAGGATAATGGTAAATTAATATTAAAACCAATCCTAAAAATTGGTGATATAAATGGTAAAAATAAACAATGACTAAAATTGATAATTCACACAACAATTACTTCTTTTTTTTTTTTTTTTTTTTAATATCACAAATATACTAAGCCTATTATTATGTCCACTGTTATTACACTAGAACAGAAAAAGGTGACCTAAACAAATCAAAAATATCAAATTCTTTATGACGATTCTTATTACCAACTTTAGCGAAGATCTTTTGTGAATATTTATCAATTCTATCTTCAACCGTAGGAATGGGTTAATCTTGTAAATTTGAAGAAACATAAAATATTACTTTCTCTAGAAAATAAGATAATTCAAAGTCTTAAATATTAACCCCAATTTGATCCTTTTTTCATCTCTCCATCTCCTCTCGTTCCCTTTCCCTTTCTCACCCCAATTCCCACTCCCCACCCCCAAAATTGTTCTCTATTCAATTAGTAAATTAAAAAATTTCCATACTCAATCCAAACCATGCGTTTAAAAAATATTGAAAACCTGTCACTATACCAACTTACTATGATTCTTTATACCTCTACAACAAAAACTTCAAAATTCATAGCCCTTGCAATATGAGGAGATGATCTTCAAAATTCCACATTAATGGTTTGATGTCTTCTAGATGTAGATTATTCTAGTTAGCCACTTTTGGCCACAATATTGAGTACTTTGACACAAATATAGGGAATGTAAACACTTACGCCTTATTAAATGCTTTTGAGGTTCTGGCCAAACTTAATGAAGCTTCTTGGTGTGATATCAATGCTTTCCCTTTAGGTGGTTATATTAGGTAAATTAATATTAGTAAACCAATCCTAAAAATTGGTGATTATAAATGGTTAAAATAGTAAACAATGACTAAATATTGTATTAATTGCACAGCAACATGATTACTTCTTTTTTTTTGTTTTTTTGTAATCCGGTCCTAGTTGTGGATAGGTTAATTTAGTTGATGCCTTCATCAAAACAATTATATTCCTTAAGAATTAACTAATCTTTGACATATAATTATTCATAGTATGGCATACCAAATAGTGCTTTTTTTTTTTTTTTTTTTTTTGGTCCTGGGGGTGGTTATTAGATGCCCTCAAAAGTATATTCTTAGATCTTCTTTGACTATAATTATCATACATGGCTACCAAATAGTGCTCCACATTCATAAATACACGCTAAAACTTGCATGAAAAGGGAAAACTCCTAAATCTTAATCCTACTCTCCCCTCTTTTTTCATTTTGAAATCTAATTGCAGTCACTTGAGATTTGCAAAACATAAAAGCATCACTTGGATGTTGTTTGGCATCCCTATATCACTATTTAAAAGGAAATTAGTCACCAAGAAGCAACATAATTAGTGTTCGAACACACTAGGCAATCACTTTAATTATGGTGTAATTCACAAACTTTTGTTCAAGCAATGTACTAATTTTTTGTTTAATTCACTCATAAACCTTTTGCAAGTATATTAGAGAGTAGAACAATGTCCTAACTATTTCAATCTGAATTCATTTTAGGAAGTTCATTACATATTGTTTTAGTAAACTATATCTCACTTCAAGTAAGGAAGTTTGCCTTATTGATACCCTTACTCTTAAGGTTTAAGAAGTTGAATGCTCAAAATTTAAGAAGGTCCAACTTCCTTTCAAACTTCACTTCCTAGCAAATCAAACACAATTGCTCCACTTACTTCCCAAGAAGTTCTTAAGCCCACTTCCCATAAAACACAAAAGGACTACATAATTCCTAGATCAAATTGGTTTTAACAAGAAATACTACTACTTTTAGTATTTGATGCTGATTAGAAAGTTTTCATTGATTACTATCATTCTATTTTATATAGAGCAATAATTTTTGGTGTCTATACATAGATTGACTTTCTTCTAGTATGCTCCCTCTAAAATCTTTTCCTTTACGCCTCTCCCTTCTTCTTCCACTGCTTAACGATGACCCGCATAATGCTTCAACAAGCATAAAATAAGAATTATTTACAGCCAACCTTAGTATCATGGAAATTAGATGATGCCTCCCAATAAATAAAGTTTCTTGGATCAAAATGATAAGCAAAGCAATTAATGTGTCTTCCAATGCATTATATTCTCTTCTTTATGTTCCTGATTGAGAACAATTTCTTCACTTCTAGATCATGAAGGAACTGAAAACATTTTATTGCAAGATACCAGTGGTCATATACCAAAGTAAGCATCAGAAAGAAGATATACGTGAATTTGTAATGTGTTCTAACATCAGCACACCATGGAGTGTTGACTAATATAGTCCATTAAAAGTAACACAAAAGTCTGAATCAGAAGGAAATCAAAACCTGGGCTCCAGCTACAGCAATATGTTAGAAACATCAGCTGAATCATGTGCCAATAACTATAAATGGATCAAAATAAACCTTCCTTTGAGCATATTGTATGACGACGACAGAAAGCACGCTTGTCGACAGCCATGCCCACAGCATGAATGCTAACCAGCGTGCTCTCTCTCGTCGTCAAGCAATTATGTGAAGATCTAAAGGCAACCTGCAAGAATCGGCAGAATCAGAAGAAACACAGATAAAATGGATCCAAAAGACTAATATTTGGGATGTACTCACCAACAGAAAGGGATGGCACCAAAACTTCACATTCTCCCATGAATAGGATATTTCAAAAGCAACCTAAAACAATATCAATAACACAGTGAAACAACAAATAAATCTTTCTATCAGCACATGATAATAATGAGAAATTGGAGCCAAAGGTTTCATTCATTCACAATCTAAATGTTGTAAGCAGCAGCAATTGCAAACCATCTGTGTATCTAGCTCATAAACTAATTACTAATATCCTAGTTTACTCTTCTGACTATATAAAGCATGAATTTACTAAAAAAAAAGAAAGTTTGTCTAATTCGTTTCATGAATTGTGTTATACATGGAATCACAAACCACTGGACTGTTTTTCTCTAGAAAAGGGATCTACACTCAATTTTCACTGATTACCACTTAAAGAAACATCAAACGTCAAAACTTAGCATAATAAAGAAAACCACAAATAAATAAAGCAAATAAATAAAGCATTATCCTATATAATGAAACATGTAACACCTTAATAATTAGGGCACACCAAAACCCAATCTTGATATTTAATTATTAGAATAAAGGGTATAAAACCTCACAAGGTATATCCAAACACAAAATTCCAGCTTCTTCTAAGCATTACAATGAAAACGAATGGAGTGTTGATTCAGTTATCATATCACAAATACTGAACTAGGTATAGAAAGCAACACGGAGATTATAACAACCCAAAAAAGACTAAAAAAAAAAAAAAATCTTAGGAAGATTTGCAAAGCATGTTCCATACCCAAGTGAAGGACACACCAAAAACCCTAATGAGTGGCTGAATTGAAGAACTTATAATTTGGGTCACAACAATAATTTAATCATGCTCGTCCATTTTAATAATGTAGAACTAAAATGTAAGAAGAGAATAAATTTTCAGTGGAAAAAACAAGACAATTAAAATATTTTTCTTTCATCTTCCTCTCATTTTTTTGAGCAACCAAACAGCGAGTAAGGAGATCTGAACATCAGAAAAGGTAAAGTCTTTAGAGAATAACATGGTTTGTAAATTATGGAAAAAAAAAATCCAAAGATCTAATATTGCAAGCATAATAATTCATAAAAAGACTATAAAATCAGATTCAATCCGAAATAACCACAAAATTAATATAAAATAATGAAATTTAAAAAAAAAAAAAAAAAAAAAAAAAATAATGAAAGTTAAAAAAAAAAAAAAAAGAAAAAAAAAGAAAAGCACAGTTGAGGGACTGCAGGATTTAAAAAAAAAAAAAAAAAAGAAAAAAAAGAAAAAGCACAGTTGAGGACTCGCAGGATGGAATTTAACTAGAGACCGAAAACAAAGCACCGTCTGAAGGAAGAGGAAGGAGGATATATGGACAGGCACTAGACACTACTCTGTCTTTTTTCTGTACGAACTATAAAAGAAGAAGATAAAGGTAAGAGAGGCGTTTTATTAAAATATATACCAAGCTAAGCAAACATATTTGATGGGACTTATTGGTCAAAAATTTATCCACGTGTCTCCTTGTCGTTATTTTCTATTTACGCGTATACAAAATGGATCGCAGTACATGTACTGGAGTCTCCCCTGGTCGGGGATGCTGTGACGGTTTATGGTAAAAATGACGTTGTATGTACTACTGCTACTATTAGGGGCTTCATCCATTTCGATTCGGTCAGTTTTCTTATAAAAGAAGTTTGGGTTTCATTTTAAATTGGTGAACCAAAGTATCGTTCGGTTCGATTTTCGTGAATCTAAAAAATAACTTAAAAAATCGAACTGACCCAAAAAAATGCCACCAAAATCTTTGGATTTAAATTTATTAAATTTGGTTCAGTTTTAACTCGAACTAACCATTTATACATGCTAATCCTGTATATCACCCTGGGGCCTTATTCTTTCCTTTTGAATTGTTCGCAAATGGGCCTCCCGGTAAGCAAAGAGCCCAGCCCGCTAGAGTTTAGTCCTACGAGTGAAAACCATCAAAGCCTCATTGGCAATTTAATGCGAGGCCTGATGTGGTGAGTCAGCTAAAAAAGCTCAAGCTTTTATCTGGATCAAAAGCCGATGTGCTCGTTCAAGCTAAGCCCATAACATAATACTTGCAATTGCCAAATACAAATTAGTTAATGATTATTGAGCTACATCATTAAAAAAAAAACTCTAAACTTTGCGGATAGTTTTAATACCCTAAATCAATTTTCTTCTACTAATACTCTAAACTTCAGTTTTAGTTATAATATCACCCTAATTTTCAATATGAATTCAATTTAACAAATAAATATTATTTTCAATTGCTTGCAAAAAAAATATTATTTTCAAATTATACTTAATATTAAAATAAAAAAAATAATATATTCAGCTTAAAAATAAAAAATACTTTTATTTATTTATATAACATTAACAACAAGTAGTGATTTCCTAAAAATAAAATTATTTCGTAATGAATAAAACCTATTTTTATAAAAGATCTATCTCAAATATAATTTCAATAAACCCTAACTAAAATTCCAAGCTTAAAAAATGCAAAACAAAAATCTAAACTAATATTATATGTCTATAACTAATTGAAATTTATTATTTTACTTGGCTTTTATGAATTTTAAAAAAAAAATTCTAACCAATATTAGTTAGTGTGTTATTAAAACCTGATCAATTCACCGAAAATAATATTTTATTTATTAAATTGGATGAAATTTAAAATTAGGTTGCTACTGTAACTAAAATTGAAATTCAAGATATTAAAAAAAGAAAGTTGGATTTAGGGTACAATTCCGCAAAATTTGAGGTTTATTTAATGATTTAGCCTGAATTATTGTTACATAAGAACTATTGTTTAAAAGAATCAGTACAGTGTAATTTGAAGCTATATACATTGCAAGGAATTTGAATTAATGTAGCTTAATTTGGTGTATTTTGTCCTTTCTCTTACAAAGCAACTAGCTTTTCTTTTGATTAGGCGATTGTTGATATTGGTCAGTCCAACAATTATCCTTGCTAACCGCTCTTCTCCATCTGTTCTTGAATACCTCTAGCTCAACGAGTGACCAGTTTTTGACCTGCAAATCACAGAGAGGTAAAAGCATTTTGAGCAATAGCTGATGCTGAGCTCAACAAGCTATGTAAGTCTCCCTTGAAAGCTTACCGTTTGTCTGTCTTTAGGTTGCTTGGACAATGGTTGTGCCTGAAAATTGAAATTTCAATCTCCATTATATTTACTCGAAATTTGTTAGAAGTAAATATTGATCGAATGTGCAGTTTTAAAAAGGGAAAAATACCTTATCTGATGCAGAACCTCCGAGTGTAGGAAGACCGTAATGAATTATGTACTCAGAATCAACAACCCCAATGTTTTTATTTGGATCACCCTGTCAATGCATATTCCATTTAAGCAATACTTCAAACAGAATAAAGACATTTAAAGAAAATGGGATGAATTTAGGATGGCTTAATTACTTGCCTGTGCACAGTAACCAAGCTGAAAATCCACACCCCATCCATGAACCAAGTCATTCTATCACAGAAAGAAAAAAAAAAGATATGGGTGAAACTTATTGATTAGGAAAAATCACTCATTTCATTTACAGTACTAATTGCTTTCCCTATGTTACTGTAAAGATATAGTAAAGATATGCCATGTTCATATATACCTGAATCATGTGCCAGACGCATTGCCAGGATGCTTTTGAGAAAACAGGAGCCATCATTTCTACAAACCTGTATAGATATTATCATCAACTTGTTTTAATTTTGAGTTATCTACTGATAATCTGTAATATAGTTTAGGAGACTAGTTTTTTTCTACCCTGAACATGGATAACCTGTGGCATTTTGATCACATCTTGACCTTCCAATCTTCTTGTTAACTCTCCTGTTATCACAAAATCAAAAATTACTAATGTCAATTGAGGTTTTATAATAAAACTTTCAAAGCATGAATTTTTTTTTTTTTTCCCATTGGAGAACCTGTGTACTGTTGTTCCCTGGAGTCTGGCTGTCATAAGATGATGAACTTCTGAGACATTAGGATCAAGTGCTGGTTGTGATATCTCGAGTCCTTCCTCTTTAATAATGGAGATATATCTACAGGTAAATCATTAAATTGCTTTAAGAGCAAAAATCTTAATCTTTCCTTAATTTACAGGTTCTTAAAAATACATATACCTTCTGGGATTGAGGTAGTCAACACCAATGTCTTCATCCCACAAGAAGATATAATCATACTCCGAAACTATATCTGGGTGTAAGAAACGTTTCGCAAACCACCTAAGCAATGAAGATATGACAAATATTCAAGATTTAACAGGATTTAATGGCCAAACAAATTTGGATTCCTTGGTTTAGACCATTTCTAGTCAGGTAGTATTGCCCAAAAACAGTTCTGAATGTATATAGGTACATAAAGATCACTAGTTTACCACTTGGTTTGATTGTTAGCAACTATGTGTATGGCGTGAGAACTCCATTCCAAATCTCTCCATTCATCCACAATTCCATCGTAATGAAAATGCATTACAATAAAATCACTTGACAGAAACTGTGGTAGGAAAGTCCAAAACAGAAATTAGGTACATACATATAAGGCACCAATAAAAAAATGAGCATTTTGATTTTCACCTTCTCGACAATTTTGTTAACATTCTGTTTTTGCTTTATTCCCACTGCCATGGCCAATAAGTTCTTTGGTTTCTTCAAGCTCTAAAACGAAAATTCAAAAACAAGTCATCATCAGTACTAAAGTCAGGGAACCCAAGTTTTATATGCATCCAATAGTTTTGTATTAGTGAAACCTTGTCACGATGGCCCCATAAAGGTCGCATTTCCAAGTCAGAAGTTGCAGAAATGATACCTCTAGGCAATTTTTCAGTGCCACGAGGCCTCTGTTGGGTCTAAATGAATAAAACAGAAAACAGAAAATCACATTTTATCAGAGCTAATCATAGTATCAATTTTTTCATTTGAATCATATCAACAAACCTCACAAATTTTCATTGTATTATCCTTCACAAAATCAAATGTTGCCCATTCCCAAACCTTCTGCACATTCAACAATCAAAATTTAAATTCAATTTGGAATAAAAATTACTACATAAAGCTGCCAATCCTTGCTTACCTCTTTATAATCTGTGATGACAAATGCAGTGCCAATAAATAAAGCCGCAGAGAGCAAAAACAATGTGGGCAGTAAACAGCGAACACATGATTTCCGCTTGGCAGATTCAACCTTCAAAATGATCTAAGAGCAAGAGAAATCAAGAATAAACATGAAAAGTGAAAACAACCCAGAAAAACAGAAAGTGAGAGAGATAGAGAAAGACTTACAGGAGCTGACATTTTCAGATGCTGCTAAATTGAAAAAATGGTAGTGCAATTTACTTGACTGACTCTCTGAATCTTGAATCAGGAAACGAAAAGCCTGTTCTAACAAGCGTTTCTTGTATGTTCTTTTTGAATTTTGAGCTAGTTATTGCTTCTTAAGCGTGCTAATGAAAGTGGTACTTTGCGTAACAATGTGAATATCACCTCACCTCTGCATATGAATGAGCCAGGATTTGCTCCGTGCATATGGTGCTTACTTACGTTGCATTGACTTTGACAAGTTAATAATTTTCCACTATCTAATTTTCAAAAATATCAACGCCTAATTTTACCATCTTTTTAGGTGCATATCCACAAAAACTCTTGTAAAATGACTGATCTGTCCCAAAATAATAATCCATATTTTCCTTTTAGTTTGTCTTAAAATATAGTTCACTTCCCTTTTTTTCATTATAATTAATTCTTAAATTATTTATTATATTCTTATTAAATTTTATATTATTTTCAATAACCCTCGTTAATTTTTACTTATTATTCCAATATCGTAATTACTTATGTGTTATTTAAGATAGGATAATAAAAAAGTTATATAAATAAAATTGTCCTTTAACTATAATACTTGTTACTTTTTAATTTATGTGAAAATAGAAAGAGATAGAATAACTTAACCTAGCCAAATGATCAACCGTAAAATTGGCTTCCCAGTAAACATGACAGAGAAAGCACTTCCAATTTCACCTACCTCTTTAAATGAAACATTATAAAAGTGAAATCTACCGGTTACCTTTGGTTTAAAACCCAAGCAACAAAACGCAGTGTTTTATTAAACAAAAAGCTAACAACTTTCTCTCCCAATTTCAATCTCTCTCAAAAAGCCAACAAAACGCATTGTAATACATGAATAATATTATTTGGAATTGGGGTTAGTGAAAAATAAAAATAAAATTGTAATTGAATGGGGAATTAATGCTATTTTGGCTGGCAGCTTACAGTATTGAAAGACAAAATAAAATTCACTCATAGTTATCACACATCTTTTGAACTATTGAGGGCAGCCATTTATGAAATTTATAATATGGTCGAAGTCAAAGTCAGTTGGAGGTTTGTCGTTCTGGAATGACATTGGTGTTCCATCGAGTCCTTGAAATTAATGAGCCAAATCGATGGGACATCTAAATGCTTTCCACTTGCCTATATCACTTGACAAACTTGTCAACCCAAACCAATTCAATCCGTGAAACATAAAAGATCAATCAAATGATTTGAATTAAAATTTTGATACTTTTACGGTGAAATTAATCAAACCTAAAAATACTTTCTGTTGGAATCAATTTTGATTTATAAATTTTAAGCCTCATGATCAAGATTATAAATATATATAAACCATTAACCATAAATTTGTGTTGCTTAGTCACGTATACACAGTTTGGAACTTAAATGCTCTTGAGACATGGAAATTAAAAATTAAGAAGGAAAGGGTATCTTATTTATGAATTGATGGCATTAAGCCTTACACACAATACAAACCTTTTTTTTTTTTTCTGTTCTTTTTTCTATGTAATAACACGACGCACACCTTTATTACTAAGCCAAAAGCAACTTTGGCACTGAAAAGGAAAAGAAAAAAAGGAAGCAAGATTACTGGTTTTTAGCTGAAAAAAATGGCACGCAAGATCGCCATGATCGTGTGGGGTTTGGTTAATTTTCTTGTTTAAACATCAGGATTTGCCAAGAGGTAGGCTTCGACAGCCTTGAACATTCCTATGGCATTATCATCTCCCCTCTTGACAACGTTAACGTCAAGCTCAGCATCACCTTTTGGATAGTAGTTGGTGGTGAACTTGGCGATGGATCCTCCGTCAGGGGTAGGCACTACTTGCGTCTCATATACAACTTTATCAAGGGTATCTAGCCATGGTTCACCTTCAAACGAAGTGTACTTAAATATGAAATTGTCCTTGTCTACTGCATCAATCTTGTGCTTTATGTATTTCACTTCAAACCCTGCAACAGAGAATCAAGAATTATATATAATTAGTGCAAATTATAGAGGATCAAGATTTGCTAAATAGCTTAATTGTTGTAAGTGTCCATTATGTAGTATAAGAATAATAAAACTGACCATCTGCAAAGTTGGTTTTTTTAATGGTTCCAACGCCTCCATCACCTTGAAGGATCTCAATGTTCTTGATGGTTTGAGGCAAAATCTTAGGGGCATAGATGTGAGATTCAAACAGAAAAACCTTGAACAACTTGGCTGCAGGGACAGCGCTAACAACCGCAGACTCATAAGTCAAGACACCCATGTTTTATATTAAGCCCTTAAGTTGGAAAAGAAAATATCTAAAACAATGAACAAGATCTATATATTAGCTAGTAATCTTAACATGGAGTGTGTGTGGCAAAATGCAAGAGCTGAGGAAGTTATTTATATCGATGGAATGAGCTTCAAGATTAGATGTAGAAGGATTTGCATTTAAGGTCAAAGAATGCATGCAATGGATAGAATTAATTTCCCGACTGTCCAGTTCAGTCTACCATAAACGAATTGTGGACCTTCTAGACATGGTCACAAGTTGATGGTAAAAGACTTGGCGGTGTTCTATAACAGAGTTGACAAGAAAATTGCATAACTTCTCATTTAACCTTTTAGCAAAATGATATTAAAGGCTAATTGACATATTTAGAAAAAAAAAAAAAGTTAAATGATCAAATTATAATAAATGGTTACTTAAAGCAAAGGTAACATATTATTCACTCTCTTAATTATGTTATTATTGTTTCGGCGTAATCCAATAAGAGTTGCCATTGATCATCTAGATTATGACTTCCGTATTGTCCCTATATAGATTTACTTATACATTAAATCAATAAAAATAATTTCGTATGCATGTATTTTTGAAAAAAAAATTATAAACTAGTAATAATATTTTAAAAAATTATACAATATATATGAGAAAAAGGACTTGCCGTGTTCCTCTTAACAGAGTTGACAAGAAAATTGCACTAACTTACTATATTAACCTTTTAAGCAAATGATTTAAAGGCATAATTGACATATTTTAGAAAAAAAAAAAAAGTTTAAATATGATCAAAATTATAATAAATGTTACTATAAGCAAAGGTTTAACATATTATTTCATCATCAAATTATGTTATTATATTGTTTCGGTGCGGTAAATCCAGATAAAGAGTTGCCAATCGATACATCTAGATTATGAACGTATTGTCCAGTATAGGATAGATTTACTTATACCATTAAAATCAAATTAAAAATAAATATTCGATAATGCATGTGATTTTTTTGAAAAAAATTATAAACTAGTAATTAATATATTTTAAAAAAATTATACAATATATATATTATTAATACAATATATATCATTTAATAAAGTATATCACATGATAGTTAGTCATTTTGATGTGCTGCGAAATTCCTGAATTATAACATGATTATCTTTTATATATAGTCAATTTTGATGTGCTCCGAAATCCTAATTATATGATATCTTTTTTATTTCTATGGTCATCCAACCCAAGAAACAAGTTAATGGATGACTTTGTTTTTCTATTTTTTGGAATTGAAACGAGTTATATAAATTGATGGATGATGACTTTTGTTTTATAAGTTAATTTAAAATATATGATATAACTTAATTAGTATTACAGTGAAAGCACAAACTTATATAAAATAATTTTTTAAATAAATAAGTAGAGCGTAATGGCTAAAAAATATGTGGACCATTCTATAGACATTAAAATATAATTAAAAAATACATAACAAACTTTTTTTATATATAAATTTGATAGTTAGACTTAAAAATTAAATTTTATGATAGAATGAAATCATAGTTTAATTCAGCAATAATTGGATGTAAGCATTTAACTTATACTTTTAAAATATTAAGTCAATTATTTAGTCAATGTTACTAATGAACATTGATGGAGCTAGGGGTCTAGGGGTGGCCCTGCTCCCCTAATAATTTTTTTTAAGAATTTATATATAAAATATTAAATTTTTTTTTATTTTACCCTCTAATAAATTTTTTCAATTTCGTTTTCCTTTAATTTTTTAAAACTTTTTAGCCCTTAACTTTAATTTCTAGCTCCATAACTGCTAATGGAACAATCCATCGGAGTTTTAAAATTGTAACCATCAGTGAATGGGCATGACTCCTAATTCCTATCATGACTTAATTTTACCTGAGTTAAAAAAAAAAAAAAAACTATTTTTATAAAATATTTAAAAATATTACAAATTATAAGGCAATTAGAGTAATATTTTATAATCTGATAATTAAAAAAAAATCATCTTCTATACCATATTTTTATAACAAAATATTGACAATTGAACTATTTTTTTGTAAACTATTCATCTTTAAAAAAAATTACCTTTTGTAAAATATTAGAAAGTATTATAAAAATATTGACAAATAGGAGCTATTATTTTGTAATTCCTTAATTTTTATACAAAAATAATCATTTTTTGCAAAATATTTGAAAATATTAAAATATTGGCAAACATAAGTTATTATTTTGAGAAACACCTACTAAAAAATAACCACCTTTTGTAAATATTCAAAAGTTTGCAAAATATTGATTAGCATCCGGAGCCATTATATTTTGTAAAGCATTAACTTTAAAAAAAATTTTTTTTTTATAAAATATTAGCAACCAGGCTTATATTAAAAAAAAAAAAAAAAAAAAAAAAAAAAAATGGAGAGTCGATGTCTATGTCTAGGTTGCACGTGGATCAATTAAAAAAAAAAAAAAAAAAAATTGGAGAGTCCGAGGTCTATGTCTAGGTTGCACGTGGATCAGATTGGGTTAAGTTTATCTATTTAAAGCACTAAATCCATATATGGGTTAATCACTTTTTAACCACATCCATTAAATGTGTGAACCCCTGAATTATAAAAGAGGTTGAATTGCATTTGGATTCAATGTAAATCCACATATAAAATAAATGGTAAATAATAAAATAACTTTAAAAGGAATAAGGTAACCAACAAAATTAAATATAAATAGAAACATACTTATACAACAATTTTCATAAACCACAACATTTTCCTATAAAAACATTTCAAAATAAGTTTCTTAATAATAATAATAAGCAGCAATAATGAGAAATTAGATTGCTTCAACTAACAAAATCAAAATTAGTTAGTAATAATTATACAATCAGTTTTAAATTATAATATGTTCTAATAGTAACATTTCAAAACAAGTTTATACTAAAAAAACTGTAATAATTTAATATTTATATTTTTGATTTAATCATCAGGTATCCAAAGTCTACTTACTCGACTAATCTAGATTCGCGCCGGACAGGCTCACAAAAGGGGGTAAACCGCTCCCTCACAAGTGTTTAAAGGGACTTCATACCCAAGGCTTAAACTTGAGACTTCTGATTAAGGGAAAATGTATCTCTGTCATCCCATCTCACTCTTCATGAGTATAATTTAATATTTATATTAAAAATTAAAAATTAAAATAAATTTATTTAAACAGTCGATAGTTATATGTATGTATACCGTGTGTGTATATATAATTGATACTGTTTACGGATTGGGACGGATTTATTGGTTTATCTAGTGTACCAAATCCGTGTGAATCATATAGTTACTTATCCGGTCCAACATATTATATTCTTAAATTGGTCAATTAAGTTAAATTTAATTAAATTGCTCCGGTTGAGTCGAATTGAAATGGGTCGTGTGCAATCGTACCTATGCACCTTATGTGAATCACAAGTACGAGAGTATGACTTACTTAGACCTAACCTACAATCTTGTATTTATGAAATGAAATTATATTTTTTTTTAAAAAAATAAAAGTAATTTGAACCATTCACTAAAAAAACAATAAAGTTAAAATTTTATATTGTAATTAGTTTGATTCATGCATGAGTCTTGTAGATAGATTCTAGATAAATTTTACCAACTAAACATACCATCAACGGTCCTTGAGGCAGTACTATACCTGTCGATCTACTGCGCACAAGGATGACGTTGTATTTTCAAATATGGGCAAGTATTTTCTCGGTTTGTCTTTTTATTTGGTATATAGAATTACATCTTTTTTTAGAATGTAGAATTACAGTTTTTATTTCCAATATAAGTATTTTTCAAGTTTTACGAATATACAATATATTCAAAATATTATCTTAAAAATTTTAAAACATTTTTTAGTGGAATCAATCTTGATTCATAAATTCTAAGCTTCATGATGAATGACGAAACTACATTGTTAAGAGGAGATAATTGCACTCTTCTCTTTTAGGAAAAACAATTTTTTTTCTTAACAAGATTAAGGTTCCAATCTTGTCCAATAAAAGATTTCAACCATCTTGTAACTTTATCCTTTTTAAGATTTTCATTTAATTAAATTTTATATTATTTTAACCTCCACTTTTAAATTCGAGTTTGGCAAAGTTCATGATTAAGATTATAAATATATATAAACTTTAATACTGTAAAATAAACACTTGTGCTAGCTAGCTAGCCAAACCATTAACCATAAAGCTATGTTGCTTGGCATATATACGGTTTGAAACTTAAATGCTCTAAAAACTTCGAAATTAAAATGCAAAAAATAAAAATAAAAATTAAGAAGGAAAGGATGTCTTATTATATTCATCATGAGTTGATGGCTCTAAACCATCCACACACACAATACAAACCTTACAACTGCGCCAAAAGTAATTTTGGCAATGAAAAGGAAAAGAAAAAGGGGAAGCAAGATTGCTGGTTTTTAGCTGAACAAGAAAATAGCACACAAGATCACCATAATGGCGTGGGGTTTGATTTTCTTGTTTAAACATCAGGATTTGCCAAGAGGTAGGCTTCGACAGCCTTGAACATTCCTATGGCATTATCATCTCCCCTCTTGACAATGTTAACGTCAAGCTCAGCATCACCTTTTGGAGAGTAGTTGGTGGTGAACTTGGTGACGGATCCTCCATCAGGGGTAGGCACTACTTGCGTCTCATATACAACTTTATCAAGGGTATCTAGCCATGGCTCACCTTCAAACGATGTGTACTTAAATGTGAAATTGTCCTTGTCTACTGCATCAATCTTGTGCTTTATGTATTTCACTTCAAACCCTGCAACAGAGAATCAAGAATTATTATAATCAGTGCAAATTATAGAGGATCAAGATTTGCTAATAGCTTAATTGTTATAAGTGTCCATCATGTAGTATAAGAATAATAAAACTGACCATCTGCAAAGTTGGTTTTTTTAATGGTTCCAACGCCTCCATCACCTTGAAGGATCTCAATGTTCTTGATGGTTTGAGGCAGAATCTTAGGGGCATAGATGTGGGATTCAAACAGAAAAACCTTGAACAACTTGGCTGCAGGGACAGCACTAACAACCTCAGACTCATAAGTCAAAACACCCATTTTCCGTATTTAAGGATTTAAGTAAGAAAAATATCTAAACAACGAACAAGATCTATTAGCTAGTAGATAGCTTAATTTGGAGTGTGTCTGAGGCAAAATGCAAGAGCTAAAGATGGTATTTATAGGTGGAATGAGCTTTCAAGATTAGATGTAAAAGGATTTGCATTTAAATGGTCAAAGAATGCATGCAATAATGGATAGAATTAATTTCCCAACCGTCCAGTTCAGTCTATCGACATTGAATTGTGTACCTTCTAGACCTTGCCTCAAGTCGACGGTAGAAGACTTTGGCGGTTTTCTCTAACAGAGTTGCCAGGGAAATTGCTTTACTTCTCATTTAACTTTGTAGCAAATTGTTTTGTGGTAGTAACGCTAGATTTTGATTGGAATCACGAGTTAATTAAAGCCAAATTGACTGAATTATGAAAAAAAAGACCATAAAAATAATTTATGTTTGAAAAATATTTTTTCAAATAATTAATTTTCCGCTGTTGTTACAATATTGAAAAATTAGTTTAAAAATATTAAAATTTTTAAATTACAAGACCATAAAATATTTACAATTATAGAAGTTTTATATTTTAAAAATTTATTGTTAAATATGAAAAAATGCATAAAAAAATATGAATTATGATAGTCGTTGAGGATCGATGGTGGTCATGGTTGATGGTAGTGAAAAGTGGTTACCAATGATTGGTGGTCGATAGTGGTGGATGATGGTGACTGATGACTGACGGTAATGACCATTAGTGATTAAAAATATGCATTTATAAGATTATAAATAAGTTTATCAATATTTCAAAATTGTTTTCCTCTCTTAAAAACGAGCATTTTTCATAAAAATTACATTTTTCTTTTTACTAAGAAAATACTTTCCGTTGATTGATTTTCTTGAGCCCCACTCTTAAAAATTTGAAAAATATGTTCTAGACCTATTATTTTCTAAAAATAAATGGAGCCTAAATGATCAATTATGATAAAGCTTACTTTAGGGAACCATAAAAATTCAATCTCTTAATTACATTAACATTATCTCAGTATACACTAAATAGGCAAATCTTATCGGATTATCAAATATGTAGCCAATCATATACCATTCATTTTTTGACAAAAGATAATATAAAAACCAAAAAAAAAAAATCCAAGTTCATATACGACTGGACAATAGATTTAGTTTCGAATTCGTCTCTCCCAAATACTCAATAAATATATATCCAAAAGATAATATAAAAACTCAAAAAAAAAAAAAATCCCAAGTTCATATACGACTGGACAATAGATTTAGTGTTCGGAATTCGTCTCTCCCAAAATACTCAATAAATATTATATTATATATATATATATATTATGTATATATATATATATATTTATATATATATATATATATATATATAATATATATATATAAACAGATGAAATATATATAAACAGATGATGTGATAATATCTGCCTTTAATAGTTAGTTAATGGTCAATTTTGATGTCCTAATTTTCTAGTCTTGTGTGGTATTATATATTATATAAAAAATATCTTTTTTATTTCTGTGGTCATCCAACCTGACAAACAAGTTAATGGATGACTTTTTTTTTCTCTACGTTTGGAATTGAAATGAGTCTTATAAATTGATGGATGATGACTTTTATTTTATAAATTAATTTAATATAAATGATATAACTTGATATTATAGATTATAAAACATTTTTGGCTTAATGATAAAAAAAAGTCTGAACTTCGACATTTTTATCAATTCTAGCCGGTTCTTTTAATTTTATTAATCAATATTATGTACCTAATTTTCTATATCAATTATAATCTCCGTTTGTCTTCCGTCAATTTCATGCTGATGTGACAGTTATCTCTCACAAGTGAGCCCTATAACATCCAATGTCAGCGACAAGTTATATATATACATATATTAAGAAAAGTATGAACTTTAAGGTTTTTATCAAATCTACCCAGTTCTTTTAATTTTATCAATCAATACCGCATACTAATTAATCTCTATTAAATGATTTTGTTATATTGATATTTATTCAATTAAATAATTTATTAATTAACTATATATATTAAGTATATAATGGGATTAAATTACTATTTATCACTTTTCTATTTTTTTTTTTTTTGGTTAAGATTTTTTTGTCTATTATCAACGGACGTTCCCTGAAAAAACAATGAAAAAAACTGACAAAAAAAAATAAACCCTCCACACAAAAAATCAAAACAAAAACTTACAATTGAAATTAATTTATTAACGATTAAACTATATATATTAAGTATAATTAATTATATTGATATTTATTCAATTAAATAATTTATTAATTAACTATATATATTAAGTATATAATGGGATTAATCAATTAGAATTCAATTTTACCGAAGAGTCTTTTAAAAATGTTATTTTTAAATATACTAATTGATAACATTTTTAAATGTAGTAAAATTGAATTCTAATTGATTAATGCCATTAGACACTTAATATACATAGTTAATTAATAAACTATTTAATTGAATAAACATCAATATAACCGAATCATTTGATAGAGATTAATTAATACGTGATATTAATTGATAAAATTAAAAGAATTGACCAGCTTTGATAAAAATTCTTAAAGTTCAAGCTTTTTTTAATATATGTAGATATATGACTTGGCGCTGACATTGGATGTTGTAGGGTCCACTTGTGAGAGATAATTGCCGTATTAGCATGAAATTGACGGAAGATAAACGGAGGCTAGAATTTATATAGAAAACTAAATATGCGGTATTGATTGATAAAATTAAAAAAAAACTGGCTAGAATTGATAAAAAATATGCTTTCTTTGTCATTAATCAATATTTTTTAAATAAAAAGCGTAATGGTTAAAAGAAAATTTATGATTCTATTGGATGATTTGGACATTATATAATTAAAATTATATATAAAAAAAAAAACTTTTCCTTAGATTTAAAAATTAACTTTTCTAAGAATTTGATCCTTAGCTTTAAATTTAAATTTTATGGTGTTTAATTTAATAATAATTACAAAATTAACAACGGTATCTCTTTGGTGTTCAACTACAGATATTTTCAATTCATTAGAGTGAATCTAATCTTACTCACTCAGCGTTAGACACTTTAAATATATTTTTTTTTTTCGTTCACAAGAATAAAATACTTGACCTTTTATTTAAAAAATTTGAATATTTTTATTTAGATCAACCCGATTAGAATTTGAATTGTACCTTTAAAATATTAGGTCAATTGTCAATAATACTTATCAAACAACCCATAAAAATTTTCAAACTGTGACAATCAACGAATGGGCGTGGCAGCTTGCGGTGGACTCCATTGATGTCATAAGTCAATACTTCTAAGATCTAACATCGCCATCAAATAATCGTATTCTTTCTCCCAAGTGATTATCCCGCAATTCTTGGTGTTCTAATGCTCATTGGTCTCAAAAGATAGCTCTTTTTTTTTTTCCTTAAAATATAGTCTTTTTTTTTACATTATAGTTAATTTTTAAATTGTCTATTATATTTTAATTAAATTTTATCTTATTTTCAATAATTTACATTAATTTTTATTTATTATTCCAATATAATAATTATTTATGTATTATTTAATATGAATATAATAGGAAAATTATATAAATAAGTTATATCCTTAGCGGTTTAAAGAAAATTGTTTGGTAAAAACTAATTGTTTGATATTAGCTGCTAAGTTTAAAATGAAAAAAAAAAAAGTAAAAAGAATTAGTTTTATATATTACAGGTAAGGCTTGTTAACTTGTAAAAAAAAAAAAAAGTAAAAGGTACAAGTGTTAAATAATTATCAATTAATAAATATTTAGTGGGATAATATTTCAAAAATGATCTCGTAACCTTTAAAAGTTACTATATAGATTACCATATTGAGTGCTATAACTTATAAAAATAGTATTATATATAAAAAGAAAAGAAAAAATTGGAATATAAAAGTGTTTATTGGATGAATTTTTATCTGAATTTGTAAGTCAAAAAATTATTTATCTGAATTTGTAAGTTAAAATTTTATTTGGATGAATTTTTTAAAATTGAAGAGCGGCGAAACTATGTATTGGATCGTTTTTTTTTTTTTTTTTTTAAAAAAATTATTTATCTGATTTGTAAGTTAATTTTATTTGGATGAAATTTTTTAAAATTGAAGAGCGGCGAAACTATGTATTGGAATCGTTTTTTTTTTTTTTTTTTAAATTTCTTTTTTGGAATACACCCAAAGGTTTAAGCCTTAAGCTTAAAAAATATTTTTTTTTTTTTTTTTTTTAAATTCTTTGATAACACCAAGGTTTAAGCCTTAAGCTAAAAAAATTATGAAACACTTTCAATCATCTTGCCCTTCCATCTTCAGTCATCTTGCCCTTCCATCTTTATGCAATTTTTCTTTAATTAAAATTTTATATTAATTTGCTCTCATTCTTTTAAATTTTAGCTCTGCCCTTTATTATTTAGTCAATGTTACATGTGGAATTCTATTTTTTTTTTTAAATTATAATCAATATTCTATTTTTTTACGAGGCTAATCTCGATTTTAGACTTTATAACTATTTTAAATCCATAAATACTTTTTATAATCTTTAATTTTACAGAGGTGACTTGCTAAATTTAAATGTGTCTTTAAGACTCTTTATTGTTTTATTTTCTTTTTAGGATTACGAGGCTATTAGGAAGAGATTGAAGACACTGTGATTTCACGATCGAGAAACCTTCTAGATGTTCGTTTTTTATTTTCTAGATTATTGGAACTGTTTTAAATTAAAAATAATGGTAAACACATTGCAAAATCCTGGATTTTCCAGGTTTTTATCATTAAACTCCTAAATAAATAAAGGCTTCTTGACTCAATTTCTTATGAAAATTTTGCCATAACAAACTTATTTTTTACTGGTATAGGACGAAGTTAGGATCTAAAAGTAAGGAAGCAAAATATATATTGAGGATGCAAAAATCAAGAAATGCATATCCATACATCACAAATCTATTAGTACGCCATAAAGGAAATAAGTAAAATTTTAATATATTTATCAATTTTAGTTCAATTACCCCGAAGACAATACAATTCAAGCCATTCATTCAACGCAACAAACTGCAGGCTCGTTTATTACTAAGCAGAAAAAAATATTAAACCGAAAAATAAGAGGAAATTAAACGTCAGGATTTGCCAGGATGTGGGCTTCAATAGCCTTGAACATTCCCAAGGCATTGTCTTCTCCTTTCTTGATAACGTCAGTGTCAACCTCAGCATCACCTTTTGGATAGTACTTGCTAATGAGCTTGGTTATGGATCCTCCATCAGGAGTAGCTACTAATTTCGTCTCGTATACAACTTTATCAAGCGTATCTAGCCATGGTTCACCTTCAAATGCAGTATAATTGAATATGAAATTCTCCTTGTCCACTGTGTCAATCTTGTACTTCAAATATTTCACTCCAAACCCTGCAATATAAACACCCATTATTAACTAAAAATTTTGATTCTGCAAAATAATACTAATAACATTGCATGATTCATCAAGCTTACCATCTGCGAAGTTTGTCTGCTTAATGCTTCCAACTCCTCCATCTCCTTGCAGAATCTCAATGCTCTTGAAGGTTTGAGGCAGAATCTTAGGGGCATAGATGTGAGATTCAGAGAGAGCAACCTTGAACAACTTGGTGCAGGGACTGAACTAACATGCTCAGACTCAGTAATCAAAACACCCATTTCTTAATAAGTTGGAAAAAATCTAAACGATGAACAAGATATGAAGATATCAGCTAGTATATTTCTTTGGTGTGTGTTTGCAAAATGCAGGAGCTAAGGAAGGTATTTATTGATAAACTGAGCTGTCAAGATTTAGTAGAAAAGTATATTTACATTTTAAAGGTTAAAGAAAGCAAGCAATGGATAGAATTTTCTTACCTTCGAGATATGGTCTTTGCCTTCTAGATATTGTTTACCTTGACTACATAACAAAATATAAACATATATATGTATTATCATTTTATGAATTAAAGTTGCTCTTCTTTCTTGACGCAGTGGAAGTTTAGAACAACCACTGAACTAGAACAATAACCTTATTTTGACTTAACAACAATTAGCTTTGTAGTGTTGGACAAAGAGTATCGGAGAAACTTATTAATTAGTTAAAAGAAACCGATAATTAACTAATTTGAAAATGTTTAATACATATTCAACGGCAAAACTGCTCCAATATTCAAACATTTTGACAATGACAAGTAAATATAGAAGACGATGTAAACGATGTCATTCTTTTTTCTTTCAAACATACTGTTCAATGTAGGCATGGGCTTAAACAGTTGTTTCATTCCACTGGTCAGAAACAGCTGTGTGCATGAGATTATGAAAATCTTGACTCAGTTCTTGAAAATCGTCGTAAAATTTTCATTTCGAAAAAAAAAAAATTTAATAGCCCTATTTGGAATTTTATTTCTAGCTAATTTTAGAATTGGAATGGTTCTTTGATTAAAGCCAATTCATATTGATTCGATATCCCATTCCATCTAAAAAATTGAATATTCTTAATTCATTTGTTGAGTATTTGAAATTATTTTATTTAATCATATTTACTGCTCTTACCACCAAATAACAACATACAAATCTTTTATTATGAGTTTATTAGTGAATTAGCAATTGAAATTGTTTGATTTTATTTTTCTTTTGTTTAAAAATTATTTGCTTGCAATTGATAACTATATCGATTTATCTTTCTTAGTCAAAAAATAATTTAATAAAAAATATAGGAAACCTTGATAAATTTTACCCATCCGGTTTTGTCCTCCCTCCACTGGTTCTAATCATAAGGAAAATTTTCCGTCCTAGAGAAAAACTTCCTGTTGTTTTTTTTTTTTCAATTAACAAATCTTTCTGCCAACCAATCAAATTTCCTTTTTATTATTTTTTCTTTTTTATATTATATTTGGAAGATGTTTAAAAAGGAGAGATATCATCAGTCATTTCCGTTTGACTGAAAAAAGCCACTTCTTATTCATTTGCTTGATATTTATTGTCGTTTGCAGTTTGTTCCGGGAACAAAGTCTTTTCCATTTGTTGTTTGCAAAATCACTTCCCTACATTCACTCTAGTACCTCTACCAGAAATTATACTTGAAAGAAATAGAGGCCCCAAAATGTCTCATCCTAACTTAGGATTGAAGCCCTGAGGCTAATAAGGACTTCACATTGTGTATGTTTAACAAGGTAAAAGGCAGTTTTACAGTTTGACAACTCAACTTGCCAAAGGAACAGAATCACCATTGGTCTTACAATTTAATAAACTCGGCTCATTTGGCTTGTACAGTTATAACATGTCCTGTAAAAAAAAAAAAAAAAAGAATACATTATTAAAGGGTGAAAATGCACCTGAAGCATGTCTCAAAACACCAAAATTTACACGAAGATGCATATGATTACAAGTATGTCATGACATAGGTCTTTAGATCATTAACTACCGTGTATATCGTTGCATCATCAACTTCAGCTCCTGCTAAGAACTCCGGAAATGATTCCTCCAAGTTCTTCACCGCGATCCTCCTGTACATGATGGCCTGCCTTCAAAAAGGAAAAAAATGCAACAAGTTGATTGCAATTATCACCAGCATAAGAAGCATAATTATAGAAAGTGAGCTAAAAGGTGATGACAAGAAAGTTATTGCCCTGAACCGTTACTGAAAAAAACCAAAAATTTCTTCACAAAAAAAAATTTTTACAATTAAAATGTTTCCTTGGGCAAAATGTTAAGAAGTTTTAAGCTACTCCGTAAATGCAAAGAGAGAACAGTTGCTACCATGGGAAGCTCAATCAGGTTGTATTTTGATTCCTTGCAGAATTCTTCAACTCCATCGTAGCTCAGCCAACGATCTCTCTGGCCCCAGCACACAGTGGTTTTAACGTTCCAGTTTTTGTCTAGAAGTATTGATCTCATCTCTTCCACATAGGCCTATACAATAAATTTGAAAGCAGAATAACGAATGAATATAACAAACATTGCAACTTAAAAGCTCTTCTCATGACAAGAATTAATAGGCAGCGACAAAAAAGTTCTTCATGGATATGAACAAAACTGAAAATGAAGCATGGACAATTTTTCCTCCATCTATTATTCTGAAAGTGTTAAAGTGCGGTTGTTTGAAGCATAAACCATAACTTATTTTCTGCCATTGAAATTCCTATGCTAAACTCTTACTGTAATGTAAACAAATTTGGTCCAAGAGATTTTCACATTGTCCACCAAAGAAAGTTCTTTTTATGGTACGGTGCCAAGAATTTGCAGATTCAACATTGAGTTAGTTAATAACATCGATTCTTCATATATAAAGATCATTGCCTGTAATTGCACAATTTTTATCCATGCAACGGTACAAGGAATGTGGGATACTCAAGGCTAGGAAAAAAACTCCCACTACCTAAGTAAACAAAATTGAAAAAAGAAAAAAAAAAAAAGTAGCACAAACAGCCCATCCCATTTGAGCTAGGTAACAAATTGCTTTTGTTGAGTAGACTTGAGAATAGAAATTCAGTTTAGTTCACCAGATTAAATTAAACATTAAAATAAGAGGGCATCGATTTCTTAGTAAAAGAACTTATGGCAAATTGAGACCAAATTCACATCCAAGAAGCAACTGCCAATTTGTATGAGGAGGAATGGTAAAAAGCTGCCTCACTCAAGAGAATATGAGAAAATAAATAGTCAAATATACCTCCTTTTCTCATAAAACTAGTTGACAAATAGAAAAGTACAGAAAAGGAAAAATAAATGGAATTCACCTTTAGCTCCTTCTTCATGGCCCTACTGATTGCATTCAGCGCAAATCCTGCAGAACCAGATGTGAGATATGGTCTTCTATATACCATTGCATCATCTTCCTTAATTTGATAAGGACCACAGCTTGTCAAGGCTTTGTCACTGGCCCTTAAAGGATCCTATTTTGTCATTGGAAAAACCAAACTGAGAACATAGCAAATAGAAACACAAAACAAAAACAAACATCCCATATCACTTGTAAACATCCAAAACAAATCTTTCCTACCTGAGAAAAAATTTCACCCAGTAAGAAGTTGCTGAATATAGATAATGTTGATGGAAGATTGGCATGTCTGGCAATTAGCTTAAGTGAAACAGGAAAAAGAAAAGCATGTAAGTTATTATCATCCAGAAAACAACTTTTCTTTCATCATTCTATTGTTATGATGTACATACAGCAAAACTTGACATTCTTACATATTTCTCCGTTTTCAAGCAAACAAAACTAATGTCCCTCTTTCACACAAAAGTTGAAGAAAGAGAAAACAAGTATTTGGTCAATAAACAGAATAAAGAGGTGAACACTTGGCTGGTAAAGTCTTTTAGTATATGGGATCAAGTCACGTTCTCACCAAGAGAAATTTAAGAGGGGATGGATAGCAGGACAGGGAGGATTATCCCAATTGTTTAGCCAAAGTACTTGGACCAGAAGACAAAAATTTCAGTGTTGCTTCAAACCTCATGGGAAATTGCCAATATTTAATATTTCAAAGAGAGATCTACAATTTGGCCATTTGAAAAAGCAGTGAATTGATATAATTAAAATGCTAATATGATGAAAATGATAGAAAAACTATGGTGAAGAGCAACTTAAAAGAGTTAAATAAAGGTTAAAGAAATACATACAGGAGGATTAAGGAGTACAAGGTCCTTAAGTTTTTCCTGATGCTTGCTAGCATATTTAACAACAACTGGCGAAAAGTAGCCCTGAGAAGTAGATCAAAGATTAGGCGTACTTAATATATATGTCAAATGATAAATATATTTTTGTATATAATGATGCTTTTGTAGATTGAGAGTAGGCAACGGTACCTGCACAACGAGTGAGACCTTATCAGTAGCAATTTCATTAATAAGGGAGTCCAAGGAAGATACATATTCTGCGAATCATCACAAAAAAACACACCATAGCTCATTCATTTCCTTTTTCCAACAACATCTTTAGAAGTAAGCTATTGTAATATAGGACTCAACCATTAAACTTTTTGGTGCATCATTAAGCTAAAACAATTACCATCTAGAGTATAGTCAAATCCATATCCAGGTTGAGGCTTATCTGAAAATCCAAAGCCTGCAAAATAGGGGGGGGGAGCCTGCAAAATAGGGGGGTGGGGGGGGCAACGAAAGGCTCAGAAAAGTTTCCGCTGTTTATGTATTGTAACTCAATAGCAATTATGGTGGAGTATAGATTCAAATGAACTCCTGAAGGAATGAAAAATCACATGGAAGCTCGAAAAGAATGTTAAAAGTTGCCAAACTGAAACCACCTTGGGGGGGGGGGGGGCAACGAGGCAGAAAAGTTTCCCATGTTAGTTTGTACTCAATAGCAATTATGGTGAGAAGATTCAATGACTCCTGAAGAATGAAAAATCACATGGAGCTCAAGAATGTTTAAAAAGTTGCCAAACTGAACCACCTTTAGAAGTATATAACTCCCTAAAGCTGCTCATAGAATAAATCTGTAATGTTCTTGTACAATAGTTAAACAAACTTTTCGTCATGTGTACTTGGCTACTTGCCTTTCAAGGGGAACCTCATTAAAGTAAACTCAAGCATCAAAGTCATTATTTTTGTTTCCCAAATATCACTGACAATGGGAAAACCTATGCATTCTGTTACCTTACTTTCAATTTCAAGTTGATAACCTATTTTGGGCTCCGCTCTTGTCATTCATCAAGGGACTTATTCAACCTTGAGCCATACAACAAAAGGAAGCCCTTCTTTATTTCATAAACCTACCTCTTATTTGTTATTTCATAGAACTTGGAAGTTCCAGTTTTAACCACTGTGCTGTTCCCTTGTGTACTCATTTATATATTCCTAATCAACTTACACTATTGATAATTTACACTATTGATAATCAGATGATGGAAAAATTTAGTCCATAATTTTCCAAAAAATGAACACAAAAAACAGAAACTTGCAATGAACTAATAACAACAAATTTGCAACAGAACAAAATTATGAGCTTACCTAGCCAATCAAAAGCAATTGCATGATAGTTTTTGGATAGTATGGGAAGAACTTTGCGATATGAATATGCCTGTGACAGAATTAAAACTTATTTTATATATCAAGTCCATAAACAGTGATTAGTCAATGATATTACATTCATCAATAAAGTTAATAATGTCAATGTTGAAAAAGTTTTGATATATGCTTCAAGAACAATAAGCTAATGAGTGAAGTTGGCAATTAGGTGAAATCCGCAAGACAAATAGCTGCATGACGTAAAGCAGGTTTAAAAATTATACAGGATAGCTTCATATAAAAGCCTTTCATAAACATCATGGAACTAGATATTTTAAAATAAATTAAAAAATACATTGAATAGCATAACAGCATTTTGGATAGAAGAGAATTAAGGGCTAGATGCTTTTATAACATCATAAATGACAAAAACCTTGGCAATGGCTTCTATTTTATAAAATATATATTGAATTACAATGTTTATCAAATTGTGAAAGATAAACATGAAGATGTATCTTGTCCATTTAACATGTGACATTGAATGCTAAAATACCCATGAAGCTCAAATGTTAAAAACAAAGCACCAATTTAGTCTCAATCTCTATTTCCCATATAGCAGCTTACTGGAAATACCATCATGGTTTGCAAACCTACTAAGATAGTTAGCTGAACTGCCATATAATATTTGATAGTTTGGAAAGCAGATTACAATTGCATGTCCATAAGAAAAGGGAAAATATATTACTTATCAAATAGAGGCACAAGTTATTCTAGGATATTTTATGAAAATGAAACGAAAAGCAAGAGTATCACATAGAATGTCTAGCATTGAATAAGAAATTTACCTGTGAAGGGAAACCGTGGACTAACACGACTGTGGGGTTATTGGCATTTCCACTTTCAACACAAAACCATCTATTGCACAAAATCAAATAGATAGAGCATGTTTCATTCGGAAACCCTGCAAATAATCAAATCTCAATTCCAGCATATTTTATTAACCTTAAAAGAACCGTAATAACCAGATGAACTAGGATTGGTAGTCAAACCAAAACTTATAGCCAAATTTGCACCTGAAAACATCATCTGAGGCCTGAGAACCAGCACCCATCTTAAGTCCAAATATTGGATCTTTTGCCTTCCCACCAGAACCCATAACAGGGTGAGCTTTCACCTGGAAGAAAGAAAAACCTTGGGATCAAACCTAATCCTAAGCAACCAATAATTTAAAAATCTAGCATGCGCTCTTTCCTCATGGTGGCTTTTTTTATCCAAAAACTAATAGTTGAAATTCTGAATTTGAAGATAAACAATGTTAAATACTTAAAACTTTGAGCAAAAATATATTAGTGAACCCAATTTCAATTGATAATTAGCATACCGCTAAACTAGTAGTAATGAAATTAAGGAACAAAACTTACTATCTTTCCTTGCTTAAACCATTCATCCGCTGGGCTAGGCTCATCTGAATATTTCCCTGTCCAAATTAAACCACCACAACTTCTTAAAGCTCTAATATTTCACTAAACATATGAAAAATAAAGTCAATATTATACCTCCGCTGAATGAAAAGCCATCTCCAGCAGAAACCGGAGCATCTATCAAATATTCCTGCTCAAATTTCAAGGAACCGATCATTTATACGTAGGTATAAAACCACAAATCATCAATGAAATCAAAATTGGAAGCTTACGTCATCGGCATTGGATCTGCAGGTGAGCCTGAGAGATTTTCTCGGGAAGTTTCGGGCCCGCGTTCGAAGAATGGATGATGGAGGCGTATTTAGAGAGCGAAAAGGGAATTGGAAATGGTGAGAGTGAAGAGAGGAAAGGGTTTTAGCTTGAACTGCCATTGGTTTATTACTGTAGCTTGGAAAAGTGAGAGAGAGAGAAGTTGTGCTAAACAAATGAGACCGTTATAACCGTTAAATATGGTTTGCTGAGGATAGCCATCCTCTGGCTCTCCTCATTTCATGCTTTCTGCAGATTAAGGGGAAATTTACAAGTTACGGCCTTTAGCTGAGGATGGGCTTAAATTATTTCTTCGGCTTTTAGGAAATTAATAGAAAATAGAAATAAAGTCTAATTTGCACCTTTGAAAAAAAAGCTATAACTCAAATTCTCATGCCATTTAAGCTCAGCAAACTTTTAAAAAAAAAAAAAAATCCGAAAATCAATCGAACTGAATTATTTTCTATTTTTAGATTAGTTATTTGATTTCTAATTTTGACTTCCGTTTTCAATCTTTTATAATTTTGATTTTCAGTCTTTAAATTGATTATTACAAAACGTTTATTTTCCAAATAAATCAAACTGCACCGATCGGTTTGATTCAATTTTCAAACCAATGTAAATTTGATTGGGTTTCAAGAAAAAACTATTTTCAGTTTTTACCAAACTGCTGATTTGCAAGGCCCCTATTGCAATTTACCAAAATTCTAAATTCTTGTGAGAATTTAGAGTTTATAGGACAAAATGCATATGAATTAGAAGTTGAGGGACGAAATTATACTTCATTTTTAGAACTATATTAAGATATCATACATGCAATTTTGCTTCTAGCAAAGGCCAAGCATTATCCTGTTTATTTTATATTTTTAATTATTTTGGACAGGAAATTGAAACAAAATTTATTTCCAACTCGAAGAATATACCATCATTTAACTAAATATGTGAGTTCTTTTTTTTTTTTTTCTGATTATTAGTGGGAAGGCAATTATTTGATTGGCAAAAGAAGTTTATATTGTTATAGAAAAATGGTAATTGACATGTAAATATGCAATAGAGACAGAAATATGCAGTTTTCATAGCGAAATAGTAGATACAAATTGACAAGAGGTTTGAGAGAGGGTGATAATAAAAAATACAAAAACCTTCTACTTTACAAAGTAAGGAAGATTAAGAACATAGAGAAGGAAATAAGCCCAAATGACACCAGAAATTCCACCAAAAAAGAACCCTCCAGTGAACTTAGCCCATCCATCAGCAGTTTGCAACTGGTCAGGCACCTTTTTCCTTCCGGTCAAAGTTAGGCTTGGAGCTGTTGATGGTTCTCCTTCATTGAATTGTGCAACTCCATACATTGTCAAGCAAATGCTTAGTATCGCAACAAGACCTCCAGCTGCCAGTGACCCTGCTGCTCCTGCATACTCTGTGTTTCTTAATGGACCTGCCTTCACAAATGGGCCTACTAGGAGTAGCCCATGGGCTAACCCGACCTCGACACCGCGAAGAAGTGGACTAACTGCTGTTCTGTAGGCAGGTAAGTTGGAGAGGTACCAGGCTATCAATGGGCTTGATGTTACTGGAGTCTCAAGGCTTCCAATGAATGGGTCACCGTTGATTGGTTGAATCACTTGGAAGGTTGGCTGCAATATTCCCCCAAACAAGATAGGAACATTATTTTTATGAAGCTCATTCAAAATTCCAATATGTAAAGGGAAATTTCGTATTCATTGCTTTATGTATTAGAATGTTCAATCCCATAATTCAAATCTTTTCTCCACTATTCATTTCATTAGCTTAAATGATCAATAGATATTGTCCTGATCCCAAGTTTAGCTCATCAATGTTTCTTAGAATTTATTTGGTAAAATTAAATGTTTTAGTAGCTGTTTTAACTGTGTTCAGGTGTTTGAATTGGTTTTTATAAAATGCTAAAAACTAATGGTTACAGAGCTAATCTTTTATAAAAGAATAATTTAACATCTAAAAGCTAATTTAAATTATTTATTATACCTAAAGAAAATTGTGTCAAAATAAACAAGCATACAAAGAAAGAAAAAGCTAAAATAAATCAATCGGAGTCCAACTAACCAAACTGACAAGTTCTTGAAATAAGCAAGACAAAGAAAGAAATATATATTTCTTACCTTTTCTGATTGAATGGCCTTGACAGTAAAACAAGAACTCCTCTTGGTAGGAGAAACTCTAAATGGAGCACCAGAAATGCCTCTAGGAATAACAAGTCCTCTAGTGATGGATGATGAAAAGCGGCTTTTGAGCTGGCTAGCCATTGGAGAAGCAGAAGCAGCTGCCATTTGGTTTCTTTTGGTAAAATGGCCTTGTACAAGGCTGAGGAATTTAAGATTCTGTGTGTAAAGCTAAAGCTAAAAGAGTATCTATTGCTTGCTAACTTGTGGTTGTGATTGATGAGGTGTCCAATTTGTGAGATTTTCATTGGATAGTTGTTGTTTGGTAGTTGAGTAACCTTATCCTCAGCTTATCCATATGTGCTAATTTTTTTGATGTATGTGTAAGGCTCCAATCTAAGCAGATTGAAGATGATATTTGATTTAATTAAGACCTTCATAAGTTTATAATTTCAATTGATACACTTGTCCAAATCAAGCAAAGGTTAATCCATGTAAACCGATCTAAAATTATAATTTTTAAGAATTGAGTGGGTTTATTTTAATTTATAAAGTTTGAAAAATATAATTCAACTATAGTTTCAGATTATTTAAATAAATTATATAATTTTTTTATGGTCCATATAAAGAAATGGCTAGCAATGTTAACATTTGAATGTTAAATCAACAAATTGCTTAATTTAATGACCCGGTCAAAATTGGATAATTAAATAAAAATAGTTTTTAATTTTATTTTCAAGGGAAAAAATATGCAATATGTTTATAGACTGTCAAACCATTCAAACTAAATTGACAATTTTGCCCTCATTAGTTATGAAAAGTCCATGAAGGGGAGGATAAATAGATTAGTATATTTTTATAAAATTGTCATGGTTTTATGAAAGTGTGTTCTATCCCTAACCCATACGTGTGAGTTTCTATTTACCCAATAAACTAAATTAATTTGAGTATTTTTTTTTTTTATTGTTTGATGCGAATTAACATTATGTTTGGATTGATAGAAAATCTGAGAAGAATGAAAATTAAGATTGAAAATAAATGAATTTTCTTTTTTTTATTTAGTTGTGAATGAAGAAAATATGAGAGAGAAAAAAATATGAAAAGTAAATTATGGAGCTGACATAATATTTTTTGATGGTTTTGTTTTCAATTTTTTCAAATGAAATAAAACCATGCAATTTTTAAAACACTATTTTTGTCGGTTTGGTTCTGATTGGCCGGTTTGGTTCGGTTTTTGAACACCCCTATATAGAACTGACTCTGGTCTACGCGGGTAAAAGGGTTTCGGGTTCTCAGCTTTCATTGGCACTGCTGCGCAGATATACAAAAAAGAACCCTAAAAATGGCGCCTCAGTTTCTTAAGCTTCCCATCATCTCTTGCTATTGTAGACATTGCAATATTATCAATCACAGCTTCTCGCTATTATCCAAATCCTACCCTTCTAATCTTACCGGTATACTGTCTTTCTCTCATTCTCCACTAATATATGTATAAGGCCTTGGTTGGCTTTCAATTCATTGTTTTCTTCAATGGTGAAGAATTCATTGCGTATTTTTCATAAACAGTTGGTGGGTATAATAGAATAGTCCATTTTCAATGTATTTTTCATTTACCTATTACAGTGTTCTAATCATTGAAATTTTTAGTTAGATGGGTCAAACTGGAAACGCCTTGTTCTTTCAGGAGTTTTGGTGTTGCTAAGGCAGGAAAGATTCAAATACCTAAAAAGTAAGTTACTCCTTTCAGTTTGTAACTTTGTTAAAGTTTTTGCCTTTCCTTGCTTATTCCATCAGTTTTGTTTGAATATTAATTTATTGAGTTTTAAGCAGCTAGAATAGCTATCACAATTTCATTATAATATGTTTAAACTTAGAAATAACATTTAATCGCTACTATAGTACTAGTTTAGCAATGTTGACTAATATCCTAAGATTTTGAAATATAATCAGTTGCAGCTTAGAAATAATAAAATTGCCCACAAACATTTATAATAAATTAGCGTTTAATCTCAAATTTGAATGACGCTCTAAATCATATAATAAAATTAAAAAAAACAAGATTATTTGTTTGAAAATCATCTAGAATTGGTGTTAACAGTGCATTTAGCTCTTTAGGTATGTTCCTATTATCTTATTTTATTCTACCATTGAACCTTTTTTAGAAAAAGAAGACTGGATGAAATATGTCTTGAAAGGTTCCAGCAATACAGCCGAACATTCATACAGTCATGGATTTTACAAGGTTAGCTGTATTCTTCAATTGCAAACGGCCTCTCCTTTTCCTACTTTGCTGCCTGCTACACAATTTACCTGTATACTCAATGTTAAGGTAGCATAATTATATTTCAACATTTTTTCTCCTTTAGAATCGTTCAACTTTTTGGTTTTGTTGTTTATTAGGAGATTTTCTTCGGACAAACTAGGTTGGTATTAAAAATGGTTGGCAAAATTTCGGTGAAAATTGCTACGTTCAGAAGGTCACTTTGACAATGATATCTAAACAATCTTATTTTTCTCCCATAGATGTTTTGGAAAACATGGCCATGGCCCATAGCCGGTGGCATTTAACAATTGTACATTTTCCATGTGTTGTTCTGACTTCTTTGGTTCTCTGTGTGTGTACAAGTTTGAACATAATCAATACTTTGTGTATATGCTATTGTGTAACAGTATCAGCTTGAACAACCTGTACCATCAACTGTCAATTTTCTTCATCAAAGTGTACTCGTAAGTATATTTGAAACTGATGTAGTTGTTGGACACTTCTTGCATAGGCAAAGTATTTGTGGATGGAAAGATGGTGAACAAAGCAGGCACACCTGTCTCCGACAAAGCTGTTGTAGAGATAATGGCTGAAATTCCAAAATATGTATGTAGGTGATTACTTCCCCTGAACGAACTTGTTGCTGAATGAAATCTCAATCTGTCTCTGCTGCTTTGGTGATCTAGAAATGTTGACTTTATTTGTCTGCTAATTCAGAGCAGGATATAAGTTAGAAGCTGCCATCGAACAATTGGGTATTGATGTAGCTGGCAAAGTAGCTCTTGATTCAGGGCTGTCAACTGGAGGATTTACTGACTGCCTGCTTCAGCACGGTGCGTCGTTTGTTTATGGAGTCGATGTAGGTTATGGACAGGTATGCTTAATCTTCATTTTTTTATTTGACAAATTCATGTTTTGCATAATCATGATTATTCTGGTTGCTTTAGAAAATGATAATGTAGAGGCCAGACAGTAATGTCTTAGTTGTTGGTTTTAGAGTGGTTGTTGATGGAATTTAGGCAATGAATTCATCAGGTGGCAGACAAAATTCGCCGAGATGATCGTGTTTTCGTGGTAGAAAGAACTAACCTAAGATACCTATCTGAACTCCCCCAAAAAGTTGATTTGGTGACTCTAGACCTTTCATTCATCTCTATTCTCACGGTAAGCCTTCACTTATAGGTAAAGTTTTTATGGTGCCTCATTTACGAACTTCGGCTTGCTTACTTTCAACAATTTCTATGGCTTTTTCTTCTTACATTCTTGATGTCACTTTATCCTAATTCAGCATCTTGTAATGTTCCTAGGTTTGTGCTTTGCGGTGGTTAACATTCTTCATCTATTTCTTCTATGCAGGTCATGCCTGCTGTAGTCAATGTTATGAAGGAAGATGCAGCATTAGTCACCCTGGTTAAACCCCAGTTTGAAGCTCGCAGATCACAAGTAGGAAACCAATACTTTTCTTTCCTTCCTCCCTGCCCCGCGCTTCTTCCCTTTCTTTCCTATTTTGGATGTAGCACTGTAAAACTGTGAATAATTCATTTTTTTTTTTTTTTTTTTTTTTTTTTTTTTTAATACTGAAGTGTACACAAATATGGAGTTATGCTGGTTTTGTCTTGAGATTTTCTCAATTATAATAATGAATCTATAATATTATAATAATGGGCTTTTGGATAGCATGGGGAGACACCAGATATTCTATGTACAGTATGCTTTTCACTGCTCACGCTGAACTATAAGTGCCCTAGTCAAATAGTAATTCATCATCTCTTGGTGGGGCTGTCATTATAGTTATTGTTAAAGATGCCTAAAAGTTAGTACTTGCAAACTGACTCAGCTATGCATTGTCAATATCTCTTTGTACTTGTATGGCTAGTAATATGCAACTTGGCTCTGCTGCCTGTTGGCAAATGCTGTTACCTAAGCACGGGTGCATTATAACAAAAATACAAATTTAGACCCATGTTCTTCATTTCAGGTAGGAGGTGGTGGCATAGTAAGAGATCCGCTAGTTCACCAAGAGGTATGCATTTTTCTCCCCTCTTTCCAATAATGTCAAGCAGTTTTGGTCAACCCTGACCAAACTTTGTGCTATTTTAAGATAATTATGGATTTTTTTCTATTCAAAATTACTTTGATTAACAAATATGAGCATGTTATGCTGTACTAGATTTGCTGATTATCCATAATTATTGTAGAGGGAAATGAAGACTGTTGCATATATTATTTTAAACTTTATACTTTACGAATGACAGTTTGTTATAACTTTGGTATTATGTTATGTAGGTTCTGGACAAGATTATAAAGGGTGTGGAGAATTTCGGATTCTACAGCAAAGGGTGGATTCAGTCTCCTTTAAAAGGTGCTGAAGGTAATATAGAGTTTCTGGTTTACTTTAGTCGAATGCTGGAGAAAAGTACAGAACCACATATTCCAGTGAAGGAAGAGGCTCCGCATTAGGCTGGATGAAAAACTTCACTCAAGCCAGCGAATGGATGGATCATATGTTATGTGCAGTTCGGCATGCATCTTAACAGAAGAAAGCTTGGTTGCTTCTACTGTGTGTAAATTTCAGCCAGACTGTAATTTGCTGTATAGTTGAAGACACTGAGAAATGAAATATGAGCAACCTGAGCCCACTCAACGAGAAATCAATGTTGTTACTTTTTGAACATCTGACTTGCTTATATGCCTACAGACAGTGTCTACGCATAACAATTTTATGAAAAATTAGATATTATTGCAGTTAATATAATATTAATGACTAGAGGATAATACATAATTAGCTGTTGGAACCATTTCATCCATGCATTAAATATATATCAATGAGATTTATTTCCCAAAAAAATACAGAATTCAATTTTTCTTTACAGCAAGTCTCTTTGTCGAGGAGGCTAGTTCAATTCCTTGAACATTTCATGTCAGGTTTCGTCGGCTTCTTTCTCCAAAGCGAAGCTATTAAACAGTATGATCATTCACCATCTCTATAGGAACCTTAAGACCAATCACCTGTCCAACAACTGAGAACCAAGATACCAGATATAGTTCAATCAGCACTCTATTTTTTGCAGTTGCAGCTTCGCCACGGAAAAGTAACTTCATCCATTCATTGGTCCCACATGGATGTAACTTATACCATGGCCTGTTTAAGTATGGATGCTCCTACATTCAAATGCATTATTAGTTAGTACTCGAAGTTCTTATCATGAATTCAATTACTATCTGCTATATAGTTCCGAAGTAATGCAGTAATGCAATAATGAAAAGAAAGCAGAAAGGAATTCCAACTCATCATTCAAGGAAAAACATACTTCCTGAGTTATAAAAGTCCATTTTGACTGTAGCAACACATTTGCAGAACAAGCAGGAAGGTCCTGCTCAATTTTATTCAACTGCAAAGGCTGGCCATCTGTAAAATAAATAAATTGAGGTCAGCAAATACTTAAAACGACAAATTTACACAATGCAATGTTAAGACTTAATCTAATTGTGCAGTTATCATTTAGTTAGATGATGTGAGAAATTTAAAACATCAAAACTTGCAAAATAGAACACCAATCGACAAATGTTAGAAAATGTGCAGAGATGAACATACTGCTGCAATACCCGCGGAAATATAGCACTGGAACTCTATATGAAGCACTGTAGATTATATGGAAATCGTAGTAATGCACTTCATTATTATCGCGACGTTCCTTGCAATGGGAAAAAAAAAAATCAGATGATATGTTAATGAAAATGAGAATGAATTGAAATATATGACTTCGATTGCATGATTAAGATCTATTTCTAGTATTCTAGTCACACAAGCTAAAATGTCTTGAGACCTAGAAACCCACTAAAGGATATGTGAAAAGCAGGGACTACCAATGTGGCATCATCAATTGCCTCCTCTCTCTCAAAAAAACCAGCCTCTTCTTCCCCAGCGGTACTCACTTCATTGTCCTGTGAAAAACATTAACAATACATGTAACAAAATCATTAATGAGGTGTTTGATATCATTTCTGTTTTTGAATTTTCGTTTCTGTTTTCTTACGATAAAAGCTTGTATCTTGAAAACGGAATTCATAAAACAAGCAAAAACCACTTTTTGGCGGTTTTTTCTTTGTTGTGCAAACCTGATTTTCTGTTTTGAGACACCAAATAAGAAATAAAATATATATTTTAATAACAGAGTCATTTGTATTTGAGAAACAAAAAACATACGATTTGGCATGAATGAAGTCCACAAAATTTTGTGGAATTTATTTATAATTTCATCTTTGCATATATGGTATGAATGAAAACGTTCATTTCATCCCTGTATACTTCAAATGCATTTATACTAGATGAGAGGCAAGAGATTTATTACAACATCAAGATTGTACCTCACTTGATCCGAAAAGACATATATTCTCCAATGACAAGAATCCCTCAACCTAGCAAGACAAAGAAAAAGAGAAGATGAATAAAACAAACAATTAGAGAGCCTATAAAATATGAGAACTGCAACAGGTAAAAATGTTTAATAACTTGTTGAGAAGCAATAAATGGTGGTTTTGGGCCATCAACCCATAACCAAGGAGGGAAAGCAGAGTTGGTCTTTTTCCACTTCTCCACAAAGGCAGAGGCAGCAATAGAAAAATCATTCAGTGATAGTGTTCCATCCCAAGATGAAACATCCATTAATGCCCTCTCAGAAATCTGTTATAGCTGAAGAAAATTCAACTGTTAAACCTAAATGAAAAAAAATAAAAATAAAAATACAATACTATCAGATTATATATACATAAAGCTAAATGGCAAAAGAAGTCCAAGTTTTGCACGCATTTGCGATTCCGTCCATATACTTCTAATTTGCCCTTTTAGGGAAATTGAATGCAATTAAAAGCAGTATCTTTAACCTTCAGCAATCCAAGCACAGGCATAGACGGTCAAATGGAACATCTGGTTGGTTTATTGAAAGCTCTGAATAGCGTAATCTCATTACAACTAATTAATTAGATCGATTTTAGTGAAATTACGTACCAGTAATTGAATTGAATAGAATAATACTTGGATTCGGTTTCTCTTTCTTATTTGCTGCAAGTCAGTGTTCAACGTTAACATAGTGGAGAATACAAGAGGCGTCTTTTCTGTCTTCAAATGTTTGCCTTTCCAGTTATGCAAGATTTTAACGGCGACAGCGTCAAATTTCCGGCTAGAGTCCGCAGAGAGAGAGGGAGGCGGAGGGAGAGGGATGAATTAGAAGCGACAGCAACGCAAGGAAAGATAACAAATAGGATTTTATTTATTTATTTTGGAAAAAATATCATTTTTTAATTTTTGTTATAATTACTTAAGATCCCACTTAAATTACAAGCTCAAGTAAATAATCTCATCGCGTGATTGAAGCCATGGCAATTAAACACTTAAAGTTGACATTTTTTTTTTTTTTTGAAAGAGACGAAAAATTTTTATATAAGTATATTTCCAAAAACATAAATATTTATTTCAATTTGATTATTTTCTTTTTAATATTAAAACTGAAATGACCGAAAATTTAATAAAATTGAAAATTGAAATATTGAAATAAATTGGTTTGATTCAAATTTTGATTAACCAAACCATTTGCTTACCAAATTCCTACAAAGGAGAAACAACTGGCATTTCTACTTCTAATTCATGAACTCGGATTATAGAAACAACTATCGAAATTGAAAAATAAACCAATTACAATACACAAACTAAAGCTGCATCATGAAAAAGCAGGAGCTTCAATCCAAAAGAAGATACTTCAAAGCAGTCGGCTTGCAGCTATGGCTTTGATGGGGTTGGAGAAGAAGGAGGTTTCAAATCTGGGTACTGCATAAACCATTTAGAGAAAAAAAAAAAAAAAAGTTAGCACTTTGTTTCAAGTGCAGTCTATGTGCAAATTGCAGTAATAAAATATGCTTCTGGGCTGTTAACATTGTTTTGATAAGCATAAAAACATAATACAGCACCACCAATCATTTCAATTATCAACCCTTCTTTTCATTTTCTCTTCTTTTATTTTATTTTATTTATTTATTTATTTTTGATAGTTTCTCTTCTTTTATTTGAAATCATTCATCTGTGTTATTACCAAACATGAACATACCATGTTGAAACCTAAAAGCACTTCATATAAGGTTCAGAAATGATACTAATCAGCAATAATGGCAATTATTCTTAATACTACTCTCTATATTGACGTAATTTGTTATTCTAAGCTCCTTTACAATAAAGGCACTTCACATAAAAATCCACTGATTTGGATTCTCTCCTAAATTTTCTGAAAATTCCAACAATCAGTTTGAGCTTCCGGCCTAGAGTGAAAATAACACTAGAACGTACACACCCTTGCCCCACCACAACCACCTGAACTTATAGTCATTTGAGGCCAAGATAAATTTTATTCCACTCCACTATGCTCAGTCCACTGTAATCACGATTTATGATGTATTAGACAGCGCGAACAGCTAGAACACAAACACCAGACTAACATCTACAAATTACAAACTAATAGGAGACATGCTTATTCATCCACACGCACAAGAGAGAGAGAGAGAGAGAGAGAGAGAGAGAGAGAGAGATACACGAGGGTAAGGAGATCTGGAATCAATCTTCATATGAGATGTGGATTTTATGAACTTGGTTATGTGTCTGTTGTCTGCTCTTTGGTTTTCTTCTATGGAAGGAGCAGCAGAAGAGACACTGTTATTCTTTTCTTCACTCTGCATACCAACTCCTCCATTAGTTCCCAGTTGTGAGATTTTATCCTTCTTCTTCTTCTTCTTGGGGTACATATTGACGGAAGGCGGTAGAAGAGTTTCTTGAATTGCCTGCAGTAATGCAAATACAAATAATAACAAATTAAAAATTACAAAAGCTGCTGGAAGCATCTTCTCTCCTGTCTTTTATTTTCTTTTCTTCTCTTTGGGGAATAAACAAATAAGAGCAAACTGGCTTCACTTTAGAAATTAAGAAAAGAAAAATCCTGTATACACATAATATGTACTGCTAGGCAGCATAAGTATGACATTTTTGGAGCCCATTGAAAAAGAAACACACACATAACACACAACCCCTCCCCCCCACCCCAAATAGCCTTCAGAATTACCAATAATAATTCATAGTGCAAAAGACAACCTTTAAACTAATTTCACAAGAAATAGAATCAAACCCAGAAAGATGGGTCAAAGACAAATGCTTTCTGTCACCCTCTTTCATGACCTCACAAGGTATGGGATTTTATTGCTGTGTGGATTTTGCTATTAGCATCACATCTTATGTAAAGTAAATCCATAAGTTTATCATCAAAAGAACAAACAACCTCAGCAAAATGAATATGAATTTTATATGTTCAGAAGTTATATTGCAAGTCCCTAAAGGGACACCTCAATGGTTAAGACTTGAGATTCCTATTAGAAGGTCCCAAGTTCAAATCTTGGTGAGGTGGGAGGAGTTATGGGAAGGGGAAAGCTACTATTTATTGTAAGCCGAGTTCAATTCTGAAAAGCTATGTAGCGTATAGGATGACAGTTAATGTTATAACCTCAATCATGAAAGTAAACCGCTAATCTCAGGTGATTATTTTTTCCTCTCTCCTCTCAAATAGTTGAAGGCCCTATTCAGCAAAATTAACTGTTTTAATAGCTATTAGTTATCCTAGTAGCTATTAACTATTTTATGAGTGTTTCGTCAAATGTTAAAGTGAGTAATGTTTCATAATAAACTTTCTCAACCTCTAAAAACTAGTATAAGCATTGCACCTCGGAACACTATTGAATAACAAAGGCAGTGTTTTCATACCTTAAAATCTGTTGCCAATCAGGACCAAAAACTAGTCTATAAATTGGGACCATTTTCAATAAATTATCAGCCAACAAACATGATAATATTTTAAGATGCCAATCAGGGCAACTCTTCTCCAAACTTCAATTTAGCAAGATTTTCCTTTCCAGATTATAAACTGAAATATAAGGCTTTCTCAAGCTTAAGCTCAAATATTCCACCTTTATTCATTTTATATTCTATGGATCAGTAAAGGCCTTCACATGTTAAATTACTGATATTAGAAAAGAAATTAGTAAAACATAAAGAAAATAACCATACCAACCACCCCTTTTTGCCCCTGACCCCGCCCCTTATTGCATAGGCCTCTTTGAATCCATTCTTGAACAATAACTCTGCCGCTCTCATCGAATTACCATCAAAACTACCTTACACACAAAAGGAGAAAACAAGGAAAAAAATTAAAGAGACATACTTTTACAAGAAAAAAAGGAAACTGACTAACCAATTCGACATACTTTTACAAGAAAAAAAGAAAACTGAAACTAACCAATTCTTTCTTCAGGGATTTTACAATGATACAAAATGAAGAGTAGGTTAGCTAGCTCAAAATGATGTTTGTTTCTTCAGGGATTTTAGTTCTTAATAATTACATGAAATATAAATGCCATCAATTTTCACTACTTTCATTCTTCAGGAATTGCACGATTACCGCCCAACTCCTATTTTCCTAATTGAAGCAAACATTAACAGTAAAATTCAAGTAAAGAACTAGATAGGGGCACTGACTCTTGCACTTACTTGTCCAAAATACACAAAATGGTATTTGCAGGATCTGGAAACTTCTCCAACACATTCTTTACAAACCCATCTTCATCTTCTTCAGAGAATTCAACCTGACAAGCAGTTTTATCCAAAATCTTTAAATTTGGAGACTCCAGAGCCACCATACTCTTCTTTTCCCTAATATCCAAAAGCTGAGCATTTTTATCATCCTTCAGTTTTCGAAACGCATCAATTGCAGAAATGAAATTGTATTTCCTCAATAACTGTTTGGTTACAGGTATAACAACAAGCCAAATGAAAGTACACCCAGCAACGAAAAATGGGTATCTATTGAAGAAGTCATCAATTGAGACTAAAATTGATTCCAAGTTTATTTTGTCAGTTGTTGGAGTTGCTAAAGATTCAGAGGCTAGAGAAGGAAGAGAAGTGAGGAGGTGAAGTGTAGTTAAAGAGAGAAAACTGTTTTTAGCTGAGAGAGAGGGTCTGATATTTGGGAGATGGTTTTGAATTGGAAGAGAAGACGAAGAACAAGGTTTAGAAGTGGAGAATTTAAGAGTTTTGAAGCAGTTTTGGATTCGGATGGGAGGAGAAGAAGACAGGATGATGGAAAGAGAATCCATGATATGAAAGTGAGACATAGAAAGAGTGGAAGAAAGGGACGATAATCATTACCGCTAATGTGTTGGGCTGATTTGGGCTTGGCTGGGCTGGAAATTATAAATCTCAAATTGCAAAAAGCTAATGTGTAAAATGAAGGGATATAACTGATCAAGTCTAGTTTGATTGTTCCTTCGGATAATATGAGAAATGGAAAGTCTCAAATTGAATAAAGTTATTTCGGCCTATTGTATTTTTCAGTGAATAAAAAAAATAAATTTAAAGAGTTTTAATTTAACTTTTTTAATAATTTTTTCAAAGAATATTTTTCTCTTTAAACATTTTTATAATTTAAATATAGAAATTAAAACGTTAAATTAACTTTTAAAAATTAAAATAGTCTTTTATAAAAAAGTTAACTCATACAATATTTAGCTTTTAACATTTCATTAAAAAGTTACTCGAACCGTTATCGTTAAACCTCATCAAAATAGTTAATTTTGCAGATAGACCCTAATAACATTGGCTTTCCAATTTGTAAAGTTCATCTTATACAAATAGTACTCTTCAGTACTTCTGCCTGCAATATATTGTCAATAATCTTTACAAGATGTACACATTATACTAGTAGGCAAGTATGTTAATCTTTATTCTGCAAATGAAATTTCTTTCCAAAAGCAGCAACAAAATCCTCCATACATGCCATGTAAGTCTCCATTCCTAAAACCTTCCTGGTAAGCTCCAGTGCAACATTCATCCATTTTTTTGCAGCATCAACAAGCCCCAGCCTCACTGGCACTGCTGCTCGATTCCATGCAGTCATTGCAAGCCATTTTCTTTCCTCGATTGGATACTCACCTTCCTTCAACCCGACCATTATCCTATATGCTTGCTTGTACATATTATACACAACATCATCATCTGAATCACCCTTGTGAATGCTTGCTACAACAATTAGTGTTCGAACTATAAGAGCAATGTCTTGATAATCTGTTGAGGGAGACGAAAGTAGAGCTGAAAGGCACTCATTTAGAGCAAAGATGGCTACCTCAGGGTTAGACTGTGGACCCTGTGAAGCATTAAGGCCAATCTGGAGAAGATACTTTGGATTGCAAGCCTTTGAGTTGGCAAAACTCTTTACAAGGTGGAGTTGTTGTTGCGACCCTGAATTGTCGAGTCTTCCATGTATATTATAAGCATTGAAGGTGTACATGAAGTAAAACTTTGGTTCGATTGTAGTAATTTTATCGTCAGTAAATCCAGCTCCCAATGAAGTTAGCATCTGCATCCACGCACAAAGCATTAAACAGGGTTAAAGAGAAATATTCAGAAGCAGAAAATATTCATTTGGGCATCTTCCATTTTCAACAAGCAACCAACAGCACCTGTTGTTTATATTTTTATGAATCACTGTACAAACATCATTTGAGAAATTGAACTGACAGAACATACCTTCCCTGCTTTATCTAACAGTTGAACAGCATGTTTAACTTCACTGTCCATCAATGCAACTTTCTTTTGATTCTCCGATGCTATCATGGCAGATACTGTCAATATCAGTGATTTACAGACCATAACACTGTTTTCCTCCATTTTTCCATCAATAAGACCAGCGCTGAATTCTGATATCAGTATTAAAAATTCTGTACATAATTCATACTTCTTCTCCTTCCCACAAGTTATACCAAAATTCCATGAAGTTACTGCAAACCAATTTTGTTCTCGTCTGCCAACTTCTCCTTTTCCAAAAAAGCATTCATTCCCAAGCTCAGATGCTCTGGCATGAGCCCATTTCATGAACTTGAGCACTTCTGATTCATTATCAGGTTCCTTAGAGAGGATTGTGATTAAAGTTCGAAACACTTCAACCTCTGTTGTTGGCATGGGATTTCCTGAGTTGTAGAAATTCAGGAGATTGGATAAAGAGGCAACTGCAACGGAAAGAGCATGACAAGCAATAGCTTCATGGGCTGAAAGGGAAAGAAAGTCTGGAGTGAAATCAAGGCAAGTTTTCATTGCCTGTATCTGATTGATAGCACCGGTATAGTTGTTTTGTTGCAGGAAGATCTTGAACTGCATAACAAAAAGAAATATCAAGTTGCAACCATCAATGCATTTGTAGATGTGTGTCCATGTCTGTTATGATATATATACACACACACACACGCAAAAAGAGACAAAAGAGCACCTTGAGAAAAGCACTGGCAGTATTGGGTTCAAGCTGCAATAACAGAAAAGCGTTAAAATGATGACATGTTACTCAATTTTTGCAATGTTAAGGTCTAGTCTTAGTGAGCGTAGAGACAACTCCAGTTTGCCATTGTTCAAGATACCTTTTCAGCTTCATTGATGTATTCCAGGGCTCTATCAAGCTGATTGAGTGCAAGGTAGCAGAGACACAAAACTCTAAAGCCCTTGGCTCGGAGAACTCTGTTCTCTATGTCATGTGGAATGTAAAGGATTGACTTCTCGAACAAATCTGCACTCATCTTGTAATCTTTTGATCTGAAATGCTCTGAAGCGCTGTGAAGACAGTTAGAAAATGGTTAAAACATCTGATTCTACAAGGCCTTCTAAATAAAAATTATTCCTCTCAATGATCAATTTTATAGTGAAATAAACCAATTTAACATCTTATCCCATTTAACATCTTATCCCATAGTAAACATTATATATCTGAACAAAGTCCATCACATCAATTTAATAAAATCAATAAGAAGTGCACCATTATTCCCAACAGCACCAGCATGAGTTAAGATCTAGGCATGAACAGTTTTTGGTCAGGCAAAAGTCAGAAGATTTTGAGAAGTCAAAAAGTGTGGTGTAACCTATGCTTGGTTAATTAGCGAAGGGTTCTAGACAGGTTTTAAGTCACAATATCACTCAAACGGATTATGAAGGTCGTTGGACATTAATCCACATGCACACAGCTAGACTAGCATATGAGACCACAAAAACAGAAATAAACCTGTAGAGAATGAAGCCAATAATGATTTTATGATCCCATCAAAATATAGGATGAATCGACAGTCTTCCAGGTTTTAACATCGTTAGTCTTTTTATAAGTGGGTTACTGATGACAGGAAACATTTCATAAAGAACAAGTATTACAAAACAAATTTTGTGCACAGTACCAAATCTTTCTCCCAATCTTATCAATGGCTACCATCCACATTGAAACCAATAAAGTCGCGAGCTGCTAGCACAGGAACCAACTTGAGTACCAACACTAATGGGACGAAGTCACTAGCCAAATGTCAGAAGTTAATTGATAAGGATAAACCAAAAAGGAAGCCAACCAATGGAAAATTTGTGCAAACTCCTCATGGGACTTCCACCAAGAAGCAATAATTTCAGAATTCAAATATCTGATTTAGGATGCAGATGGAAGCTTGATTACATTATCCCAGGCTATTTTTATGCCACTAAGCACGAAAAGTACCTCTGCCGTACCTGTGCAAGATTTTATTTCATTCGTGCCGTGAAAGCAATTTGAAATTGCTTTTGCTACCACCAAAAAAAGATTTATTTTTATTATTCTTTTGTTTTTAGAAAAATCACAGCCATTGATCATATTTTAGGTTAAATTACATTTATTTTGCGATATCTGATTCATATATCGGATGCCTCTAGTACCTTAAAGCTTAATAAACAGGATATGACGCACATCTTGCTAAATAAAATAATATATTGAGAGGAAAAACAAATATCATGAGGTTCCACAGTGGATAAATTGGAATGGCGAAGCAACAGAAAAAAAAAAAAAAAAAAGCATGTATACTTTTTGGAGGAGACTTGTGGCTTACCAATTCCAAAGAACAGCATGCATTGCTTTCCTTTCTTTGGCCGCTGCCTCGCCTGCAAAAAGCGCTAGCACTCTCTCATCAGACGCCAGTTCCGTCACCACCTTGGCCCTCACTCTTGACCCTTCTCCACCACCAAACCCATCTCCAGTTACCCTGTGAGCAACCCTAACTGCGGCGCTAGCGCTTACGTGGCATCTTCCTAAAAGACCCAAAAACAATCCCTTAGTGGTCTCCGCCCCTGCTGTACCCGCCGCCTCAAAGTATGCCTCCACTGCCGAAACCCAAACGCTTTCAGGAATTCCCTTATTCACAACCATGCCCCTCAGCTCCTTTTCCGCCTCTTCAAATCTCCCTAATCCCAACCATGCCTTCATCGCCAATACAGGGAGACTAGCGTGTTGTTCACCACCGTCACTGCCTTCTCTCAATATCCTAACGCATTTAATCACACTCTCACACTCTCCTTTTTGCAAGTGTACCGCTGAGATGAACCGGAGTGCTTTGGACTTCAATTCCTTGAGCTCCATTGTTTGTTCTCGTCTTCTCGATGCATTGCATCCCTTCTCGCATAGATCTAGAGCTTCGTTCAGGAGCTTCAACGCTTCACTGAAAGCATTACTCTCGTTCTTGGATAACACGCTCTTGCCAAATGACAAGTACTGAACTGCTAGCAGCTTGTAGTGATCCGACGACCCGAAAAGCAGAGTTTTTGACCGATTTAATAACGTAATCGCAAGATTTCGGTCCGATACTTCCCAAGCAGTTCGAGATCGCGCGAGGTTCAAATCTAAGAGTAATTTTCTCTCTCCTGAATCCGATATTCTTGCTATATCGATCTTTGAAACAATATCTGTAGCTCTTTCAAAGCAAGTGGAAGCGAGATCAAACTTTCTTAGATCATGCCAAACAAGGCCAGTCTTATAGTAGAACGAGGTGGACTTGATTGCTGGAGATGGAACACCTACGACGTCGCCAGCAAGGGAGAGCATGTCGGCTGCGATATGTCGAAGAACTGCGTGGTGTTCGGTGATGGATGCGGAGGATGAAGGCTTGATGGAAGCCGCGTTGGAAATGTCGACACAGGCATTCCATAAACGATAGCTGAGCTTCCAGATTTGGAGCTTAAGCGAGTTAGGGAAAGGACCGAATTGACTCAGCTCAGAAAGGATTCGACGGAGATCAGAAGAGATGGCTTCTGGGAGGGGGTTGGAAGGAGAGGTGTTTTCGGTCTGTTTGATTAGGGACTCGATTTGAGAGACGAAGTGATGGTGATGGTGATTCTCATTGTGATTGGATTGACCATCTTGGTTGGATCGCCGGAGGTCCGGCGAAGATATCTCTGAAATCCTCATTTTCCACGGTAAATTGTTTGCAGAGATAGAGAGAGAAATTTGAAATTTTTGAATAGGAAGGAGCGAAAGTGTGAATCGTTATGGGCTTTGGAGGGAAAGATTTTGTTTGTCCTGCCAAGAGGACAAGATGGGGATTTTTGAGAACATTGGTACCAAATCGACATTATATTTATTTATTATATTCGGTCACAAGTCGAACTTGATAAAAACGGCCCAATGCTCATTTATTGGGCCAATGCAGACTTGGTCCCATTACTAGAGCCTATTTGCATTATAGTTAAAATTATTTTGAATATTACTGAGAACAAGCAATTGTGCATTGTTTTTATTTTATAGTTTTCACGATTAAAATATATGAGATTCACTTTAAAAATATTTTAATCAATAAAATAATATTTGGTGTTAGGTTGAAATTGCGTTTCAACAGAATAATTTTAGATTATGTTGACAATAAAAATACAGTTATTGAATTTTGTTTCATTCAAGCAATTCAGTTCTGAAATACAAAACTGAATAATCGAAGTTCTGTATTATTAGTAACTGATGCAAACCATTTAGAATAAGAACCGGACACAGTTCGGTCCGGCTCACTGCAAAACGACACCGTATGAAATCTTCAGTTCAGTTAACCAAAATTTTTTTTGCCAAAACTGTACCAAATAACTGAACATCATCAGTTCAATGCGAAAAAACAATAAGATTAAATTGACTGCAAATAAAGCAAAGCCTGCTTTAATTGTTTTCTGATTAAATGGAAGCAACACGAGTTCTTTCACCATCATTCAGTAGCAGGATCAGCATCAGTTGACGGCTGTGCTGGTTTCCGCAGAAGATATTCAGCAAGCTGAACAATTAATTACAAGATAAATTCATCTCATCTGCTGCAATAAAACTTCATTTTTCAAGTTTCAACAAATGAACCTCAATATGAACTATGAGAAAAGTGCATAGGAGGATCAAAGATCATTCAAAAACTTACCAGGGCAACAGTGTACAGAGAAAAGAGAAAATAAAGAACAAATTCTAAATCAGCAAATACACAGAAAACAGAGTACATATATTAGAGGATCAAATTATCTCTTGTACAGAAGATTAAAAATTAACAGGACATTTTTTTTTTTTTTTTGAATTTTTTTTCTGGTGTTCTTAGATAATTAAATTCATTCATACAACATCAACGGACTGAAGGGTTAAGGCTAGCAGTTAAAATCAGATCAGTCACCTTTTTTTTTTTTTTTTTTTTTTTTTAGAGTAATTAAATTCATTCATACGACATCAACCAGGACTGAAGGGGTTTAGGCTAGCAGTTAAATTCAGATCAGTCACTTTTTTTTTTTTTTTTTTCTTTTTTTGCCAATCTTTGACTAACTAGTGGAGATATGCCTTTTTTTTTTTTTTTTTTCTTTTTTTGCCATCTTTACTAACTAGTGGAGATATGGGGCCTGGTACTGATAGCCGTTTCCGAAGTAGTTGCCATGATTGGGAGAGAAGTTGTAAGTAGCAGAACCCATAAGATCGGTAGGTCCAGTGTAAACATAAGGTCTGTCGTACACGTACTGTGGGTACCTATCAGTGATTCTAGGGTAGAAGGTTTTGTCAACAGCAACGTTAGTGACACGGGGTGCACATCCAGCACCATTGGCACGTGGTCTCTTGCATTGAGGCTTTGCAACTTCAGTCGCCCTTTTCTTGTCTGCCTTGGCTTTCTCAAGCTGACTAAGGCGTTTCTGGACTGGATCAATAGGATACTGCTCCTCAAGCTTATGCTCTTCAATGCATTTTATGACAGCCTTCAGTGCAGCCAGTTCTCGTTCATTGACCTCATGCTGAAACAATATCAACTTCATCAATCAACATGTAAATGCATTCATTGAGAACAAATTGTTATTCACACAACCTCATTCAAAATCAACAACAGCCAACATTCTAACACCTCTCTTTTCTTATAGAATACTGTTCACACAAGGAAGCAAATGCATAATCATGGAGGAAGAAACAGAAAATCTATGGGAAATATAAACAGTTTAGGGTTTAGGCCACAGAAACAAAGGTCTCACAGGCAATCTAATGCTGATGATCAGAAGCATGCTGGATATTTGTGTTCAATGCACAAGACTCTGCGTGTGTGCTAATGTCAACCTGTTTGTGCATATGTAATAAAAAGGATTGGATATGAGCAGAAACTATACTAGGTGGGAAACCTATATTAGCCTTCTATCTTATCCGCATATAATACCGGGCTCACTCACATCCATAATATGCATCATAGTTCAATGTCCTCACAATTCATTTTGTTGACTGGGACTAGCATCAACTGTAGCTTAACTTCAAAGATAAATTTTTTTAAAAAAAAGGCAAATTATATGGAAACAATGTATACTATAGTCGGCAGTTGTGGCAAATTATACACCTGCACAATGCATCAAAAGCAAGTTGTAAGAAGAGGACAATAGATTGTAATGCAGTTGAGACAGCAATGTATACCTGCACAGCGGTGGGTGATGCATTTCCAGACTTGACAGGTGAAGTTTTTTTTGCCTCCTTCAAATATGATTTCAGTAAAGGTACAGGTGAGAACTGCTCTGTTAACTCAAAAGCAAAAGCCAAGTTAACTGCATCAATTTGCCTTCCGCTATTTATTAGTACTTCAATCACACCTGAAGAAATATTGAGAAAGAAAATATAATAAGAAACAGAATGTTAGAAAACTAGCAACATGGTTAATTTCAATAATGATAGGTGATACTTCACATAACAAATTTTCTTCCTAGTAAATTTCCTGCCAATATTACCAAATTACAATAGAAGTTCAAAGCCTTGGGAACACATGCAAATAGAATAACAAACCTGGCATCTTCTCTGACAAGCCAAGAAAACGACAGAGTTCAGCAGCTTGGCGACGACGAGAAACCATTGGAATTAGCCTGGATAGTTCTTCCTCATCAAAATCAGAAGCAATGCCAAAGGTGGCCAAAAGTTGCAAGAAAGCATGTGCCTCCAAGGAGTTTCCATTGCTAGCATCCACATCAAGGGCATCCAACTTGGGTTTCCATTCTTCAGCGATTGCCTTTGCTTGCTCCTTAATGTCTTCTGATATTACATCAGAAATAGAAACAAGGTCTGTATAAACGAGCAAAATGCTAAGGCACTCCATCAACATGATACAGGTTCGACGGAGACCCAGTAGAGCTGAATCCTTCTTTCCATCAATGCTTGGCAATTCTATGGGATAGAAATCTTCCAAAGAGTTCAAAACCAATTGAGCTGGGTTTTCTGCAGCTTTTAAAGCAAGTGGAATTTCCTCCCTTAGAACAGCAAGGTTCTTCCGATTGTCTGAGATAAATTTGTGCAGCCCTTCTGAGTCCATTGCTTCACATAGTTTGAATAACTCTGGATAAGACATCGCCTCCACATTTCCATTATTATTAGTCTCTCCCAAGTTACTTTCAGCAGCCAAGGTTTCAGGTGGTTGGTCTTCAATTGTTGAGAGCTCACCTTGGAGATCACTAGTCACAACAGCAGGTTCCACAATCGACACCTTCCTGTGCTTCTGTAAAGCATTAGTAATGGCAAAGACAGCAGCATCTCTTTTCTCTTGGAGTCTCCCCAATGAAGCTTGTTCTTTGGCCAAAACAGCAGCTTCCCGCTTCTCCAATACTTCTTGGGCTTTTCTGGTTTTGGTTTCGTACTCCTTTTCCTGGTCTTCCAACTCATGAAAACGTCTTTTCAAGGACCTTTCAAGTCCATGGAAATGTTCTTCAAGTTCTTTCCATTTCAAGTTGAGTGTTACTGCCCGATGACTTTCAAGTTCAGCGAATGCTTTCTGAAGTTGTTGTATCTTTGAGGTTGTGGAGTCTATGAGTGTTGCAACTGATTCTGTATTTTCCATGGCAGGAAAGCTGGCGACCATAAAAAGGATAGAGGGAATTACATAAGGCAGAAAAAAAGAATAAATATAATGACCTATGAAATGCTTTAGATAAATCAGATGGCCTTTCTGGCATGCACAATGCAAGAAAGCAATGCCATGGCATCATCAATTACAGTGTGTGATAATAAACTGAACAACCAGTGAAATTAAGGCTAAATATAGCTGACAACTCAGCTATCTGAATAAAGATGCTCATCATTAGACAACAGCAACAGCATGTATTGTAAAATCTCAAGACCAAAGTCCAAAATCACATCATACATCACAAAAACCCGTAGCCTGAAAGCTTAAGTTTCATGCCACGTGCAAACCTAAAGACATCAAACATGAAGTTAGAATCATTATCCAACACCAAAATAATGACAAGGCAATGGCTCAAAGGTAGACACATAACATGTACACTGCGTTGTGAGCACGCCATGGCTTCTAGATAAATTGTGCAGAACTAAGCTTTTTGCAACGTTTTCCCTCCTCGCCACTCTTTTTTATGAAATGAAACTATGAGAACTAAGGGTTTCCTTATGATTACAGTTTCCACATTTGGCTATATGCTGAAGAAATGTAAGAAGATAAGTACTTTGCTTTCTTCCCCTAATGGCTGGCCCAAGGGGGGGGGGGGGGGCTGAAGAAAATGTAAGAAGATAAGTACTTTGGCTTTCTTCCCCTATGGCTGGCCCCAAGGGGGGGGGGGGGGGGAGGGGGGGGGGGGGGGGGGGGGGGAGGAGGAGAGTTAAGCACCTGTTAGGTTCACAACAATTTTGCAAATGCTCAATGCCTTAGAATCCAAAAGCAAATTAAATACAAAAGATAAAACAAAAAGGTGGTCTTGGGGATTATCTAATGCCCACATGAAGTTCACAAAGAGGGAGGAGATCCAATATCTCAGCCGCAATGCTTTTTCTCAATCAGAGACTAACCTAGAGAAGTAGAAGCAAGCATCAAACTCTAGCTAATAACTCTTCAAGATCTGAAACAATATGCTTTTTAACTCAGTTAAAGCACCAAGGAAGAGAAGGAGAGCTCAGTCATGTATAGCACTTTTCCAAATCCTACTTTTCTTGTCTTCTGAACTCCAAGAAATAACTGAACTGAGATGACCAAAACCATCTAGCTTTAGTGTCAGTGAGTGCCAACTGTCAACAAGACGGCAAACCAACAAGTACTCAAATTTCTACTAGCTTTTTCAGATTTAGTTTGGGAATATAAGTCAACCAAAACTGGGCATAGGTTTTATATTTCCAGCAAAGAAGCTGGCATAAAGAATGATATGCCCATCTAGTTTCAGTTACGAAACAGCAACCACTTTATCTCATTTAGAAATTCTAATATAAGATATGAAAGTAAAACACTCTCCATAATAGTTCCCTTTATAAGAAATTATTGTAAGTTAAGAGGTCCAACAGTCACTTACCACATCAATAGTTGATGTAATGATTTGTCCTTATTGCTGGTCTGAGGAATAATGAATTATGAACTCAAATTTTGCTCCTGTTATCCTCAATATGACTGCTAAGTACTTCATTTAAAACTATGTCTGTACCAATTGTAATGCACTTACAACTAGAAAAAAACTTCTTTATGTTGAAAAAGGCTTCCAACGTGATCCTTCTCTACCACCTTTAGTAGTAAAATAGGTGGTAATTAAACATTTATACCAACCGGCAGACTCCTTACTTCAGAACCTCAACTAGTCTGAATATTTAGCCCACTATAATTTCTTAAGATAATAATACCAAGTTTAGCATAATCCAAGCACAAAGACCCATTATAGAACTCAGAAGCACACAAACTCTAGTGGTACATACAAATGCATGACAAGGCAATTCAAGTTTTTTGTTACAAAAGACAACATCTTACCACAGCTTTGACTAGCTTGATTTCACCAAAACCTAGATCTAGTAAATTAGACTGAGAGGAAGTCTAGAAACCCTGAAGAAAGAAAGCTAAACCATCAGAAAAACAAAGTTGAAGAAAAAACAAACACACATAAAGAAGCAACTAAAACCAGCAATCTAAAACACGAAAAATTGAATTTGCTTTCAAGGGAAGTATTTCCATATAACAAGCTCCAAGCAACTGCATCAAAGCTTCAAGAGCAAAAAATTGGAGAAATTCTAACAAAATGAGAGTTAATTGTAGAGATAAGCACACAAAGCCGATCTGGAAAGAACATAAAGAAATTTAAAGAAATGAGTGAGATTAAGTTACCTAAGCAATTAAAAGCAAAATAGAAGACGAAAACGTCGAAATTTCAGCAGCAAAATGATCAATCCATGGCGGATTGAGATTGTGTGTGTGTGTGTGGCTGCTGCTCTGCAACCCCTAGAGAAAGAGAAAGAGGGATAGAAGGGAAAGTTAAGGGGAGGCAAAAGAGAGTGACATCGCAGCCCCTCTTTCTTTTGCTTTTTTATGGGCACTCTCGTTTTTGCTATTTGACAAATCAACTGTCGTTTCTTGGATTCCCTTCCTTGCTTGGAGTGACTTAAGTTAAAACGAAGAGTGCTCGCAACGTTATCTAACGTGGGCTTTTGAAGCCTATTAGCCACTATTTGGCCCGACCCGTTTATTAATGCTCCGTGCAAAGCAGACACCGTTAATCTAGAGGGAAAAGTTTCCCTCACGTCTCTTGTCGTCTATCAGGAAGAAAATCATAATTAAGAAATTAGAATTTTCTAAGGCTTAATTTCACTTGACGTCCCTCAACTGTAGCATCTATTCCATTGCTATATCTTGAATTCAATTCATCTCTTAAATATTTCTGGACTCCTATTTCTGTAATAAGAAAGTGATTTTTAATATTTTTTTCGGCCAAACCATGGCAAAATGCGCACGTGGACTTCCATATCACTGATTTTTATTGATTTTTTTTCACGTCAATCTTGAAAAATGGGATATTCAAAGTTAAACACATGTTTTCCTCTCCTATTCAACCCTTTCTCTAAGATTGAGAATGAAACCCAAACATTTATCTTTCATCAAGAGCGTTTCTTCCTTTTTCTTTCAATTTCTTTATTTTTCTCTCTCTTTTCTCTTCATTTGGATTGAAAAAATTTGCTTATGAGATGTTTATTTCCTATCTTTTTCCTACCAATCAGATGCATTCCCTTTTGAGAGCGTTTAGAGGTGGTGATATAGTTAGGATTTCTATTATTGAGAAAAAGAAAAGCGAAAGTTTCATAAATGGTGTCGCTTGTTGCTTTATTGAGCAAAAAGAGGGAAATCATTACGCTCAGAAGAATCTCTTACCAAGATTATTCTCAATACATGCAGTCTTCACGATGGCTGCTTGCCTGCATCTACAATTGATGCACCACACTGTTAAGAAATAAGTTTATTTGTTTGTTTTTCTTGTTCCTAGTTATAAGGAGTTTGTTGACAGCATATCTCTCATACTTTTGCTGTTAATATATCTACCATATCTTTAGTGATTGATAGCTTAAGTTGTTTGTTTTTCTTTGTTCTCAGTTATAAGGAGTTTGTTTTTCTTGTTCCTAGTTATAAGGAGTTTGTTGACAGCATATCTCTCATACTTTTGCTGTTAATATATCTACCATATCTTTAGTGATTGATAGCTTAAGTTCCTATTTTCTAGCAGCACTCTATTATGTTATGCTCTATTTAATGAGCTTATGAATGTAAGTTTAACATGAGAAAAATATTCAAGCTTTCATACTCTTTTGTTTCTTCTTTACTATATAAGCATATATAGTTTAACAGTGGTATCAGAGCTTGAGTTAAATACGTGAGGTTCGAGTGAAACACGTAAGGGAGTGAAATTAGAGAATTTGCAGTAACAAAGGAGATAACACATGGCTGCAGAAAATTTTGTTCAACCGGCCATTCCTTGCTTTCATGGTCACTATGATCACTAGAGCATGCTTATGGAAAATTTCGTAAGGTCCAAAGAATATTGGGCAGTTGTTGAGTCTGGGGTAGCAGAACCAGCAACAGGTTTTGTGCTAACATATGCTCAAAAGACAGAGCTTGAGGCACTGAATTGAAAGATCTCAAGGCAAAAAATTATCTTTTCCAAGCTATTGATCGCTCAATCCTTGAAACCATTCTTAGTAAAGACACTTCCAAGCAAATTTGGGATTCTATGAAAAAGAAGTATCAAGGGACATCAAAGGCAAAGAAGGCACAGTTGTAAGCACTTCGTGCAGATTTTGAAACATTAAAAATGATAACAGGAGAATCTGTTTCAGATTACTTCTCACAGACTATGGCAATAGCAAATAAGATGCGTATACATGGTGAAGAGATGGAAGATGTCACCATTGTTGAGAAAATTCTATGCACTATGACTTCAAAATTCAACTATGTTGTTTGTTCAATTGAGGAATCCAAAAATGCCAGTGATCTTTCTATTGATGAATTACAAAGCTCATTGCTAGTTCATGAGCAAAAAATGAATCGTCAACACACTGAGGAGCAAGCTTTACACGTCTCATCCAACAATCACTCTTCAGCATCAAGAGGAGGTGCTCGAGGAAGAGGTAGAGGCCGAGGTCGAGCCAAAGGAAGAGGCAGAAGCTACAACAATGGCAGAGGGCGGCACTCGTATAAAAAATTTAAAGATAATTCTTTTCAAGAAAGAGGGAGAGATGATGACCATTTAAAGTCAAAGTTCGTCGACAAATCTAAAGTTGAATGCTATAGATGTCATAGGTATGGCCATTATCAATCGGAATGTCGAACCAATTTGAATAGAGATGGTGGAAGGCAGTCTAATTTTGCAAAAAAGGAAGAGGAATTTGAAATCACTCTTCTAATGGCCTACCAAGCATCAAATCAGACAGAGGAGGATACTAAACAAAATATTTGGTATCTTGATACTGCATGCAGCAATCATATGAGTGGGAACAAGTCTGCATTCTCCATTTTGGATGAAACATATCGAGAATTGGTGAAATTTGGAAATAATTCTAGAGTCTCAATCATGGGAAAGGGTCAGGCAACTATTCAAACTAGAAGGAATGTTACTTAAAAAATCTCTAATGTCATTTATGTTCCAAATTTAAATATTAATCTTCCCAATATTGGTCAATTGCAAGAGAAGGGGTATGAGATTCAAATTAAGAATGGAGTATGCCAACTTCTTGATGATAATTTGGGCTTAATTGCTGAGGTTAAAATGATAGCAAATAGAATGTTTCCTCTTCATTTGAATCATGTTATTCTTTCATGTTTTTTTGTGAAACAAGGAGATGAAGCTTGGTTGTGGCATTTTCGCTACAGACATCTAAATTTTGGTGGATTAAAGACCATGCAGCAAAAGAACATGGTGATTGGCCTTCCTCAAATTTCACCACCTTCTCAAACTTGTGAAGACTGTGTCATGAGCAAACAACGTCGTAATTCATTTCCACAAGGAAAATCAAAGAGAGCAAAAGCTGTTCTGGAACTTGTTCACTCCGACATTTGTGGTCCAATAACACCATGTTCCAATGGAGGTAAACGTTACGTAATTACCTTCATCGATGATAATACACGGAAAATCTGGGTGTATTTTTTGCAAGAAAATCTGAAGCTCTTGAAGCTTTTAAAAGCTTTAAAGTTCTTATTGAGAAGGAGGTTGGAAGTCCAATGAAAGCTCTTCGAACAGACCGCGGTGGTGAATATAACTCACATGAATTTGTAAATTTTTGTGAGCTTCATGGAATAAAGAGACAACTAACAGCAGCCTATTCACCTCAGCAAAATGGAGTTTGTGAAAGGAAAAATCGCACGATTATGAATATGGTGCGAAGTCTTCTAAAAAGAGGTTGTGTTCCCAAGAATTTCTGGCCTGAAGCCGTCAATTGGAGCATTCACATTCTGAATAGAAGTCCCACTTTTGCAGTTAAAAACATGACTCCGGAAGAAGCTTGGAGTGGACAAAGACCATCTGTAGATCATTTTAAAATATTTGGGTGCATTGCATATGCAAATATTCCTGATCAAAAGAGAAAGATGCTAGATGACAAAGGGGAGAAATGTATTTTAGTGATCAATCAAAAGCCTATAAACTTTATAATCCTAAAACTAAGAAAATAATCATTAGCCGAGATGTAGTTTTTGATGAAAATAGTTTCTGGTCATGGGACAAAGGTGCCACTCAAGTACAAATTCCAACCAACTTTGATGGAGAAAATGATGAAGAAGTTCCTACTGCTGTTTCTGGAAACAACTTTGATGGAGATAAATGATGAAGGAAGTTCACTGCTGTTTCTGGAAATTCCCAAAATGACAATGCTCCAAATTCTGATGTTGCGCCAATTATGGAGGAGGAAACTGAAACTCTAACAAATTCACGTTCTCAATGTGTTCGAAAAAGGCCATCTTGGATGTCAGACTATGAGGTAACATGAATTGATAATTCTGAAGATCCTCTCACCTATCTTGCTCTATTTTCAGATTGTGATCCAACAAATTTTGAAAGTGCTGTCAAAGATAAGATCCTCTCACCTATCTTGCTCTATTTTCAGATTGTGATCCAACAAATTTTGAAAGTGCTGTCAAAGATGAAAAATGGCGAGAAGCAATGGATCATGAAATAGCTGCAATTGAAAAAAAATGATACATGGGAAATTTTTTATCTTCCTACTGGACACAAAAAAATTGGTGTCAAATGGGTTTATAAAACCAAATTGAAGGAGAACGGAGAAGTTGATAAATATAAAGCACGGCTCGTGGCGAAGGCTACAAGCAAGAATTTGGTGTAGATTATAAAGAAGTCTTTGCTCCTATAGCAAGACTTGATACAATCAGATTAGTGATTGCAATGGCTGCTCAAAACTCAGGGCCCATTTACCAGTTAGATGTAAAGTCAGCTTTTTTGTATGGAGACTTATAAGAACAGGTATTTATCGAACAAACACCTGGTGACATTAAAGTTGGTTAAGAGCATACAATTTACAGATTAAAAAAGGCTTTATATGGACTTAAGCAAGCACCTAGAGCTTGGTATAGTCGTATAGATGCATATTTTCAAAGGGAAGGTTTTCGAAAATGCCCAAATGAGCATACTCTTTGCATAAAGTGTGGAGATGAAGGAAAAATGTTATTTGTATGCTTATGTGTAGATGATTTAATTTATACTGGAAATGATGGTGATATGTTTGAGAATTTTAAAAGGTCCATAATGCTTGAGTTTGACATGTCTGATCTTGGAAAGTTGCATTATTTTCTTGGCATAGAAGTAGTGCAATCTGCAGCAGGAATATTTATTTCTCAAAAGAAGTATGTTTGAGAGATATTAGAAAGATTTCAAATGGGAAATTGCAATCCTGTCACCACACCATTAGATGTTGGGTTGAAGCTCACAAAAGATCAAGATGGAAAGAAGATTGACAGCACTCTTTTCAAACAAATCATTGGAAGTTTGATGTATTTGACAGCAACAAGACCAGACATTATGCATGTTGTAAGTCTTATTAGCAGATACATGGAAAACCCCATAGAATTACATCTTCTAGCGGCAAAGAGGATCTTACGCTACCTAAAAGGTATAGTTGATTTTGGGGTGTTTTACAAAAAGGGAGGAAAATCAGAATTGATTGGATTCACTAATAGTGATTATGCTGGAGATTTGGATGATCGAAAGAGTACTTCGAGTTATGTTTTTATACTGAGTTCAGGCGTAGTCTCTTGGTCAACAAAGAAACAACTAATTGTCACATTATCAACAACTGAAGCTGAATTCGTGGCTGCTACTTCTTGTGCTTCACAAGCTATTAGGTTGAGAAATATTCTTGCTGAGCTGAATTTTAAGCAACAAGAAGGAACTATGATTTATTGTGACAATAGTTCTGCCATAAAGTTGTCTAAAAATCCAGTTTTGCATGGGAGAAGCAAACATATTGATGTGAAATTTCATTTTTTAAGAGATCTCAGCAAAGAAGGAATAATTCAAACGGTGTACTGTAGAAGTGAAGATCAGTTTGCTGATATATTTACTAAGTTTCTCAAAGCAGTTCCTTTTGTCAAGCTCAGAAAGTTACTTGGTGTCTGCACTATGGAAGATTAAACCTGTATAAACTGATTGTTTAAGAACATCAGTTTAAGGGAGGAATAATGTTAAGAAATAAGTTTATTTGTTTGTTTTTCTTATTCCTAGTTATAAGGAGTTTGTTGACAGCATATCTCTCATACTTTTGCTGTTAAAATATCTACCATATCTTTAGTGATTGATAGCTTAAGTTCCTATTTTCTAGCAGCACTTTGTTATGTTATGCTCTATTTAATGAGCTTATGAATGTAAGTTTAACATGAGAAAAATATTCAAGCTTTCATACTCTTTTGTTTCTTCTTTACTATATAAGCATATATAGTTTAACACACACAATGTTCCTCATTACGCTCGACGACGATGGGTCATCCATTGCCAAGCTGTTGAAGCAAATCTTATGAAAGAGAGAGAAAGAGAAACAAGAAAAAATTGAAGTAGAGTGGAAAGGATATATGGATTGCAGCAGATATATATAACAAAACAATGGGCAGAAGAGAAAAAAGCCGGTCATTGATTCCTCTCTCCTAAAACGTGATTATATGTCAATGTGGATTTTAAAAAAGTTTTTTTGAATGACATGGAAGTCCATGTGCGCACTTTGCTGTGGTCTGGCTGAAAAAAAAGCTTTAAAATCATTTTTTCGGTACAGAAATAAGAGTCCAGGAATATTTATGGAACAAATTAAATTCAAGGAGGACAATGGGATAGGTACTACAGTTTAGAGACGCCAAGTGAAATTCAACCAACTTTCTAACGTTACATATCAAATCATAATTATATTTGTATAATTTAATTATAAAATTAATGTGAATAAATCAAATATTATAATATTAAAAATTAAAATAACTTTATTTCTATTATTTTAAAATTTATTTGTCTATAAGTTAATTCTTTATTTTTAAATATTAAAGTTATCAAAATAAAATCATTTGAATTGAATGCTTGTAAAATTGGTTTGAGGATTGAATTTAATTTTATTGAGCTCGAATTAATTTTATTAAAATTACTTAAATTTGGCTGAAACTCGATTTGAATTTCAAAAAACTGAGCTCGGCTCTAACTTGAATTATATTTATTTGTAGTTTATTGTTTAAAAAAAATACATAAAAACATATTTTTATTAACTTAAACTCAAGCTTAACCTCGATTCAAGATTAAAAATTTACACTCTTATGCTCCGAAAAATGACTTACTGAAAAATATAGAAAATATTTTCCTTAAAAAATATTTTTCAAATGACTTATTTTCTGTTGTTTGGTTGTAATATTGAAAAGTAGTTAAAAATATTAACGTCTTTATCTCATAATACCTTTAAAAATATTAATAATAATAGAAATTTTATAATTTAAAAAATTTATTGTTAAATATATAGAAATTTTTATAATTTAAAAAATTTAATTGTTAATATGAGAAGATGCAAAAAAAAAAAAAAAAGTAATTATGAAAGCCGTCGGTGCTGCTGCGGTGGCTGCCCTGTAATAACATGGTGATAGTGGTAGTGATTTAATAAATTAAAAAATATGAATTTATAAGGTTTGTCAATGTCCGGAAAATATTTTACTCTCTCGAAAATGGAAAATTATTTTCCTTAAAAAGTGACATAATTTTCCTTTAACTAAGAAAATATTTTCTATTGACTTATTTTCCTGAACGCTCCAAACAATGAAAAATTGTGAAAAATATTTTCCTGTAAGTTATTTTACAGAAACAAACGGAGCCTTAAATTTTAATTAATTTACATTTTAATTTATAAGAATTTTGAAATTTAAAAATACTTAATGTTCAACAAATTATATGTATAATTCTCTTAGATTTCTTAATAATTAATATTTGAGTTCCAATTTTTAAAATTATAAATTTTCTCTTGCATTTTAATATTTCAAATTTTAATTTATATGTCACTTTGATATTTAGAAATTTAAAATTACAAATAAAACATTTTTTTAGGAGTACAAATGAAACATTTTAATTGCTAATTAACTCAGAGATTTGAAGTGGTAATTTCAAAACCATAGAAAACAAAGTGTTTAATTACAATAAATTCAAAAATGTTACAGTAATTCATTCTTTAAATTACAACTAATAAAAAAGCAAGTCAAGCAAAAACAGTCAAATTTGTAAATTTTCCCTTATAATATTTAAAAAAAATTTCAACACTTTCAACTTTTACTTTACTCATAAAATAAAATTTGTAAAATTACATTTATAAAATACTTTAATTTACAAAAATCATTATATTTAATGTTCCGATTTATAAAATTGGATATATTAAATACTTATTAGATACTTAAAAATATTACTGATTACACTTCAATTAATATTTAAATTAAAAATAAAAATAGTAAAACTATTTTTTTTTTTTATAAAGGTATTTGTATACTAAAATTTATAACTTAAACATATAAGAAACAATAGGATAATAGGTAAGTATGACCCAATGAAGTGGTCTTTGTCTCTCCCTTGCAGTCCATTCGTAGCTGTGGAAAAAATGGCCTTCCTTGTTTGACCCGATGAACAAATGAACCAAACTTCAAAACCCTCTACTTCTTCTACTTCTCACTTTCATACCCGTCTTTTTATTTTTATTCACAATACCTATCGTTTACTTTGGTTAGTTTGCATTTTAATTATAGCTTTGAATATTCAAACAACACCGTAGACTTTATTTCCTTTGGTGTTGGGATAGCAAGGGCGTCTTCTCTTCCATTTCTCTCTATAAAAAGAAAGGCAAATCTTCTCCCCCATCGTGTCTGTAACTCGCTTCCACTTCTCCTTTGTCTCTTGGGTTTGGGTTCTTGAAATCTCACGTTGGTTTTTTGTTTCTTGATTTTATTTCATTTACTTTAGTCACCTGGGTCACCTTGTTTTTGCATTTCTTTGTTTATTTATAGCTTTATATGTTCCTTTAGTTATTTTGGTTACTGTTGTCTTTAATTGTGTCCGAGTATATATAATTCACGTGGGTATAATAAATCTTTGTGTATGATGCTGAATTTTAGTTCTTTTGTTTCTTGTTTTGGAATTTGTTTCAGGTTCTGCTGTGAATACAGATATTTCCAAGCTTGAATGCGCAACAGATAGCAATTAAAGGGGTTCTTCTAGCAAACTTTGTGGGTCTTTTTATAGTTAAAACGATGTTGGGTGGACGGGTTGTTAAGATTTTAATGAGTAGTTGCCTCTGGTTATTGCTTAGCTGTAGTTTGAGCTACGGTACTGAGACTGATATTGCTTGCTTGAAGAGTATAAAAGCTTCACTTGAAGACCCTTTTGGTTACTTGAAGTCTTCATGGAACTTTAACAACAATACTGAAGGTTTTATTTGTAGATTTACTGGGGTTGACTGTTGGCATCCTGATGAGAACAAGGTCTTGAATCTCCGGCTTTCGGACATGGAGCTGAAGGGTCAGTTCCCTCTTGGCCTCAGGAACTGCACAAGTATAACTGGTGTAGATCTTTCAAACAACGACCTGGTTGGAACTATTCCAACCAATATCTCTAATATCACTCCATTTTTGACATCACTTGATCTGTCATCCAACAGTTTCTCAGGAACAATTCCAGCAGATCTCGTAAACTGTAGCTATTTGAATGTTCTCAAGCTAGACCGTAATCGGTTTACGGGTCAAATTCCTGCAGAACTTTCCTTGCTCAAACGGTTGAAAACATTTAATGTAGCTAATAATCTCTTGACAGGACCAGTGCCAAATTTTACCACCAGCAGCTTCGGGGCAGATGTTTATGCAAATAATACGGGATTATGCGGAAAGCCTTTAGATGATTGTCCTGGGACTCCAAAGGGAAGAAAAGACTAGATCATCAAATTCAAAAGACCAGAAAATTAGTTCTAAGGGAAAGAGAAGAAGAAATTGGTGGAGAAAGGGGGATAGAAAATCTAGGCTTAGGTCAAAAAATGAGAGAGAAAGTGGGGTGAGAGAAGACAGAAAACATATGATTCTGTAAAGAAATTGTTTTTTTTTTTTTTTTTTTGACATTCTGTAAAGAAATTGTTATTCCATTCCGTTACTGTGATTTCTCGTACGTTGTGGTTATATTACTTGTATTTCGTCATTACTTGTACTTCTAATATTAATATTAATGAATAAAGGAACAGATGTAGTAACAGTTTTTATATTCTTTTGAAATACTGTAATTTTGTTTGATTTAATTATTATAGAATGCTGCTAAATTTATTTTTTATAGTTACAATGATAATTTAACCCACTGCTTATATTTTTCAGTTAATTTACAATTCTTAAATTTAAAAATAAGAAGATATTCGAATTTTAATTACTGGTTTTTGTTTTGTTTTTTTCTTTTTTAATGATATTTATCTGATTATAGATTTGTTAATTTTAATTAATTTCCTTTATAATTCAGTAAGCAAGAGTAAGAGGCCTCCTCGATCGAGAACTTACTCGCACTACGGGAAATTCGAAAATTAGCAATGGATTATTTCCGTTTCTAAGTGCAAACTCGGTTGCTAATTCAGCTTAGAAACAGATTAGATATGTAACAAATCCCAACCAACTTGGCTCGTTTCTAATACGGTTTTACGATCTAAGTTAGAAAATGGATATATGCTAATATTTTCACAATCCGTTTCTAATTTTTGATGTCGTCGGGAACAAATTTTGTTTCGGGTATGTTTCTGTTCCATCTCTAAATCCGTTGTTCCATTTCTAAATCCATTTTTTGCATTACTATCCGTTTCTAATTTCTTTAAAAACTGTAATTTGACGCATTTTACATTGCTAAATCATTTCTAAATAAGTTATTAAATTAAAAAAAATCTTTATAATCAATTTCTAAATCTTTAGGTATGTTTTATTATTTCATTTCTAGTCCATTTTCAAATCTTTATTTATATTTTTCATGAACTAATTTAAAATTAAAAAAAATAAATATAAAATTGTGGAACTTTAAATAGAGATATGTATATTAAATTTATATTCAAAATCTCACTAATACAAAAGTAATATCTTTGCAACTACAAACATATTTCTCAGATACAAAATTTATCTCACAGATAGTAAGTTTATGGGTCACAAATATAAAAGAGCTAAAATCTATCTTTACTAGTAGCATCACCATCGTTATCATTATGAGTATTTAAAGAATGTGGTTTGAATGCTATAATGTGTGGTCATGGGATAGTTACATTGTTGTCCACGTATGAAAATTGGGTGCATATATCCATCCATGAGCTTGAATTTCTAAGTCCTTCTTGTAAAATAATAAGTAAAACAATAATGGTTATTATTTTCTAACTAGAGCACATATTTCATTAAGAAAATATCATTTTAGTAAACTGTTTTGAAATATTTTTTCCAAATAAATGGAAATATAATATTTTTATTAAATATTCTTTTTTTGTTTTCTATAAGGTAGAATAAAACAAATACAATAATAAAAATAAAAATAAATATTGAAAAATATAATTTGGGAATGGATTCTATAATCCATTTTTAATAATTAATTTCTAAATCTATTTCTAATTATTCTAACACTTTCTGTTAAATTTAAAAATGAATTACTTTTCATTTTCAATATTCGTTTCTAATTTGCTGTTGCTCCGTTTCTAAATTACCCGTGTCATTTTTCCGGCAACCCTTGGCAACAGAATATTCCATTTGTAACCAGTCTTGTTTTTATAAAATCGTGTCTAATCCATTTATAAATTTAGTAAAAGATTTTGAATGCAATTTCTAATGGTTGCAAATTAGAAACTGACTGGTTTGTTCCTAAAAGTTCGTTGCTATTCCACTATTTTCTTGCTGTGAACTTTAAAGAGCGATATTTTTATAACTCTTGCAAAAAAAAGCAGTAAAGGATAAAAAATAATTACAATCATTAAATAAATTAAATTCTTAAAAAACTAGGAAACTTGTACTAATTCAAAATTAATTCATAAATTTAATTGGGAGATATTAAGAGTAGCGCAATTAATATCTTAATAATCAAGAGGAAAGAAATAGAGTAATGAGTCTTGGACATGGTTGAGTACAAGTTGAAACTAATGAAAAATCAACCTGAAATGATCGATTTAGTTTGGATTGATTTGATGTTTCAATAGTTCCATTTTAATTTGGTTTTAATATAAGTAATCAAATGGTTTTCGTTTCAAATTCAGGCTAATCAATTTTTTTTTTTTTCTGTCAGAAAATAGTTAAAATTCCTCGATTGAATTAAAACACTTTGGTTCATGACTGAATTCAATTATTCTATTAATCAATTTGATTTCAGTTATTTGTTTTTTCCTCACTTCGATTTTCAATTTGGTTCACTTTAGTAACTGATGTGAAATAATGCCATAGTCTTGGTACGGTAGTTAACAAAAATAGGAAAGACTAAAAGAAAAAACTTCTTTAGAAAAATTAAAATAGGGTAATAACAAAAATCACATTAGCTATTGCAAAAGAAAATAGAGTAAAATATTGCTACTTCTACATTTGATATTTTTATATTTAAATAACATGAATTCATATTGAAATTATATATATATATTAGTTTTTGTGAACGTGCGTTGCACGTTATTTGTACTTGTTATTTATATTCGTGTGTATATACTCTTGATTTTTACTCGTTTTTAGTAATAATTTAGTTTCTATATATAATTTTTTTATTAATTTATATGTATTTTATTAATTTATATTATAAATTATGAATATTTTATATTACTAAAAATCTAAGAGTATTTATGAAATAATAAAATAAAAAAGTTTAATAATTATATAACTTTTAGAAAAATTATAATTGAAAAATTAACAAGATATATTATTCTAAAAAAATAAAATATATAATAAAAATTATTATTAATAACATTATCGGGACTGGTCTTTGTAAAATTATTTGTAACTTATCTTCTTTGTTCTGATTCTTTTGCTTTTTCCGGTTAGTATCCCAAACTCTAGAATCTATAGTTTTGCTATATATAAATCTATGTTTGTATATGTAAATTTTAGAAATTAGGACTGCATATTTCCTTTATTTTTATCTAATTTTTGTCGGTTTTCATATTTTTGCCCTAAGAATATTAAGAACTTAGGGTTTTTCTTATGTAAATTGGTATTTCTTACGTTAGTTTTTGCTTACAAAATAAATAAAAATGCTTTCTTATTTAAGGTTAATTTTTGTCAGTTTTCATATTTCTGCCCTAAGGATTGGAAAATTTGTACTGAATGCAATCTTCTAGATGTCTTCTACCCAATAGAAAGATATTTGATTATGAATATAAACGAGTGATTAAAAAAAGTTCCATTTTTTTCATACAGTGTGTCATGTTGGAATTTTTCTTTTCTAGTATTTGCTATTCAGGAAAAAGAATTTTTATTTTGAACTTATGTGTATTTGTTGTAAAAAATAAAAGAAAGCTACATTATCCTTTGCTTTATGATTTTATTTTATATGATTTGATTTGCAGCCTCTAAATTTGCTATCGATACTACTGATTGTTATCAGTTTAATTTGATAAAAAATAACATTCACATAATAATAATAATAATATTATTTATATTATTATTATTTATTATAAGTAAAATATCATAAATCGAAATAAGGTTGTTTATGAATATTTGTTTATAATATTTCCCTATGAAAATTTAGTAAATTAACATAACCAATTAAGATTAAACTACCTTTATTTTTCTACCAATAAAATTAAAGTCCTTAATGATATTTTTGTCAATGTATAAACTTGATAAGAATGTTTAGGAACCTAGTGTTCCCTCTCCTCCATTCTTCCTAATAGAATTTAGATTCAAATAGAAAATTAATGTAACCAATCAAAATTAAATTTAATTAATTAATTAAAATGTTAAATAGAATATATGAAACAAAATACATTTATTTTATGTGCTTAAATTAATTTTATTATTATTTAATATTTGTCCTTTATGAATCTAAAAGGTATCAAAACACTATTGCAATGTTAAAACTAAAAAATAATAATCATTAGGTCCTCTAATTTAAAAATATGTAAAAACTTGAGAAAAAAATAAATTTACAACCATGAACTAAAGATAATCTATAAGAAACTAGTAAACTTATATTTATTACTAAACTATAAAATTTAATTAAAATATTAGGAGTAAAATAATTAATACTTCTGAGAATAATTAATACTTCTACGATTATGATGAATATTGGACTTAAAAAATATCAAAATTCACTATAAAAGTTATGAATATAATAAAATGGTAAAAGCTAACATGTCACAAATATGTATTTAGAAGAATATTTAGTCTTTTAAGCTGCAATAATTGATTTCTGATATACTTTATTCGACTACAAACCTTAATTAGTCTAATAATAAATCATATAGTAAAATCAAATATTTTCAATATAAACTACGCTTCAAAAATAAAAAGTATTATTAATTAAAACTGTCAAATGATGATAAATTCATTGAAGCCAAAATATCCTTTTTTAGTTTCTATAAAATGCATAAATTTTTAAAAAATTAGTGTAGCAAACAAAAACAATAATAATCGTTAGTTTATATTAAATAATAAAATTATTTAGTAAATAATAGTGTATTTCATCATATCTTTATTTTTGAAGTGTAGTTTATATTAAATTAGTAGGTTTTAAATTAATATACGTAAACACATTAATAAAATTATTCCTATAGTTGAAGCTAATTCAACAATAACAAATTTATAATGTGAAAAATTGAAGAAGAAAATCAATTAATAAAATAAAATAAAACAAATCAAAAATTGTGAATCATTAGAATTCCAAGATATGAAATACACTTACATTATTGAAATTTATTAACTAAAAATCCAACTAATTTGAGAAAATCACACTATCATTTTACTCTTGTACTCTTTGATTCTCTGGAGGTAACGTTTGCTTTCTCTCAATTAATTCTAAAAAGCCTATTTATAGTGAGACTTTAGGTTAATTAGATTAATATTAGAATTCCTAATTGATTTAATATTCCTGTATATTTAGTTGATATTTAATATTTCTTAATGATTTTCTTTAAAATAAATAATTTATAATCAAGTAATAACTTTTTTCCGCTTCTTGTATAATTTAACAATTAGGATCAATATAAATGAATTAAAAGATTTTTATTTTTTATTTTTTCGTTTTCTAGTGTACTAATACGAGTAGATTTAAACATCTAAAAAATATTTTATATTATTATATCTTATTTTAATTTTTTAGTCAATAAAATTTTTTCCTAATTAAAATAGGACTAAATTATACTTAATGATATTTTTATTATAATATATAAATCAATAAATTAAAAGTTTTCTAATTAAAATGGGACTAAATCAACTAATAAAATACAATAAAGTTAAAATTTTTTTAATTAAAATATGACTAAATTATCCTTAATTATATTTTTAATCAATTGATAAAATTAAAAGTCCATAGGGGCATTTTAAGAACCCAACGTTCTCCGTTCGTACTTTTATATATTATATAAATATAAGTATAAATTTTAGAGTGAATATTCAATTATATTTGGATTTTTTTAAAAAATAAAACTTAGAATAAATTTATGTAAATTTAATTATTCATTTTCATTTGTTTACTAGGGTCAACCAAATGGTCTTATAATAAGAATTGAAGTCTCTTTCCTTTTTTAGTCTTGACTTGTTCAATGTGAGTACAAAAAAAAAAAAAAAAAAAAAAAAAAAAAAAGAGCTAGCAAGCATTAGTGTGAAAGCAAGAAACGATTGGGTGCTCAAGAAGAAAGACAGAAAGATGTAGACGTCCAAACGTATATATTCACTAATCTAATTTAGTATGAGTTATTTAATTTTAAAGGAGCAATATAAAACATTTAATATTAAGATAGAGATAAATTTGAAAAATAAATAAGTATTAATAAGTTAAATATAATATATTTTTATTTTATTTTATTATGTGTAAAAATCAAATATTTATTTCACCGGTCGGAGGGGATAACATACATGAATAATATGGAAGCTCACTTCCTTGCAAGGACGGCAGCCTCTCAAATTGCCAATTTGTTTGGAGGAGTTCTCTTCATTTTCTTGATGTTACCTTAATTTCCGATGTTCATCTTCCAAATTTTTTCACGTTGCATTTTTAGCCCTAGATTGAGTGTACGTAAGAGAGGATTTGATGGTTGGATTTAGATGGAGTTGAAATGCTAAGTTTTTCCAAGATTTTATTTATATAATTATTAAAATTAAAAAAAAAAACATGTGTGACAAATTGGGTGAAATTAATAGGTCTTAGAAGTTTGATGTAGTATTTCCATCTGGCTGAATATATAATTTCACTCTTGAATTTTACAATTTTGACTTTATAGCATTTTGAACTTTGGGAATGACCTATTATACATTTAAACTTGTAAATTTTGGTAATATCACTTTGTTTTTGTTACTAATATCAATAATTTTTATGATTTTTGGCTTTATATGTAAAATATCGATTTGATATGTAGTTAGCATGACTTTTGCAATAATGATTTTCATAAATTTTTAATTTTTAATGAGTGTTTAATTTATTTAAATTTTGCAAGTTGAAGTGTTCAATATAATAATTTTGAAACTTGAAGTCTTTAATAGATGTAATTTTATAAATTGAACTGTTAGACGAGTTAAAATAAAAGTTGAGGGTATCACAGTATTTAAGTTATAAAATTCAAAGATAAATTTATGTATTTTACCATTTTCATCTCCGAAGTGCAATGACTATGAGTCGATGACTTTCGAGTTTTGTGGTAATTAGGAATAATTATTTATTAATTGTTTTTCCTTTGTAGAAATTAAAAGAAGAGGTAATTATTATACATTTTCTTAAGTTTTTATTAAATAAAAATCCTTATTATACACCAATAAGGACTTTAGTTTTCAAAATTACGCTGTTAGTCATGAATTATAATTCTGTTATACTTAGTTTTTACCATCAAATGATTATAATATATAAAAAATACCCTTAAAAATAATTACCAAATAATATAAGATTGTGGAAATTAAGGTTCTTATCAATGCATTTCACTAAATCATAATGACTATATAATAATTATCTTCGAGGATATTTTAACATTTCATAGTTACTTAATGAAAATATTAACGGTTTTAACGAAATTATGATGCAAGAACTATATAGTGTAATTCTGAAAACTGAAATCTTTACTGTTGTATTTAAGTAAAACTTAAATATTACATAATAATTACCCTTAAAAGAAAATTGAAGGACCGTAGAGCCTCGGTTTTCGTGAAGTCTTCAAATTCAATATGCTTAATAACTTTTATTTATTTGCACACGAAGACAAAGCTTAGTAGTAAGTGCACATATGGCTTAACAATAGATTCTAAGTTTATACTTTATGGTTCGAAGGTAACATTTCAGTTCTGAAAAAATACTTCAATCTCGTGAAGATAAGAATATAAAGTCGATCAATGTGCAAGAAGCATACTTATAAAGAGCCAAAAAGTTTTATACTTTATGGTTCGAAAGGGTAATACATTCCGATTCTAAACAATATAAAAATATTATGGCAAATGTCAATATCATTCTAAAAAATAATTAAACACCTAATTATTTTAATTTCAAATAAATTACTATAACGTTTTAGATTTAGATATACCATAATGAATGCTTTGGTCTTTATTGTTTAAAATTAAATTTTAATTTCTTAGATTTATTAAAAAAATTAATATGTTAGTTATAATCTTAAAACTATAAATTTTCATGACATATTTATTTATATGAAAGTTTTTAGAATATGAAATACTTCTCGCTCTCCTTTTAACGGTAGTCTTTACATTTTTCCTTTTATTTGTAGTAATATATTGATAGAAATTTTTGCCGATAAAAAAAACTTGTAGTAATATATTAAATTAATATAAAATTCATAAGAAATTATAGAAATATATAATGTAGGAAATATATAATATAGAAATATTTTAAAATTTACATTTCTACTTCAATTAACTCCGAGATTAAAAGTGTTAATTACAATAAATTCAAAAGTGTTAAAGTAATAGAAAGCTAATTTTCCTCTTTCTCTAAAAACTTAAATCATCTCTTTTCCTCTTTTTCCACAGGCAGTCACTGGTGGTAACCTTTTTCCTTTTTTGTTTGGTATTTCGCAAATAATCCTCAGATTTGTTTAAAGTTTTGAGTTATTGTCGCCCATATATCGGGATCTATTGTTACCCATATATTGAGATTTTGTCCTTAGATCTAGTTCTGAATTATTGCTATCACCATCAATAAGATAATTTTATCTAATGTCTTTTATTATTTAGATATGCAGTTAAGTTAATCAGATCGAATTTTTAGAAAGACCATGAATGTCTAACAGTGACCATGAATAGCCAGCAAGTTGAACAAGCAATCGCTTATGACACAAATATTATACTCTGTCAAATTGACAACTTGATTTGATACTTCAAATTAAGATTATGTTTTTTATTCTTTGTATAAGTGATTTATTATTAGGTTTTTTATATAAAAATATAGAAATATATTAATCTATTTACCATATTTGTATACGGTTTTTAATTAATGAAATTATAATTTGATTTTTTCTAAAAAAAAAAAGTGTTAAAGTAATTTATTCTTTAATTACAACAATGTTATTAATATTTTTTACGGGCGACTAATAAAAACGCAAGTCAAGCAAAAGCACTGAAACGTCATTGCGCTTTCTCTCTCTCTCCGTCTCCGTCTCTCTCTTCCAGTCCAGTCGTCGCTGAGTGTTGGAAAAAATGGCCTTCCTTGTTTGACCCGACGAACAAATGAACCAAGGTTCAAAATCCTCTACTTCTTCTACTTCTCACTTTCACACCCATCTTTTATTTTTGTTCACTATATCAGTTCTTTACTTTGGTTGGTTTGCACTTTAATTATAGCTTTGAATATTCAAACACCACGTAGACTTTATTTTCTTTGGTTTTGGGATAGGGCGTCTTCCCCTTTCATTTATCTCTCTAAAAAGAAAGGCGATTCTTCCCCCCTGCCGTGGCTGTAACTCGTTTCAACTGCTCTTTGATCTTTGGGTTTGGATTTCTTGAAATCTCAGGTGGGTATTTTATCTCTTGATTTTTTTCCTTTTACTTTAGTCAACTGGGTCACTCTCGTTTTTGCATTTCTTTTTTTATTTATAGCTCTATGTTCCTTTTTTGTTATTTTGATTATCGGTGTCTTTAATTGTATCTGAGTATATAGAATTGAATTATTCATGTGGGTATATTAAATCATTGAGTGGATGATGAATTTTGGTTCTTTTGTTTCTTGATTTCGAATTTGTTTCAGGTTTCTGGTGTTATGAAGCTGGTTTGTTGTGAATATAGATATTTTCAAGCTCTAATGCGCAATAGATAGCAATTTAAGGGTTATTTTAGCAAATTTTGTTGGTTTTATAGAGAAAATGATGTTGAGTAGACAGTTTGTTAAGATTTTAATGAGCAATTGCCTCTGGTTATTGCTTAGCTGTAGTTTGAGCTATGGTACTGAGACTGATATTGCTTGCTTGAAGAGTATAAAACATTCACTTGAAGACCCTTTTGGTTACTTGAACTCTTCGTGGAACTTTAACAACAATACTGAAGGCTATATTTGTAGATTTATCGGGGTTGATTGTTGGCATCCTGATGAAAACAAGGTCTTGAATATCCGCCTTTCGGATATGGGGCTCAAGGGTCGGTTCCCTCCTGGCCTCAAGAACTGCACAAGTATAACTGGTGTAGATCTTTCAAACAACGACCTGTTTGGACCTATTCCAGATGATATCTCTACAATCATTGGGTTTGTGACATCACTTGATCTCTCGTCCAACAATTTCTCAGGAACAATTCCAGTGGGCCTTGCCAACTGTAGCTTTTTGAATGTTCTTAGACTTGACCACAACCGGTTCACGGGTCAAATTCCTCCACAACTTGCCTTGCTCAATCGGTTGAAAACATTTAATGTAGCTAATAATCTCTTGACAGGGCCAGTGCCAAATTTCAACAGTAGTAGCAATATTGGAGCAGATGCTTATGCAAATAATCTGGGATTGTGTGGGAAGCCTTTAGATAATTGTCCTGGAACTTCAAAGAGTCCTCGGACTGGGGTTATTGCTGGGGCGGCAATTGCTGGGGTGACTGGTGCTGCAATAGTTGTGGGTATTGTTATGTTGTTTTACTACCGAAAGATGTCTAAGATTAAGAAGAAGAAGGATGATGATCCTGATGGAAATAAATGGGCAAAGAGTTTAAAGGGAATAAAGGGCATAAAGGCAAGTATCCTAATGCATATGTTTTCAAAATTATTAAATATTCTTGTTTTCTTTGCTTTTGAGTTCATACAATCTTCTCTCTTTCTTAAGATATTTATTCTTCTAGGATTGATTAATTAGATTTTTGTGTTTCCAGGTTTCTATGTTTGAGAAATCAGTTTCTAAAATGAAATTGAGTGATCTCATGAAGGCGACTAACAGCTTCAACAAGGAAAATATCATTGGGTCTGGAAGAACAGGGACTATGTATAAAGCAGTACTTGACGATGGCTCTTTGCTGATGGTTAAAAGACTGCAGGATTCTCAGCGTTCAGAGAAAGAATTTGTCTCAGAAATGTCTACTCTGGGGAGTGTGAAGCATCCTAATTTGGTTCCACTCTTAGGTTTCTGCATGGCTAATAAGGAAAGACTTTTGGTTTATAAGTATATGCCAAATGGTACCCTGCATGATAATTTACATACTGTAGATGAAAGTAAGAAGCCTATGGAGTGGCCTTTGAGGCTCAAAATTGGGATAAGGGCAGCTAAGGGATTTGCATGGCTCCACCATAATTGTAATCCCCGTATTCTCCACCGAAATATAAGCTCTAAATGCATCTTGTTGGATGCTGATTTTGAGCCTAAAATATCTGATTTTGGTCTTGCTAGGCTAATGAATCCAGTTGATACACATTTGAGTACCTTTGTAAATGGAGAATTTGGGGATTTGGGTTATGTTGCTCCAGAATATACAAGAACTCTTATGGCCACTACAAAGGGTGATGTTTACAGCTTTGGGACAGTCCTTCTGGAGCTGGTGACTGGTGAGAAACCTACCCATGTTGCTAAAGCTCCTGAAAGCTTTAAGGGTAGTCTGGTTGAATGGATCACACAGTTATCAAGCAACTCTCAACTTCAAGATGCCATAGATCAATCTTTGGTTGGGAAAGGTGTTGATAATGAGATTTTCCAGTTTCTTAAAGTTGCATGTACCTGTGTGGTGCCCAATCACAAGGAGAGGCCTACTATGTTTGAAGTTTACCAGCTTCTAGGAGCTATTGGAGAGAAATACCATTTTACCACTGAGGATGAGATTGTGATGCCTATAGACGATACTGAGGCTGATTATATGGATGAACTTATTGTTGCTCGGGAAGTGATCGAGGGTAACTAAAAGGTGTGAGGTAGGTAAAGAATTTTTCCATAATTTATATGTAATATATGTCACCGTGCTCAGTTTAAATAATGTTAATAGTATGTATACTTTTATAGTTCAAGTCTATATTGAGAAGTTGCCATAATGATATCACTGTCCTCCAGCATTCTTCTTGATTTTGTTTCTAGTATCTTCTAAGATTCATATTTCTCAACATAACACCTTTCTCTTACTTAGATCAGTCATTTTCTTTTCTCCTGTAGATTATGCAATACAGTCAATGATTGTTCACATGGCTTTTAGGTGAAGCAGCAACTCCATGACTATTCTTGGAAATTTTTTGTTTTCTGCTTTAGATTCATTTTATAGATAATAAAATGAAGTTTAATGTGAAATGTATACAGTTATTTGGATATTGATTATATCTCTGTTAAAATGCAAGTAATTCTGGTAATTGATTTCTTAGAAATATCAAGCATTAAATGTCTTCTTTGTTAGTGATATTTTTCTAAACTCTTCTTTCACAAAAGCTACCTGGAAGCTTCATTTAGTGTCTTGTGAAATCTCTATATCTGGATGGCTTCATTGTTTTGGCACCAATTTTTAAGCTCATTTAAGTCGGTGGGCTGGGAGTGAAATTGTTTGTAGGAACCTTCCCAAAAGCATTGCAAGCTGCTTTTTGGTTTGGAGAATTCGTTGTGAAATTAGAGAGTATTGTTACTACAATAAGCTGGAAGTAACGAAGTACAATATTCTGAGGTAGAAGCATCACTGTGAGTTATTTTCCACGCTTTTAAGTTGCTATTTTATTTTGATGCCTCTCTTTTAGAATAATACCATTGAACCAAGACAAACCTTTGGGCCTATTTGGTTCAGAGGTTGCGGTTAATGGTTGGCATTTAGCTTTTCATGGCTAGTTTGTGTGTAGTGGCTGGAGGGCCAAAAGATAACAGCTGAAATATCTGTCTTCAGTGTTTTAGTTATGACTCTAAACCACTGAGCATCGAATTTTAAAATGCTGCTTCAACCATTAGATTAACCAAACACAGGTTGGGAGCCTGAATGACAATTGTGGGTTCCCAGCCATTCATCAAAACAGACCTTTAATATTTCTAACCATTAAGAGGAAGGTCTGCAGCAAGATCTTTATTGAATCCTGTTTGTTGCTGAGTTCCTTATTGACTACGATGGAAATTTTAAATGACCTTTGCTAATTGTTTTCACACTTATCTATTAATGATTGTCCTATTTACAATCTGCTGATTGTACGAGTCACATTTTGTTATCTGCTTAGCTGCTTAGGTTGCTTGTTACCTATCAATTTTGAGAACTGAAGATATGCTATTATTGTGGTGCACATTAGAATGTTCCAGTAGAACGGGATACTTGTGTCTGTTTCACCATTGATGGGACATATTAGGATAGGGCAGCATTAATATTCCACAGGAAAAGCATTTCAGTTTGAAATGCTTAAATCTTGTAACTTTTAGCTATCTGCTGTGAAGTTTTGATTGCAGATCAGGCTGGAGTTTACATGTTTTCTTTGAGATGAACTAATTACTTCGGGATGCAAGGGGAAAGCAACCTGCAGGCTGCACTGACCTTGTTATGTTATAACCTGAGGCATGGACAAGCTGACATAACATTTCTTGAAAAAAAAAAAAAAAAAAAAAAAAAAAAAGGAAGGAAAGAAATAAAAAAATGTTAGTATTTAATGTGTATGTCAAGTGTGTAGCTTAGCTTGTCGTGTTGCTATGTCAGGTTTTGTGTCTGAGTGCAGGACATGAATATATGTCAATAACTGAAGTATCGATGTTTTACAAGTTTTAACTTTAACATTCTACCTTACAAATATTAGGAGATGTTTGGCTGTCGGAAATTGATGTTGTTGTCTTAGCCTTTTTCTAGACGTTAGGATTGTTCTAGCATCTTGAATATCTTAATTTCTTTGAAAAATTACTATGCTCTTTTTTTAAATTGCTAAAGGTTTGGATGATTTACAAATGCAGTAGTGAGCATGGCCTCAATTTCTGATTCTTAACATCTGCATCCTGCAGTCCCAAGCCTTCAATTAACGTTGACAATGACATTTCAATTTCTTTTTTTCACCCGCAAGGGAACCTTCTCATGATAAAAATTTTTTAGAAATTGTTCATACTTTATCATTTGTTTATCATTTGTCTAGCCGCGTATATGGGTGGTTTGACATACCAAACAAATCAAAAAGGTTTTTTTTTTTTTTTTTTTTTTTTTTTTTTTTTTTTTTTTTTTTTTTAAATATTATTGTTTTATTATTTTTTTAATATATGATCAGATGTATCTTCATTTGGACCAAAAGACCTTTTGTGATTGTTTTGGTGCATAAGGTTTGTAAACAATTGTAGGCAAGTCTTTTCTATTAGAAATAAACTTTCGTTCCTATGTATTTTTTAATGGTGTGGCCTGTAAACTGGGTCCAGGTGAATCATTCCTTTGAAATCAAGTGAGGACACACGATAAAAGGGAGAACGACATTGTTAGAATTTTCAAAGGAGGACACTTGCCTAAGATTTTTTGAAATCATGTTTCAAATCTTGATTACCCTTAATAGGGTAATCGTTGACGGGTTAGTTGGTTTTAGAGTAATTTTAGATCGGTTATTTGATCTTATGAATTCGAAAAACCAATCTCATGACTCATGGGTTCAGAAAAAAATAGTTTGAGACTAAACTCTTATTATGAAGAAATTGCATAACTGATCACCGTTTGGTTGATCGGAATGTCTGAATGCAACGCCATCTCATCCGCGTCCATCCTTAATCTTTCATGAAAGGAGCTGCCGTTTATATCGCAACATCATCATTTCAGAATTCAATAGTTAAAATAATAAATTAAGAAATTGCAGTTTTGCGAATATAGAGACGAGATGAACAATTACATCCCTAAAAATAATAATAAAAAATATAAATGAATTCGTTCCTGTTGCTGGGATTCGTTTCTCTAGGGTTTTCTTATTACCTTGTTGTTTTTATCTCCTGGTGAAAGTTAGGGTTTTCTGCTTAATTTTTTTCCAATTTTTTTCATATTTATTAATTTTTTAAATATTTATAATTATTCTTTCATTGATGGAAGTGAAATATTATTTAAATTCGTAATAATATAATATGCAAAGAAAAAAAATTCTCTGTATAAAATTCTAAATCCTTAAAAAATTAAATTATTCAATGTCCAAAAGTTTTTTTTTAAAGGAAAAATCTAACTCCATTAATCCAAACTGACAAAAAATTTTGAGCATTCATTTTTATGGATAAAACTTAAATAGACCCGACGTATGGACTCATCTATAGATTTTTTGCTAAAAAAATCTTATGATTGTTGCAATATTAGTCTTCACCTGACTTCCAAATTGAATAATGTTAGGACATAGATATAGGAAAGATAGATGATACTTCTTCCTCCATTTTTCTGAAAAGTATTATGAAGCATCCAATGATCAGCTTCATCAATATTAATAAATTGATTGAAATGGATAACTGAATATGTGATTCTAGTTCCAAATCATTAAAAGAATGAAACCAAAACTACCTACCTCTCATTGGCTCTTATTTGATTTATTAAAATTCAGAAAGCTCAGCTGCTTCTTGGCCACCGTACACCAACCATATCGAATAGTCACACAACCTCTCATTCCTGAAACTATCTATATCTAAAAGCATCCATCTCTATTTGCCTACGCATTCCATAGCGTCATCACATGTTCTAACCAAAAATTACGGCTAAATACGTAAATTCACCTAAGTTTTTTACTTTTACAGGTTAAGTATTTAAATTTATAAAAAAATATTATAACAATTAAACACTTTATTTGATTCAATTGGCAAAATTTAATCGATTAAATATTTATAAAATAATAAAAGAACATAAAAATTATGTTGATTAATAATGTATCAAATTAATATTTTACGTATAAAGATGAAAAATTTTTAAAAATATTACTTTTAATATAAGGAGGCGCGATATTATTTTACAAAAAAGTAAAGTTTAGAATGTTATAGTTTTTATTAAAATTCAAAAATTAAATTATGTATTTGAAAGAAAAAACTAATAATATGTGAAGCTTTTAAGCTATTTAAAATTTAAGATTTACGAATAAATATTAAAAAATGTATTTTTCTTTCGTCTTATATACTTGTATTTTAATTTTCTCACTTGGGATTCATAATCTTCTTTTTTAAAAAAATAAAAAAAATTGAATGTCATGATCTTATGTTCCATTCATTCTATAAAAATAACTTACTTTTCAAAGTATTTTCTTTAAAAATATTTTTTAAATAAATTATTTTCTACAATTTTATTGTAACAACCGCTTAAAAATTAAAAATTAAAAATTTATAAGACTATACAAATATTTGAAATTATTAAACTTCATATAAAATTATATTAATAAAAATGATAAACTGTGATAGTTACGCTCCACAGTCAAATGATTTCATGAATAACAATTAACAACCACATAATTTGGCTACAAGTTCATCAATATTGGTGTCAGATGTACCACCTTCACTAATTGCTTCTTTAGCTAAATTCTTCCACTTAATTGCATTCTCCTTAATTTCTTTTCCTTTCTCTCCTTCCATTACTTGTCTTAAGCAATGCTCTATTACTTGTCTTCTAACAACACCTTTCTCATCAGCCATAGCTCTAATCCCCATCTTCCAAACATCCTCAACATACTTAGCATTAGTGGGTTGGTCAGTCCATTGAGGCATAGCCACCATTGGAACTCCAAAGCTCAGAGCTTCAAGAACTGAATTGAACCCACAATGGGTAACGAAGCACCCAATTGATTCAGGTGCTAGCACCTCTAATTGTGGGCTCCAAGTGACCACTAAAGACTTGTCTGATGTCTCTTCTTTGAAATTTTCAGGCAGCTTAGCTTGCTCTGGTGCCCTTATAACCCACAAGAAGTAGTAATTACTAGCCTTAAGTCCCCAAGCAAGTTCCTCCATTTGTGCTGCTCCGAGTTGGGCCATGCTTCCGAAGGAGACATAAACAACTGAACCGCTAGGCTTGTCTTGTAGCCAATTAAGGCAAGCGGTTGTGTCTGGCTCAAAGAGATTGATTCCATAGTGTTTATCATCTTCAAGTCTCTTGTCCAAATACATAGATGGAAGGGTTGGTCCTATAGTCCGCAATCGCCACCTTTTAGCCATCCAATCGACCGCCTAATCAAAAAATGCCCAGAAGATTCTTTAGCATACGAATTTGATGCTTAGACGTAAAATTCATCAACAAAAAAAAAAAAAAAAAAAAATTCAATCAACAAAAAAAAAAAAAAAAAAAGTCTCATAAAAAAAAAAAAAAAAAAAAAGTCTCATCAATAAAAAAATGACTCGTCAATAGAGAAAACGAGAAGATCGAATTATGGTTGAATACTTTTCTAGAAATGTCAAAACTTTCAAAAAAAATAAAAATAAAAATAAAAATCAGCAACGGACATGAGCTCAAAATTTAATGTTAAGGGCTTGTTTGGTAATCTTAACTGTTTTAGAAGGTTGTATTAATGTTTAGTTATTAGTTTTTACATGGTAGCCATTTATATACTGGATTGAATTAGAGGTGTTCACAGTCAAAATAGTTGTTTAATTTAAAATGATATTAGCGGTATAATTAACTGAATTCAAAGAGAAAAAAACAATGGGGTATGATTGCCAAAAAAATTTAAAAAAAAAAATATTAAAGAAAAATTATTTAATATTAAAGAAAAATATTAAAAAATATATATACTATTTTTCTTGAAAACCCATGTTAGAATCTCTCCAAATTTGAGAAAAAAAAATGATAATGATGAATGAAAAATTGAAAAAATTACATTAATGTAAAATAAATTTCATTATTTTATTTCCTCTTGTCACCTCTCCAATTTATATATCATTACCTCTTCCTCCAATTTGTAAAAGGAGTTATAAAGGATCCAATCCGCTTCATCAAAATTACTGAATTGATTCACCAACAGATGCGAGAAACCTGGGTATGATCCCCAAATAGATATAAAAGATGGTGTCTCTGAAACTTGAAGCAGAGGCAATCCAGGAACAGAAACACTCGACTTTAATGGCAAAGGCAGAAGACCTCTTTGTACATGATAATATATATTATTAACAGCACAAGACTGAGTGAAAAAAACCACTGCGAACAAACCAAACTGCTTAGCTACATCAAGTGCCCATGTCAAGAACCCATCATATATTACTGCAGTTACGGGGAAATCTGAATCTCGAAGTTTCTTTATTAAATCTGCAAAAGTTTTTGAACCCACTTCTTGTAATCTTGACAAGTAAATTTCTGTGCTTTCTGCTTGTCCAAAGCCACCTTCATCAAATCCATCAGAATAGGTTTGGATATCGATTAGGCTGTTTGGATCTCTGTGCATAGATTTGTTTATGGCTATGGTGTTTGCTAGTGTGGCTTTTACTCCTCGGGAGACTAACCGCTTAGAGAACTGTAACATAGGGTTTATGTGCCCTTGCGCAGGGTAAGGAAGGACAAGTACATGAGATTTGTAGGTTCTTTTCTCCTTCTCCATTTTAGCTCAGTTTAGCTTTGAACTTGTTTCCCTTTTGAAAATTGCTGTAAAGATGAGACTATTTAAGACGGAATTTTTTTGGAGTATTGGAAAATTGATTTATAGAGAAATTGTAAAAAAAAAAGACAATTGTAAAAAAAAAAAAAAAAAATATATAGATATATATATATAATATATATATATATATAATATAATATATATATTAGGTTAAAAATTAGCTAATAAATCTCTCTCAAAAAAAAAAAAAAAAAAAAAAAAAAAAAAAAAAAAGCTAATAAATTGACTCATTGGTATTGAAGAGTTAGTTGAGAAGTTCAACATAAATTGAGTTCAAATTAAGGCAAAAACAACAAATTTTTTTTTAAAACCTTAAAATTGAAAACATAAATAGCATGAATTTTATTGCTTTTATCCAAGTGGTAATTCTCCACCTATGAGTTGTGGCTCAATTGGTAACACAGAGTAGACACGTAAGAAGAGTTTTTGAGTTTGATTTCACTAAACATATTTGTAGGAAGTGGCGAAGAGCTCTTAACTGTGACTAAGTCACGAGTCAGATTAGGCGGTCCCTGATAATAGGTCCGGATACCGGTGGCTTACACAAAAAAAGTGATAATTCCCCCCCCCCCCCCCCCTCCTTTTTTTTTTTGAAAAACTTGCAAAATCGATTCTTAAATATCTAATGTCTTGGACTTTTCATGTTACTTTACTTATATTATTTATAGTGTTCTGTGACATAAAATTTATATTAGTGTTTAAAGTTTGAGAGAGCGGATTATGAAACGTTACTCTTTAACTTTTAATGAAAAACTAGTTAAATAACTCACAGCTAACAGATACTAAAACAATTAATTTTGCTGAATAGACAAGTGTAAAAAAGGATTTATTTGAATTATTAAGAGCCCGTTTGGAACAAATGAATTCCACCAAATTTTGTGGAATTCATTTGGAAATCTAAAATTTTGTGTTTGGAAAAAAAAATACAAATTTGAATTCTACGAATTGAATTCTATAGAATTGTCTATAGAATTGAGTGTGCTATCCAAATTCTACGAAAAAATTGATGAAAAAAATTGTAAATGAATCTACAAAAATTAAACCTATTGAAATGTTTATTTGACAAATTACTCTAATATTATGAACTCAAACTATTTTTTTACTTTTTGGTTACCTTTTGTTGTTTTTTGTTTTTAAATCCTAAGAACTATGATTAATTTATTACCGTTATTTTTTTTTTTTTTTTTGAAAATCAGTATATTACTCTATGATTTTTTTTTTTTTTTTTTTTGTTTTTTGAAATTCTAGTATTACTATGACATTGTTTATAGTTTTCGTTGAAACTAGTAATCGTTTCATGCAATATCGATACATAATAATTATAAAAACTGAGTAGGCAAACAAAGTTATTTCTTAAAATGCATATCAAAAACGGTTTTTTTTTTTTTTTTTTTTTTTGAAATCTAGTATTACTATGAAACATTAGTTATAGTTTCGTTTGAAATCTAGTAATCGTTTCATAGCAATATCGATACATATTATTATAAAAACTGAGTAGCAACAATTATTTCTAAATGCAATCAAAAACGGTAGTAACATTCTTAATATTATTTTAGTTTCTAAATTAATTACTTAAATCAATAAGCCTTTTCACATCAATTAAAAATAATTATTACGATGAATATTACTGCTTATATAATTAATTAATTAGCATGAGATATTAGTGTATTTATTATATGAAATTTATTATTTATATTTTAATATAAAATGACAAGTTATTATATTGTATATAATAAATATAATTTGGTGTTTGTTATTTATTTTTGTTAAATTATTTTGTCAAGGCTATTATAAAAAATAAAGACAAATGAATTTTCATTCAAAAATTTATTTTATACATAACTTTGTAGAATTCAATTGAATTTCTTATTTTAAATTTAAAAATTTCATAATTTTAAATTTTCCTTATCGAATTTCTTATTTTTGTTAATTGATATATAAACTTGCTACACTTTATTACTTCTCTTATTGCTTAATGAATTATTAATAGGTTTAATTTATTTCGAAAAGACCTTGATGTTACTATTTTTTTTCTGCTAATATTACTGCTATATATAAAATAAAAGTGGTCATTTCTTTTTTTTCTTCTTATTATATATCTTGTAATTATATTTTTTTAGATTTTCTAGTATTTTTTTAAAGAGTATGAAGTTGCTATTATATACGACTATGATTATACATTGAATCCGAATGAGTTTTTAATTTTAAATACCTTTTAATCTATTAATGAAAATAAAATTTAAACATTTGTAAGGATTTAAAATATGGAATTTTAAAATTTAAGTAATCATTAATTAATTAGTTAATTAATTAGAGTGTATTTATCTATATTAATATTTTTATTAAATTATTATGTCAAAGGTATTTTATAAAATAAAGACAAATAAATTTTCACTTAAAAATTATTCTAAACATAATTGTATAAAATTCAATTGAATTTTTTATTTTAAATTATAGCATACCAAACACGACAAATTCATTTGAACAACTATATACGCAATTTATTTAGTTGCTACATGATTATTATAAAACCTACGAATTTAATGTGAATGTAGTTTTATATACAATATCAATTTAAAAACTTAAACGTTTAATAAAATTCTAAAAATTTTATAAGCAATGCGGTACTCCATAGTTCAAATAAAAAATTATGCACATTAATTTTCATTATTAAATCAATATTTAAAGGAATAAAACTTAATTTACCCACTAAATTTGAGAGGAATATTCAATTTGTCTAAAAATCATCTTTTTTTTTACAATTTACTTTGTGAACTCATAACAAAAGTACAAAAGCCTAATTTTTTACTCAAAAATAAATAAATATTTAGTTTAAATTAAAATATAATTAAAAAATAATTAAATATTTTATTAAATCAAATATTATTGAAAAATAAAATAAAATAAAAATAAATATATTTAAAACAAATATTCATATAATCAAATATTTTTCTAATTCTATAATGTTTTAAATCAAATATTTTGTTTAGTTATTTTTTAAATCAAAGACAATATAATATAAATTTTTTATACTTATTATTGTGTTCATAAATAATTTTTCATTCCTTTTAAAAATTTTTTAAATAATTTATATTAGTTAAAAATCTTCAAAGTTATTTTTTATGAAAAATTAAAATTTTTTATTTTATTTTAGTTCAAGTTCAAGAAGTAAAATACACAAAAAAATATTAATTTTTAAGGCAAATTGAATATTGCTTGCCGGATAAATTAAGCTCTTATTTCAAGTTAAAATAATATTTATAGTGCAGGAAAGTTAGAATGTGCATCACGTCTCTACCAGCCCCCATCATGTGCATCGCGTCTCTACCAGCTAGCCCCCATTTAGTGAGTGAGGCAAAAGTACCTAAGCAAACAAAATGAGGCAATATTATATTACAGCTTTTTCTGCGCCTATCAATCTATGTCTCTTCTTGCGAATCTTGAACTTGTGTTGTCGGATCCGATAACCTTTGATCTTCGTCACTGGTGACGTGCAATAGGTAGTATTTTACGAATTGAATTCAACTTAGCAGTGCGTAACTTTCTCTTTTAAATCAGTAAAATTTTTTTTCACACGATACTGAATAGTCATCAAAATGGAGAAGGAAGAAAGACCCTTCAAAGTTCATGTTCTTGTAGTTCCATACCCTTTACAGGGACACCTAAACCCCATGTTGCAATTCTCTAAACGCTTAGTCTCAAAAGGAGTCAAAGCTACATTACCAAACACCATAGCCATAAACAAATCCATGCATGCAGACCCAAATAGCCCAGTGGACATTGAAACAATTTCTGATGGTTTCGATGAAGGTGGCTTTGCACAAGCAGAAAGCACAGAAATTTACTTATCAAGATTACAAGAAGTGGGTTCGAAAACATTAGCGGATTTAATCAACAGGCTTAAAGATTTGGGTCGTCCAGTGACTGCAGTAATTTATGATGGTTTCATGCCATGGGCACTTGATGTAGCCAAGCAATTTGGATTAACAGGAGTGACGTTTTTCAACCAGTCTTGTTCTGTTAATAACATTTATTACCATGTGCAAAGAGGTCTTCTTCGTTTGCCGTTATCAGAACCAACTGTTTCTCTTCCCGGATTGCCTCTGCTTCATGCTTCAGAGACGCCATCTTTTGTATCCGATTCAGTATCTTATCCTGGTTTCCACCATTTGGTAATGAACCAATTCTGCAACATTGACGAAGCAGATTGGGTTCTTTTTAATTCCTTTTACAAATTGGAGGAAGAGGTATGTTAGTCCAAATTTTAACTTTTTGGCTAATAATCATCAAAAAATTTCTCTTTTTTTTTTTTTTTTTTTTTTTTTTTTTTTTTAATTTTTGTGGCTATAATCATCAAAAAATTTTCTCTTTTTTTTTTTTTTTTTTTTTTTTTTTTTTTTTAGAATTTGGAGTGGTCAAAACTTTTTAGAACTTATTTATAATCTTGGTAGTATATGCGTTTGATTAGATTAGTGGTTTTGGATGTGCCCAAAAGGTGGGCGTTTACGGCTATTTTTTTTTTTTTTTTTTTTTTTTTTTTTTTTAGATTTGAGTGGTCAAAACTTTTAACTTATTTATTATCTTGTGTATATGCGTTTGATTAGATAGTGGTTTGGATGGCCAAAAGGTGGCGTTTACGGACTATAGGACCAACCCTTCCATCGATGTACTTAGACAAGAGAATTGAAGATGACAAAGATTACGGCATTAGTACTTTTAAGCCCGATGAAACCAACTGTATAAAATGGCTGCAAGACAAGCCTAGTGCTTCAGTAGTGTATGTAGCCTTTGGAAGCGTGGCCCGACTTGGAGCAGAACAAATGGAGGAACTTGCTTGGGGATTAAAGGCAAGTAATTACTACTTCTTATGGGTTGTAAGGGCAGCCGAGCAGGCTAAGCTGCCTAAAAATTTCAAAGAAGATACATCAGACAAGTCTTTAGTGGTCATTTGGAGCCCACAATTAGAGGTGCTAGCAAATGAATCAACTGGGTGCTTTGTTACCCATTGTGGGTTCAATTCAGTTCTTGAAGCTTTGAGCTTCGGAGTTCCAATGGTGGCTATGCCTCAATGGACTGACCAACCCACTAATGCTAAGTATGTTGAGGATGTTTGGAAGATGGGGATTAGAGCTATGGCTGATGAGAAAGGTGTTGTTAGAAGACAAGCAATAGAGCATTGCTTAAGACAAGTAATGGAAGGAGAGAAAGGAAAAGAAATTAAGGAGAATGCAATTAAGTGGAAGAATTTAGCTAAAGAAGCAATTAGTGAAGGTGGTAATTCTGATACTAATATTGATGAATTTGTAGCCAAATTAACTGGCTCTTAATTTTTATGCAGTTGTAATCTTGAATTTATGTTTCTATTAGAATGATTAACAAATCCTCAATCCAATTCTCAGAAATTTCTCGAACCAACAACAATTTTATGTTGTCAATCCTTCTTAATTAGTTATAATTTATCTAAATAATGTCATTTTAAGTTTGATATTAATTATCGAATGAAGCTAATAGAATCGAAAAATTTAAGGGAAATGCGATAAGATTATTCGGTCCATATGAGAACTCCTATCATATTCATATAATACTTGAGCTTGAGTGATTTGTTCTCTCTCTAATTATAGTTTTGAAACTATAGTCGTAACCATATATTTGAACCGAGAAATTATTGAAACGAGCTCAGAACCAATAGGGGCCTTAAATTGATTTCAAATTGCTAAATCAATTTATGTTTCAGGTCCTAATTTTGTAGAATTACAAACTAATGAAGATACATAAATCTCAATTAAAATATTCTACGAAAAAAATATAAAGTATAATTACGGTTCGCGACAATCATAATCAGTGTGTTTGTTTGGATCTCTAAACAGAATAATTAGCAAGAAAATACACAAAACTTTCATGACCAAATTTGGAGGTTGGATAACAGTTCCAACAAGGTAAGTTTGGAGACAGAGCCAAAAGACTCTCATTTTTCTTTGCTTCAAATACTTATCTATTCCTTCTTCTACCTTCTCTTTCACAATTGCTTTATTTTGTATTTTCTCTGCTAAGCATCTTGCAAGAATCACTGCATCTTCTAAAGAAGCTGAGCCTCCTTGTGCCAGAAATGGACCCATTGCGTGCATGGCATCTCCTCCTACTGTTACCGTTCCTTTTCTAAAATTTGTTGTTAACACATCCCATGGTGCTCTATATCTCAACCCCGTCAAATGTAAAGATTCATGTTCGCTTTTGTTTATCATCTCTATTGCTTGCTCAGGGAAATCTTTGAGTATATCCATTGTTGATTCTTTAATTAGAATTTTATCTCTTGAAATCTTTGAATCTGTTACGAAAAGGATGTTGCTTTAAAAACCAGATCATGAAAATTGTAAAAAAATATCAGTTAAGAAAAGGGATTGAGTGTAGAATTACCTTCAGAAGTCGATTTTCGAGTGAGGAACCAATAAATTAAATTATCATTAACAGGCACTTGTCCAAGCTGAACATTGCGATCGCTCAGAAGAAGGAACTGATTAGCATAATCGTGGCCATTCTCATAATGAGAGAAGCCTCTAACAACACATGTAGGGGAAAACGCTATAGAATTTAGGCCTAAAATTCTTGCAATCACAGAGTTGAGGCCATCACATCCTATAACAATCTTGGCCTCGATTACACTTCCATTAACAAGACAAAGAACAGGATATGAAGTTATTGGATCCATTTCTATGGACTTCACTTGGGTACTAAACTGTATCGTGTCTGCTGGCAAATTATCCGCTAAAGCTTTAAGAAGGTCATTTCTTTTCAAGCATCGTCTTTCTCCACTCCTAAATTATGAAGTTACCAATCATCATCATTCTTATCATAATATCATGTACCATAACAAATTGAAAGATTAACTCATTACCCAAGTGAAATTTCTTTCGGCTTTTTGTCATGAATTGATATCTGACGGCAACTGCAGGCGTAATTAATTGAAAATTAGTTAATATAACTCGAAAAAAAAAAGGAAAGAAAAGAAGAGGAGAAAAATAGTGAAATTTGCTATAATTAGTTAATCTCACGATTGAATAAAGGCAGCAGTCTGCCTAAGCACTGAAGCAACACCAAGCTCATCAAGTGCTCGCCAACCATTTGCCTGCATTATGATTCCTACTCCTGTGGCTCTCAATGTCTCTGATTTTTCAAGGACTATGCTTCTAATACCTTTCCTGCAAAGTAATTTAAAACCCAATTTGTAACTTGCATTAATCTAATTAACATGGTTATTATTATTTCTTTTACAGATTATTTCCCTGAAAAATGGTTTTCTTGGGTACAACAACCAAATTGACATCTCCGGAAGACGAGAGTAGAATGGGATTTGAGCCACGAAAAGAGCCCTTCTGCAAAATGCAGAGAAGGCGATGTACATCAACCCTTCCAAAAGCCTACTAATGTGGGATGTTTCGCATAGTGAGTCTCTCTGTATAATTTAAATACAGAAGAAAAAATGAAAGAAAGGAAAATAGCAAACCTATGAAGGGCAAGAGCTGTAGCAAGACCACATATTCCACCTCCAACAATTACAATATCTTCTTCTCGTATTTGCTCCATTTTCTTCCTTCTTTCTTTTTTCTTTCTCTCCTGCTTCGTTTTGTTCTTAGAATATTAAGCTCATAAAGCTCATGTTTTTTACGAAAAATAGCAGTCAAAAGTATTTTTCATGGCAAGCTATTCTGGATTCATATGAATGAGGAAAAATTTAAATGCTTCCAATTAATTTGGCGCAGATACGGCAACTTTCAGTTTGACCAAATCATTATCCAATCATTTCTTTACAATAGCTTGTTTAAAAGATATTTTGAGAAATTACATTAAGATTTGTTCAAAACCAACTGAATTAAGTCCAAAAATAATAAAACCGCAGTTAAAAATGGGAGGGAGGACTTGTTCAACATTCCAATTCACCTACACTAGGTTTGATTTCTTGAAATCTCTGAATCTCTTATGAAAGATTGTTGAATTTAAGAGTACATCAATGGGAATTAACTATATATAGTTAACCTTATCACCTAATTTCGACTATATACATTTAATTTCCATTATTACAAATGATGGGCAGGAGGTTAGAGCCCATGAAGTGAAAATGTATGATGAGAGCTTACTTGGATTTAGGCTAACCAATGTTAAAAGGTTAGTACTAACCAATTAGCTAACTAGCTTGCCACCCTTATATGCTCTTTGTAGATTTTGTATTTAGGCGATGCGGAATTTTAACATCCATGATAAAATTTAAGAAACTTTTTATAAAGATTCAGAGATTTCAAGAGATCAAATTTAACGTCAAATACGGTTTTTGTTTAGTTGATTAAAAGCTAAACATCATAAGGTTAACCTTATACAATTTCAATCCCTTTTTCTTAATTGAATCTTTTACAATTTTCATGATCTAGTTTTTAAAGCACTTCACTTAATGCATTAGGTGATCGCATGGATTATATAATTGAGTCATGCACTTCGCATTTGGCCTCTTCTTAACGTTTACGGAACTATGAAGGGATCAAAGTTCGATTAAAATTGAAAACTTGAACTGAATCGACAAAGTTCTGTTTAAGAAAAAAAAAAAAAAGAAAATTCGGTTTTCAAAATATTGTAATATTAGATAATATTGAGATTGTCGTAATGATAAAATTTTAAAATTTATGGGGCCTATAAAAATTCATAATTCTGTCACCATAAACTGATGACTCGCACAATCTATGTATGTATAAAGGAAATAAAATTTATACACATAAGCATGTATTTAAACAACCAATGGCTTGAGACAATTGATATCTATTAGTTCCGGTGCAAACCATGAACAATTGACTTAAATGGATTATGATTCCTAAATGAGAATTAACCTAAATTATCTAAATTCCTCTCTCGAATTTAAATGGAATATTAAAATCACATGACATATGTGGGGCATCAGCTCTGATACCACTTGTTGGGCCTCAGGTATCACTTGCTTCGGCTCTGATACCACTTGTTTGGCCCTTTCAATCAATTAAGAGAAAATTAACGCAGCAGAAAAATAGAAATGGGACACACAGAAATTTACGTGGTTGTTTGGCCCTTGTCAATCAATTAAGAGAAAATTAAACCCGCAGCAGAAAGATAGAAAATGGGTACACAAACACAAGAAATATCTTGTACGTGGTTCACCCTCACTGTTTTAGTGGCTGGTTCACCCTCAACTGTTTAGGGCTACGTCCACGGGACAAACTTCTAATGATTCTTCCACTATTAAAAATAGTAGGTACACAGAGAGTAATACAAAAACAGTAGCACTCAAAGTGTTTTTCAAAAACACCCCATAATAATTTCCTCACTATTTTCCCTCCCCTAGTTTTAGAAAACCCTTCCTAAAACTAGATAACTCTCTCTACATTTTTTTTTCTGCTGTGTGTTGTGTGCTTTGCTTGAGGTTTCGCTACCTCTATTTATAGGAGAGATTAGTGAATGAGCCGTGTATAACTCATTCACAGCTCTCCATTTTGTCAACAATTGCCTATAATTGTTGATTTTCCTTTTTCTTTTCTTTCTTTCTTCATTCAAAGAACATGTTTTCCCTTCTTTTTTTTTTTCTTTTTCAAAAGTGTTGTAGCCCACAATTGTGGGGGACCCAGCCATTCTCCACCTCGGGTCGACGACATGGTGGGACTCCATTCCTGCTGGTGTTTGACACAGCGACCTCAGACTTCTTTTTTGCCTCAGTTTGTTGACAGAGCAACACACTTCTGTAATCTTGACTGCCACGCACAACAGCTCCCCCTGCACACATATGATTGGATATCCTGAAAATGCCATTTCACTGCAAGTCCAATGTCTTTCTAGATTTGGAAAGAAACCGACTCACCTACTCTCAACTGAATAAGCAGTATCTTGGCCGTGTAAATATGGCATTCATCACACGTTTTCAACTGCTGAAGGCATATGGATCTTTTCCATTTCTTCCTGATTGCCTTCAGCGCCATAGAGAGGGGGCACGGGTGTTATTAACAACTCGACTTGTAAAGTGAATATAAGTAAGGTGAGGGACGACTAAAGTGATTAGTAAGAGGACAACTAACCGCTTTAGCGTTTTCCATTCTAAACCTTTGAAGTACTTTCTCAATGTACTTCTCCTGTGACAACCATAATTTTTTGGCTCTTTGATTCCTTGTAATCTTCATGCCAAGAATCTGCTTTGCTGGTCCCAAGTCTTTCATAGCAAAAGACTTATTTAGCTATTTCTTCAAGCTATTAATTCTGACCAACAGTCACCATATTAACCACAACGAGCAAAAACAATGTAGTCAACATCAGAGAATTTCTTCATAGAAATATAGTGATATGAAGTAGTCTTTCTGTAGCCTTGCTCCCCCATAACAGACTCAAACTTCTTGTACCACTGTCTAAGTGCCTGCTTCAAGTCGTAAAAGCTCTTCCTCAGTTTGCAAAACAGGCTCTTTTTCAGTTTGCAAACACAATTTTCTTTTTCTATGAAACCCTCTAGTTGCTTCATGTATATTTCTTCCTCCAAATCTCCATGTAGGAAGGTAGTCTTTCCATCCATTTGCGCGATTTTCAGATCAAAACTGGCAGCCGTTCCGAGCATTGTTCAAATGGATGTCATTTTCACAACTGGTGAAAAAGATCAAAATCAATACCCCTTTCTTTGATTGAATCTTTTCACAACCAGTCTAGCTTTGAATCGTGGTTGGGAGCTGTGTTCTTCCTGCTTGATCCTGAACACCCACTTGTTCTTCTTGCCTTTGGGCAACTTCACCAGCTCAAATGTTTCTTGCCTTTGGGCAACTATCACCACCAGTGCTCTAAAATGTTTCATCCTCATGCAAAGGACTTCATTTCCATCTTGCATGGCTTCAAAATCCACAGTTCCTCGTTGTGTTAATTCTCCATAAGTTTCTTACACAGCTTTCAAGGTTCTCCCGTCAGTCGTTAGTACATAACTATTGAAACTGTTGATTATCTAGTAAGAATGGTTGTCAGACCTCTAACTAGATCTTATCTTAAGGTGTTTAAAGAAACCTTCCGGTGCCTGGGTTGGTTGAACATGAAACACAATAAATACTTCATTTCGCGTTCATATATGATTAGGTAGCCTTATAGGATTTTTAACTCTAGCACTTGTTCCTTATGGAAACATTTTCTTCATCTTCCAATTTGTTTGCGTTCTAATTGGAGGGACTCGAGGGACTCTCTGTATGTCTGTTGAGTCTTCATCAGATCTATTGGCACTCTACTTCAATAACTTCAATAGTCTGATCTTCAACAAATACAGCATCGCGATTTCTTATAATCGTCTTCTGGATTGGGTAATAAAACTTATAGCCACATTGGTCTTGGCCACAGCCAATGAATACACACCGTCTAGTCTTGACATCAAGCTTAGACGGTTCATCCTTTGGGATATGCACGAAGGCTTTGCAACCAAACACTCGCAAATGATCATAGGAAACATCCTTTCCTAACCATACTCTCTCTGGAGTATACTCTCTCTGGAAGTATCATACTTAGTAAGAGGGAAATACGAGTGGAACGGAGAACTGCTGGTGAGTAACGTTTTCACCCCAAATCTTTTAGACCAACTTTGCAGTGTGAGAGTAAACATCTCGAACATCTGACTCTCTCCATCAAAGTTCTGTTCATCCTTTCAGCGAAACCGTTCAGTTGCGGCGTCTTGGGAGGTGTTGTTTGATGTCGAATGTCATGCTTTTTACAGAAAGCATTAAATGGCCCAGTGTATTCTCCACCATTATCTATCCTGATAAACTTCAGCTTCTTGCCTGTTTGTCTCTCAACCAGGTTTAGAAGACTTCAATGCGTATACCCAGGTCTTCCTAGAATGGTCATCGATAGATAAATGTCACAAAATATCGATTTCCACCGTATGACATCGTCAATGGTCCACACAAATCTGAATGAATCAAATCTAATACATTCTTCATTCTAGAAGGAGGGTAATCTTGAACGCTACTCTGTTTTGCTTTCCCTCCATACAATCAGGACACTTGTCTAGGTGAACTAGGTGAACTTCATCCAATCCAGGTAGTAGATTCTTTTTTGCCAGAGTTTTCTTATTCATGTGGCGTAGTCGTTTATGCCACAATTCAACTGTACTGTCATTCTCCGCTACACTCAAAGTGTCTTGGGAGAGTTTCGCAGGCATCACGTACAACTTTCGGTCTTTAGCTACCACAAATGAACCTTTGTGAGCTTCCACTGACCATTTCTGAAGGTGCCATTTCTGAAGGTGCTACAGAAATCTTCATTATCAAATCTACCAACCAAGATTTGGACGCATGTTCGAAAGCCCATTCCTCATCAGTCTTGTCTTTCGGTTTAGTTGAACTAAATACAGGCAAATGCATTTTGATTACCATAAGGAGATCTCTCATTTCTCCATCTATGGTAATTCCCGCCATTTAGACTGATCATTTTGCTTGTCCATTTTGACTTGCGTGGAAAATCATCACCAACATAATCCGTATACATGAACAGTAGTATACGTGAATAATGATCATGAATAGTAATAGTATACTCAAATAGTAACTGTATGCATGAATAGTAACTGTACACGTGAATAGTACTATGCGTGAATAGTGCTGAGCTTACTTGAAACAGACTTGTTCACCATCAACTTTGAGTTACTATTTTACTATTTATCACTAAGTCGATTCTGCAACGTCTTTCCGAAAGGACAGCACCAATGGACTCGTCGTAATTTTCTCTTCGTCTTGGTATATTTATTTTCAAAATATATCCATGGATCCGGTACTGCTATCTGACCGACTGGATCTACTGAAACCTTCGGCTCTGATACCACTTGTTATACCACTTGTTAGGGCCTTAGGTACCACCTTTACTCAGCTCTGGATACCCGACTTGTGGGCCTCAAGGTAACCAAACTTTTCTCAGCTCTGATACCCACTTTGTTTGGCCCTTTCAAATCAAATTAAGACTTGGTATATTTATTTTCAAAATATATCCATGGATCCGGTACTGCTATCTGACCGACTGGATCTACTGAAACCTTCGGCTCTGATACCACTTGTTAGGCCTTAGGTACCACTTTACTCAGCTCTGATACCACTTGTTGGGCCTCAGGTACCACTTTTCTCAGCTCTGATACCACTTGTTTGGCCCTTTCAATCAATTAAGAGAAAATTAATGCAGCGGAAAAATAGAAATGAGACACACAGAAATTTAAGTGATTCACCCTCAACTGTTTAGGGCTACGTCCACGGGACAAACTCCGAATAATTCATCCACTATTAAAAATAGTAGGTACACAGAGAGTAATACAAAAATAGTGGCATTCAAAGTGTTTTCCAAAAACACCCCACAATAATTTCCTCACTATTTTTCCCTTCTCTAGTTTTACGAAACCCTTCCTAAAACTAGATAACTCTCTCTACATTTTTTTTTTACTGTATGTTGTGTGCTTTGCTTGAGGCTTTGCTACTTCTATTTATAGGAGAAGTTAGTGAATTAGCCGTGTATAACTCATTCACGGCTCTCCATTTTGTCAACAATTGTCTGATTTTCCTTTTTCTTTTATTTCTTTCTTCAAAGCACACGTTGTTTTTCTTTTTTTTCTTTTTCAAAAGTGTGTGGGTCCCACATGTCGGAGGGACCCATAACAACATCTACTTGTAGCATAACGTGATTAAAACTCATTAAGTCGGTTTTAATTTTTTTAACCTCAAAGAACTTAACTTATCTTTAGGTCTAAAATTCTAAACTTAATATGTGAGATCCAATCTAAGTTGTCAGTTTATCTATTATACTAGTCGATTTAAAATCATGCAAAAATGAATACCAACATATTCACAAGCATTAACCTCAAATATATTAAATCAAAAATATTAGGCATTTAAATATAAATCAAGCTATTCATGGTTGCATTATAAACTAATAGAGACATTCCATATCTAGATTTAGAAGTTACCATGCTTAATTGCAAATTTGCAATTAACTTAAATAACTCAAAAAGAATAAATGGCATAGTAAAACAAATTTTGAGATTTTCTTGCTATTTTCTCTACTGTGTTGCACGTCCAAGCTGCAAATGTCCAGGTTCATTGATTCACTTGGGCTTCTTCTATTCTTTGGGCTTCTATGTAATTTTTAGAACAATCTATTGTGCCATAATTTGCCTAAAACACAAAGAGATTAAGGTTGCTCAAAGGTTTGATCAACAAATTGAGGAGAAAATAAAATAAATGGTAAATTACATTCATTTTTGGTTACTCTCTTCGGAAGTCAGATTATTGGATTAGCAGTTCAATTGTTGAGTTTTTATTTCATGAAAATTAACAAAATTTAATTAATTAATGTTAGAATAATTTTTAGAGTTATAAGATTATAAATTTTTAAAAACTTGAAAGATTATGTGAGATTATGAGTTTAATTTTTAATCCAAGTTCAATTAACTTCTATTTTATAATTCAAGAAAACTAATAATTCAACAACGTCAGCTCTGCCCTTTAAAAAAATTCCTGACGTAATAAAAGCACAATACAGAATTACGTTTCACTTCTTTATTTCTTTTCATTACACGACCTTGTCGCTGGTCTTTGTTGACCTCTGTGGAAAGCTGATCTCTTTAGCTATTTGAGACCAGTTTTTCTCCGACAATCATTGCGTGCCTTGGAATCCAGTTGCGTGCTTTAGCACATCACGAAGTGCAAAAATAGGTGAAATGCAAAGATAAAAAGCTAAAGAAATGAGATAAGTGGTTATGAAATTATTATACAAAATCGATTCTTTTAATTTTTTTCAGTTGCTTGATTCTGATTAATTGCAGTAAAAAAGAGTGAAATTAGACCATTAAAAAATTAATTTAAGATTATACTGTAAATGGAAAATTGGAGACCGAGGATGAGTTGTCATGAAGAAAATGAATGCTATAAGTTTCAGTAGGTTATTTTGAAACTTATCATTCCACTCAACCAAACTCTAGATTAGCTAATCGGATTTCATATTGATTATTTTTTATTCAATAAATTTATTCAATTTTAAATTAAACTATAATTGTATTTGAGAGTTAGAATTGAAGTATTTAGAAATTAAGTTCATTTTAGAGTATAATTACGTAAAGTTCAAAAGTATTTCAAATGGTTTCTACTAAATATGGAAAACTAAATGAACAGCGGAGAAAGCACCGCACCTCCAAGAAATGGAAGGAAAAAACACTTATGAAAAATTAAATTTTTTTGGTCCTTCAATATATAAAAAGTATATATATTTTACTCTCAAAGAATAAAAATTGCATTTCGCCTCCAAACTTTATTTTATATTGGGCCCTGTCCTTCAAGTAGATTGAGCATAAAAATTAGAGATGAACAATGAGAAAGTGCAGAGATGAGGTAAGCTAAATAAGGCATTCCTGTAAGAGAAGTACAATAAAATGACAGAAGTAAACTACTGTTGTTCTGCCAAATTCTGTTCAGACTTGGCAGACACCTTAACAGCCTTTTTCCAAGTTACTTTGATCGGGGTGGCCATTTCACGGTTTTTGGAAAGATGAGAACTCTTCTAATTCACATGCATGATTTGTTAGAACAAGATTGGACTAATTTAGCCACAAATTCATCAATATTTTTATAAGAAGTCCCACCTTCATTGACTGCCTCCCTTGCCAATTCCTTCCATTTGCTAGCATTTCTTTTCAATTCTTTCCCTTTCTCTCCCTCCAATAATTCCAAAATGCAATACTCTATTTCTTTCCCTCTTGTAATCCCTTTCTCATCAACTTTAACTTTAATTCCCATTTTCCAAACATCTCTTATGTACTTAGCATTAGTACTTTGGTCTGTCCTTTGAGGCATTGCCACCATTGGGACTCCTAAACTTAATGCCTCCAAACTTGAATTCCACCCACAATGTGTAACAAAACATCCAATTGCTTCATGTGATAAGACCTCTAGTTGTGGACACCAATTTACCACTATACCCTTTTCTGAATTTTCTTCTATAAACTTTTTTGGGAGTTTAGCCTCTTCATTTTCCCTTACTACCCATAAAAAATAGCTTTTGCTACCCTTTAATCCACAGGAAAGCTCTTCCATTTGCTCTATTTTGAGATCTACAAGGCTACCAAATGATACATATGCAACTGACCCTTTTGGTCTTTTACTAAGCCAATTCATGCAAGCTTCGTTATTTGGCTTAAATATGCTGATTCCATAGTCTTTGTCATTTTCAAGCTGCTTGTCTAAGTAAATTGAGGGTATACATGGTCCAATTGTTTTAAATGGCCAGATCTTGGCAAGCCAATCTACTACCTATAAACAAAAATCAAGTCTTAAAAAAAAAGAATATATATATATATATATATATAGATTTGACAAATTAAATTTTGTTAATGACAAAATTGATATTTTATTACAATTTAAGGGAAAAATTAATATAACCACAGTTTAATTCACCGTATCAAGAAAAAAGATTATTTAATTAATTTTTGAAAACATAAATCTTTATGTGTGAATTTCATTCAACCTTAAAGACTTAATTAACTGGAAAATTACTTTTATCTGTCGTACTATAAACTAATGTTAACATAAAAAAATTTTGAAGTTAAATGAAATTAATAGAGATATACAAATAATATTAAAATTAAATGCCATAATAGCATAGAAAATATGCAAACTAATTTAGTATTTTGTCACTGGCTAATAGCCTAGTAATCAAAGAAAATACTTATTTAAATCGAGTTTATATTCCTATCTATGGATAAAATTAATGAAAATAAGATTTTTTTAAAAAAATTATTTTTAGTTTATCTTTTTTTTTTCATGCTGAGAAATGTCCTCGTTTTAATAAAAATTTTATTTTCATTAGTTTAGTCCATGGATGAAGCCATAAAACCCTGTCTGGATAAGTAAACCCAATAATCAAATACTTATAACATAAAAGGTTGGAAAGCATCTCATTTTGATGCATCAAAACAGAGATGGATTGAATTAGTACTGTAATTAAGTTTAATTACCTCCTTTTCCAAGTCATAGAAAGTGTTGCAGAAAACCCAATCAGCTTTATCAATATTAGAGCACTGATCCACAAGCATGTCGAAAAAAGCAGGGTATGACCCAAAATCAGAAACAAAAGAAGGCAAATCTTGAAGTTGAAGTGGAGGCAAACCAGGAACCCTCAAAATTTCAGAATTTGAAACAGGAAGTTCAATAAGCTTCTTGTGGATATGATAATATATACTATCGACAGCACAAGATTGAGTAAAAAAAGCAGCACTAAACAGCTGAAACTTTTCAGCCACATCAAGACCCCAAGGCATAAACGCATCGTATATTATACAATCAACAGGACATTCTGACACTGAATTGTTCAGCCTCTGGACAAGATTTGTAAGGCTTTTTGGCCCAATATCCCAAAACATAGCCAAATAGGCTTCAATGTTCTCTCTCTGGCTTTGATCACAATCATCATAGACGTCCGAAATGGTTTCAAGTGCAATGGATGGTGATGATGATGAAGGTTTGTGAATGGTGTTGGAGAGGGATTTAGTAGTAACAAATGTGACTTTGAGACCTTTGTTTTGAAGGCGCTTAGAGAATTGGAGCATCGGGTTTATGTGGCCTTGGGCAGGGTAGGCTAAGACTAAACAATGTCCTGTGGAAGTTTTCGTTGCCTTCTCCATTTCTCTCTTTTCAGGTTTGAGTGTTCTAGCTCTTTCCTCGCATTTATATAGAAATCAAGTTCATCGTGTTTAATTTGTTTTTTTACGTGCAAAAATTTAAGAGGTTCACGGGAAACGTCTTGTAGTATGGATTCACTATTTTAGAAAAATTCTAAACCTACCTGCTACAGAAATAGCTTTATTAGCTCCAGCTGGACTCAAATAGCTAACTCCTTTATCTCTCTTTTCTATTGGCAAAGAAGATATTTTCAAGAGGATGAAAGGTTTGAGAGGAATTCTACCCTTGTGGGGGCGGGGCTGGCTGGCTAAGTTCAAAAGAGAATTATCTAACCTCTTTATTACTTTTTCTCCGTTATTATAAAGTGTTTCTTCATCAAATTAATTGTTTTAGTTGCTTATAAATATTTTAATAACTTTTCATAAAATGCAAATGTTGAAAGCTAAATTTTATATGAGTTAATTTTTTATAAAATATTATAATTAATATAAAAATTACTTAAAAAACTGTTACCGAATATATTCTTAGATATATCTAAAACTTTTTAGCTTGTGGCAACATAGAAAAAAATAATCCACTTGCAGGCTTAGCTCATACTTAATTAGAAATAGTTACCAATTTAAATATTATTAGACCTAAATATAAAACCTCCTTTTGAGGAAAAAAAAAAAAAAAAACTAATTCACCCTGCTTCTTGAAAGTCCTACTTTTACCAGAATAATTAGTTTCCATCAATGTCCCAAATGGGAAAAAAAAAAAAGCCACATTTATAACATTTATCTGATGCATGACTAAAATTTCATAGATATAGCATTTGGTGACATTTCAGCTAAATCATTGAAAAAAGGGTGGCTAAAATTGACATTATTGACCGCTCAATTATAAATCATGAAAAGGCCGGTGACGTTATAGCTGACATTTCGTAACTTCATTTTCTTTTTTCTTCCCTTCTGTTTTTGGGTTGGAAAAAGCTCAACCTTCTATGACTCTCTACTTCAATTAGTAAGGACAAAACATGCTGTCAAAATCTTAACCAATTAATGCGATTGGTGACAGCTGACCCATAATAATTGAAAATTTTATTGTTTTGATATATAAAAAAAAAATTGGTAACAAATGTTCATTTAGCACTTATTTTATAATAAAATTACTATTTTTTTTTTTTATTTTCAAAAATTAAGTGAGCAGTTTCTTTATTTTTGTGATATTTGTTTAATTATAAGTACAACCCAAATGTCTGTTATGGATTGCTTATTTCTATCTGGGAAATTATCGGAAATCTAAATATTTTGGTAAAAGGGTGAATTATAAATGTGCTTATTTCTATTCGGAACATTGTCGAAAATCTAAATATATTATGATAAAAGGAGCCAAGTACACAGTGTTTGTGTATTTATATATCTTGAGAATTTTAAAGAGTGGGTTCGGTTAAAAAAAAAAAAAGAAAAAATTTGACAATTCATTAAAAAGAATATATATAACGTGATTACATAACGATATTTTCAAAGAAATACACAATTTTCTGTTTGGAGATAATCTTAGAAGAAAAGATTAATACGTTCTGGCTAAAAATTGATAATTTTTTTTTAAACAGAATGATAGAAAAAAACTTTTTACAATATAGTCTTGAATTTTAATTTTTTATGAAACTTGCTATATCTATAACCCATGGAAAAGTTCAAAATACAACAGTACCAATCTCTATTAATAAAATATCATTATTCCAACCTAAAAAACTTATGTTTTCAACCAAAAGTAATCAACGGATCATATAGTACTCGAACTGTTAAAAAAAGAACAAATTATAAACACACACACATATATATATATATATAAACTCTTCAATGATGAGGAACAACTCAGTGAAATAAGAAAGAACACTCAAAAACCCTATTATGTGGGTTCAAAAGATACTCGAGATCTATTAATAATATTTGATATAAGAGATTAAATCAAAGATTCATTCCAAATGAATACATATTTAAAATCATTGAAAAAAATTTAAGATAAAAAAATTAAAAAAGATCAATAGCGAATCAAAAAACATGATTCGAAAAATGGTGGTCTGGTTGGTTTTCTTAATTATGTAAAGAGTGAGAGGTCTCAAGTTCAAATCCTCTCAATCACAGTTGTTTTCATCAATTTGGTGAACCAAGAAAAAGACTATCTCTGTTTTATAGTTAGCTGTATCATTTCAGCTCATAAAAAAAAAAACACAAATTATATTGCTTCTAACTATATAATTTGTTAAAACTAAGTTTATGTTGTACATAAGTGCAAATTATTACCTTAAACTATTAATAGCAATTTTACTCAAAAACTTGATAGGGAAATAAAGCAAATTTGGAAGTTCATCACTCAATCCGTTTTGAGAGGCAGCTGGCACGGATGAAGTCATTTCTACTCAAACCAACAACTCCGTTTCTTTATTAATTTCTTCTTGTTAGGAATGAAATTTTCTAATCATTATAACTACAAGAATATATAACATCTTTAAAAATAACAGATATTGACTTATTATATCCTCTTGATACATTACCTTTAATCAAGGGTCTCATCCACTGATACAATACCCTTTATTTGTCATTTATTACATTAAAAAATTCCAATTCCAATATATATATTACAAGTAATAAAAGTGATTTATTACATTCATTCTACAAACAAATTGCAATAATATAACATTTCAGACAACAAAAAAAAAAAGTGATATTAACCAGAAATATGAAAAATCAAACAATATCATTCAAAAACAAAAATTAAAAGGAAAAACAGAAGCATTCATCCCTCACTTTGACACTTCCATCTATTAATTTATCTTATAATTAACCATTCTTTCATCATTAATCAGTATAATAAACACTAAACACACAAATAATCAAAGCCACCATATTAAAACACTTCAATAAGACCCATCTCCAAAACCAAATCCTCCATTACTAGCACCATTACATTCAAAACCATCCATATTATAATTTTGATTACCCATCATCATCAACTCATTAACCCTAATACCAACATTTCCCTTCAACACCTTCAATGCACAAACATACTCTTCAAGCTCCTCTACACCCATATTATCAATAGGCTCATCCCACCAAAAACCTGCGTTCATATTTTCTCTCACTTTATTCCATTCTTCAATCTTCGCCAAACACTTCGTCTCCTCCTCTAACTCCTTCACTGCCTCCTCATACTCTTTATTCCATTTTGGAACATTAGGGTTTTTCATATTAACATCGTCAATATTTAAGGTCGTCGGCTCGTCTTCGTTAGACGCAAAAGTACCTTCATTTAGATAGCGATCCAGAACAACATCAACATTAGGATTGCCAAATGCGAATACCTTTTTGCCTGGCGAAAAGGCGATAAGCGCCACCTGAGCTCCGCAAAGGAGACTGAGTTCACTTGCTTTCTTGACTAAACCTGCACGGCGTTTCGAGAAGGTTACTTGCAAATTGCTTTTCCTTTCAATTGGTTTGATCTCTATCTTTTGTCGACCTTTTGTTCTCTTTTGGTTTGTCTTTGTGTTAACCATTGTGACTATAGATAGAGATAGAAACGTAAAGAAGAGAAACACTTCAACGTCAAGAGACCGCTATTGCTTTGCTTGCTGCTGTTACAATAATGGAATTGTTGCAATTTGCTGCATATTTATAGGGAGGCAACGACTAGAACCCTAATAGTAGAGATCCCGGCCATGCAGATAATATGTTGTAGTAATATTGTAATGGGCCGAATCAGAGGCCCAGTCAAACCAAGCCCAATTTATGCCAAGTAGACAAAATAGATTTTTTTTTTTTTTAAATTTTTACCATTCAAAAAGAGGAAAGTAAATATTTGAATTCATTGTAATTGGATATGTGAGATGTGGTGGTAGACGACTATGATTTAGGAGAAAATTGAGGAATTAAATCGGTACAGTGGTATGGAGCTAAGAAAGGTGATGAACAATTAAGGAAGATTTTGACTTGTATTTTAAAAAAAAAAATAATAATAAAAAAACAAAATTCATAAAATCTGCAAAGAATCCGATCCCATATTTCAAGTTTGAACATAAAGTTTACTTCCTTTTATTTAAAAAAGAAAATATTATTGTTAGGGCTGTGCATGACCAGTAATTTTCTTAGTCTTTTGCTGCAAAATGAGATATTTTAATTCATTTATTATAAAAAAAGTATATAATTCATTTTCATAAATATTTAGTTGAATTTCATATTTTTCCTAGTATAAGGTACTATATATATTTGTTTTTCTTTGATAGAATCAAGATATTTCAATTCTTTTTGAGCATGAAGCGTAAAATTTTTTTTTTATAATAATTATATCGTCTGAAAATCAAACTTGTACTCGTGAGCTTGCAATTTACTATATTTTAATGCACCAACATAAAATTGAATAATTCTCTATTAAAAAAAATACAAATATATTATAAATGCAGCACATACATTGAATAATATCTAAAACAGAGACATTGGCGTTATGTTTGGGCGGGACTATTTGTTTTCTAGTCAGTCAAAGATCCAAAACCACTGATAAACACATGTTTATATTTGAGTATAATAGAAGAAAATGCAGTGTTCTCCAACAAAATAAAACAAATATTATTTAAGGGTAAAAAAAACTATTTGTATTCAACTTGTCGATATTCGATGCTTGGATTTATTCATATACTTAATTAATCTTTAAAGAGTTTCTTTTAAAGAAATTAATATTATTTTTTTAGCTGTAAATAATTAAAAATACATCTATTGAAATGATTTTTTTTTTTTAATTGGTTTGAGCCGTTGGACCCATAATTTCATTATCGTCCAAGGTTGAAATATAATTCTTAAAGAAAAAAAAACAAAAGGATCATATTAGTATCTCATCTTCCAAGATTCTCCACCCGCTCCTTATCCTTTACCATATACAACTAGTGCGCTTCAGTGCATTATGTAAATAAATACAACCCAACCTGAACCAAAACGAAATCAAACACTTCAAGAAGTTTAAAATTTTATGTTGCAGAAACCAAAAATGGAGAATAAACCCTACAAAGCTCACTGTATAGTCTTACCCCATCCAGCCCAAGGTCACATAAACCCTATGTTTCAATTCTCTAAACGAATACAAAACAAAGGAGTTAGAGTAACTCTTGTTACTACTAAATTCGTTTCCAAAACTATCAAGCACAAACCATCATCAACATCATCCATTGTTCTGGAAACCATATCGGATGGCTACGATGAAGGAGGTATAGATCAAGCTGAAAGTGTAGAAGTCTACTTAGAATCTTTCAAGAAAGTGGGAACTAAAACACTCTGTGATCTTCTTGATAAGTTAAACGACAATGGCTTTCCAGTAAGTTGCATTGTTTATGATGCTTTCATGCCTTGGTGCCTTGAAGTTGCAAAGAAAAATGGGTTAGTTGGTGCTGTTTTTTTCACTCAATCTTGTGCTGTTGATATTATATACTATAATGTCTATAAAGGGTTAATTAAACCTCCTCTTGATCGAGAGACTCAAGTTCTGGCACCTGGTTTAACTCCACTTGAAGTTGAGGATCTTCCTTCTTTTGTTCATCATTTTGGATCTGACCCTGCTGTCTTTGACATGCTTGTGGATCAATTCTCCAATATTGATGAAGTTGATTGGGTTCTCTGCAACACATTCTATGAGTTGGAACAAGAGGTCAGTACTAGTTAAATTTGTTTTTTCTTTTACAGAAAAAAATTTGATTAATTAGGGTATTATAGTACCACTTTTGCCCCTTTTTCTCTTATCTAATAAACTAAGAAATTTATTTGCTGATAAAAAAAAAATTAAAGTAAAATTACGTGTTTGTCTGGTTAATAAAAAGAAATAAGAATATGTTATAATAGATAAATTTTTAATAGTGTGTGAGTGATTGATTTAGTTTTGTTCAGTAATAAATTATGGTGATTAAACTTGTTATCATTTTCTAGAATGGTAGTAAAATATTGATTTATTTTTATTAATATGTTATATTAATTTTAATGATTCATTCATGAACTATTGGCAAAGACCAGCTGGCCTGATGGGACTTACTAATTACCAGTCATCCAACAAATACTTTTCAAGACAATGAAGGGATCTTACTTAACAATCACCAAGTAACATAATTTACCCTTGATTTCTCTTCATTTTTCCTCTTCTCTGTTTCTTGTATTCCACCCCCTTCCCCTCTTTCCAAACACGTTAAAGAGACATTGAAAATAGTGTTTGATGATCAATAGGGTTGATATGAGCGAAACGTAATTTGATATTTTAAATAAAAAATATCAAGTATTTTATTTTTATGGATGAGAAAATTCTTACTAAGAGTACTCTCGTTTAAGAGTCTGATAAATACGAATAGAATTAAATTCAATCTAGTAGGTTATATGACTCGTTCAACAATAGGTATGAAACTAAATCTAAAAGAAGTCATAAAATTTAACCACATCAAAATTTCAATTGCTTGGTCAAGTTTTGAAAATTGAATAAATAGCAAGACACTTCTGAAATAAAATTAAAATTTCAGAACCAAATATTATATTAAATTAATACCTTCTTTTTACCATAATAAATAACAATAATAGTAATAAGTTTGGTAGCCATACATACAACTCATCCTATATATTGTTTCCACATCTTTGAATTTGAATTTGACATTGTACATATATAGGCTGCAGATTGGCTGGCAAAGCTATGGCCATTGAGGACAATAGGACCAACAATACCATCAATGTACTTAGACAAGCAACTCCAAGATGATAAAGACTATGGTTTCTACATCTACAAGCCAAATAATGAAGCTTGCAAGAATTGGCTAAATGGGAAGCCTAAAGGATCAGTAGTATATGTATCTTTTGGAAGCCTGGCCACTCTAGCCACTGAGCAAATAGAAGAGCTGTCTTGGGCTTTAAAGAGCATAACAATTAGTAATAATTATTATTTCTTGTGGGTAGTAAGAGAATCTGAACAAACTAAACTCCCAAGAAACTTCATACAAGAAATTTCAGAAAAGGGTAATTTAGTGGTAAAATGGAGTGCACAGCTAGATGTGTTGGCATGTGAAGCAATAGGTTGCTTTGTTACACATTGTGGTTGGAATTCTACTTTGGAAGCTTTGAGTTTGGGAGTTCCAATGGTGGCTATGCCTCAATGGACTGACCGAAGTACTAATGCTAAGTATATTATGGATGTTTGGAAAATGGGAATTAGAGCTCATGTTGATGAGAAAGGGATTGTTAGAGAAGATGCTATAAGGGATTGCATACAGAAAGTGATGGATGGGGAAAGAAGAGAATGTATAAAAGAAAATGTGGAGAAATGGAAGAAATTAGCCAAAGCAGCTGCAAATGGAGGTGGAAGTTCTGATAGGAATATAACTGAGTTTGTGGATAACTTGATTCAGTCCTAATTAATTACGCAGTATTTAATATTGCTCTTTTTTCCGGTAATTATAAATTTTGCATCTGAACTTTTAATATTTTATTTTTATTTTAGTGGCCGGAAAACATTTGCAATTAAGTATCTGAATTGAATAATTTTAGCAGAATTAAGTGTATTTTATCAAAATTTGTTACCTTGATTCTAGATTTAATATTGAAGATGACTCGATTAAGATACACTTGACAAAGAATTCTCAACAAATCAGATTAACTCTTAATAAACAATTAGGTACCAAATCAAAAGCTAAGATCTCAAAGCAAATTCTGAGAATTGCTTGATTAGCTAACCTTAAAGAAATGGCATTTTAGTTTCAACGTAACCAAATTGAAAGACAATGATTCTTAATATTTCAATTACTATATATTTCTTGGAATTAGTCGTAAACAATTCATGGTTTTTCATTTAGTGAATTAATCTGAAACCATTTCCTAAATTATATTTCTCTTAGATTTTAATTAGAAATATACAAATCAAAAAATATTATTCAAAAACAAAAATTAAAAGGAGAACATAAGCGCCACTTGAGCTCCACAAAGGAGGCTGAGTTCACTTGCTTTCTTGACCAGACCGACACGCCGTTTCGAGAAGGTTACTTGCAAATTGCTTTTCCTTTCGATGGGTTTCGTATTTTTGCCATGAAAGAAAGAGGGAAGTCAATCTTTGAATTCAATATTGTAATTGAATATGGGAGATGGGTTAAGGTAGCAGATGACTTTGATTTAGGAGAAAATCGAGCAATTAAGTTGGTATTACTGTATTAGTGTTATGGAACTAAGAAAGTTATGAATAATTAAGGAAAATATTGATTTGTATTTTTTGAATATAAAATGAAAGAAATAAAATGAATTCAAGAAAATTTTATCTGGACCGGATCTATACTCCACTCATGAAACAAACCAATAATTCTTATTGAAACGAGAGTATTTAACATTTTTTAAATAATCCTTCCTGTTATTGGTTTAATTCATATGCGTTTGCTATGAACCTAATATCGATAAGTAATTTCTGTGAATCCAACCCATATTTTGAAGATTCAAACATATCATGGTTTTACTTTTTTTTTTTTTTTTTTTTTTAAAAAAAAAATGGTTTTTTTTACTTTTTTTTTTTTTTTTTTTTTTTTTGAAAAAAAAAAACTAGTAGAGTTTAAGTAGGTTATTTCATCAATTGAATTAAAATTTAGTGGTGATGGAAGTATGTTACTTAGGAAAATTAATGTGTTAAATAATGTCTTCCAGTACTTTTTTTTTTTTTTTTTTTTTTTTGAAAAAAAAAACTAGTAGAGTTTAAGTAGGGTTATTTCATCATGAATTAAATTTAGTGGTGATGGAAGTATGGTTACTTAGGAACATTATGTAGTTAAATAATGTCTTCAGTACATTTGAAAAAAATTACCTAATCAAATAATCCATCATTACATCACATGTATTATTATTTCATTTGATTTTATGTAATTGTTATTATCTTTTTAGATTTCATATAATACCTATTAAATTTTAAGAGTTTTTATGAAATTGATATTGAAATTAGGCATATATTAGAAAAATAAATATATTTACGATTTTCTTTTTATTTGTATACGTATTTCCATTTTCATTGAATGTAATTAACCAAAATATCAGTGCTGTATGAAATTCAATTAATTGAAAAAGTTAGTGTTATAGAAAAATCAAATTCAATAGAACAAAGTTAAAATTCGAAAAATGAAAAACAAAAATAATTATTCCGTTGCCGGGAATCGAACCCGGGTCTTTCGGGTGAGAGCCGAATATCCTGACCAACTAGACTACAACGGATAGCTGGTAAGCTGTTATTTTACAATAACTTTGTGAGGAGATAAAACTCCATTTAAAGAGCTCACCTGCCACTAACCTATTAACTACCTAACCTACTTGCTCCTGTCCTTCCAACCAGGAAAAACTATTTTATTGGAATCTAAACCTTTCGTCTCCAGAAGCGAGTCTGATTCTTTCTGATTCCATATACAAACATAGAATTAAAAATTCCCAAAATATGGATTTCAATTCCCCGTCTCCCAGAACAATCCCTGTCGTCTCCACTTTTGCTAATCCCTTCGACAACAATTCCCCTCCAATCAACGACACCCCCAATTCTCCAACCCACCGCAAGCCCATAGCTTTATGGCCAGGAATGTACCATTCACCAGTCACCAATGCTCTTTGGGAAGCAAGGTCTAAGATCTTCGAAAGACTCCTTGACCCACCTATAGATGCACCTCCACAAAGTGAATTGCTCACCAAGACTCCCAAACAGAGCCGTACAAGCATTTTATACAATTTTTCTACTGATTATATACTTAGAGAGCAGTATAGAGATCCTTGGAATGAGGTCAGAATTGGGAAGTTGCTTGAAGACCTTGATGCTTTAGCTGGCACCATTTCTGTCAAGGTACCATATCTCCATTTTACTTTTGTGTCATTATTATTATTTTTCTTTTTTTTTGGACCCTCTAATCAATCATTGCATCTGGGTTTTGCTTCCAAGTTCATTATCCGAACTGGGTTTTATGGATTGTCGTCGAATGTTACTGCTTGCTACTGAATTTTTATTTGGTATTGCTAGTTAATTGTGAATGTTGTTTTTTAGTAGAATGATATATATAAGACTGAGACTCTTAATCAGCTTACCATTGAGATTGAAATTGCATTTTCAAAAATGCAGCTTTATCGATGTTTGTTTGGGAGTGTTATTTAGCTGTTTAAAGATTGGAACATGCGAAATTCACATTAACCTCTGAGTATGATTTTCAATATTTTGCTTCACTTATCAGCAGCTCAAACAATAATGCCGAATAGATTCTTAATAATTGTAGAGGAAGCAAATTTTTTGGATGAAATTGGTTTGATTTGATACTGAAATATAGTTGTGGAACAAAATGGGTATGCACCTGTGTTTCCTTTATTGATGATATATGTGTGTTGGTATGTTAGCATTGTTCTGATGATGATAGCACAACAAGGCCACTCTTGCTGGTCACTGCTTCTGTAAACAAGATTGTCCTGAAGAAGCCAATCAGTGTTGACATTGATCTCAAAATAGTTGGGTCTGTCATATGGGTTGGCCGGTCATCAATTGAAATTCAGCTGGAAATCATTCAGTCCACTAAAGGTATTTTAATAGCAATTATTTATGAATTTGGAGATTTATTTTGGTTAGTTATGAATTTCAGCAAGGAACTGTAGTGAGAAATTTTCCCTGATTGAGACTGTAATTGGGTTAAACAATAAACTTGATTCTCATATGTCATGGATTCATGCTTTCTAGTTGTTTATACTGTAAGAATGATATGAGTGCCTTAGAACATCGGTGTCAAAGAATTAGTTGAAATGAAAAGGGGCTAAGGAAAAGCCTACTACCATCTGCATTGCAAAGTACATGGGAGTTTCAGTTTCTTACTAAATTGTTTAATCATTGTTAACTTAGACATTGTTGATAATTCAATGCAGTATCTTTTTCAAAATCATCTGAATAAAGTCATTATAAAGTAAACTACAAGATTCTTTGCAGAGGGCTCTGATGCTTCAGACTCGGTAGCTCTGACAGCAAACTTCATATTTGTTGCTCGAGACTCTAAGACTGGCAAAGCAGCTCCAGTGAACTACCTATCAGCAGAAACTGAAAAAGAAAAGTCACTTTTTGAAGAAGCTGAAGCAAGGAATAAAATGAGGAAAAGGAAGAGAGTAGAAGAGAGAAAGGATTATGAGAATGGAGGGGTTAATAGACTTGAAGCGCTGTTGGCTGAGGGTCGAATATTTTGCGACATGCCAGCCTTAGCAGACAGAGATAGCATTCTTCTGAGGGATACCCGCCTTGAAAACTCTTTGATTTGCCAGCCGCAGCAAAGGAACATCCATGGTCGAATCTTTGGAGGGTTTTTGATGCACCGGGCATTTGAGTTGGCTTTCTCAACTGCTTATGCATTTGCTGGATTGGTCCCTTACTTTCTAGAAGTTGATCATGTTGATTTCTTAAGGCCAGTGAGTATCAGCATTTCTTTTTAAGTTTCCTCTCCACCAGTTGACTTGATTGTGATTTTGTCTAAAATGAAGTATATAATCTAATCTAAACTTTAATGACAATATTCATATATCACTAACTGGGAGTGGTTTCAGGTATCTGATGGCTACTTGATATCCCCATCTATTAAGTTTCCAATTCAACTGTAACATTTTGGGCTTTGAAATTTAAATTGCAGATAGTCATTCCAACTGTGAGCCATTTGCATGCCAGAGAGAGAGAGAGAGAGAGAGAGAGCAGGAGAGAGAGGCTTTAGAGTCTTTTCATTTATATTAATGGACTGCAGAAGCTGCATATATAAATGACAGCACCATACTATAGATGTAAGTTCACATGAAATACATACATGCTTTTTGAACAGGTGGATGTTGGAGATTTCCTGCGTTTGAAATCATGTGTTCTTTACACAGAACTCGAAAACCCTGAGCAGCCTTTGATTAACATTGAAGTCGTTGCTCATGTTACCAGGCCTGAGCTGAGATCAAGTGAGGTAAGCTCCTATGCTGCACTCTTTCAAAATGAAACTATATATTAGTTAATTGTCACTCGTAGAAAAGGATCCCCGTTTAGAACTGCTTATGATAATGATAATGTGGTTTAACTTTCAGACACTGTGACCATAAACCTGCATATTTACTGTCTACATAATTGCACTCTCGTTTGTGTTTACATTGAAACAGGTGTCAAATGAATTTTATTTCACTTTCACCGTACGTCCAGAAGCAAAAGCCATGAAGAATGGATTTAGGTTACGCAATGTGGTTCCAGCAACAGAGGAAGAAGCACGAAGAATCCTCGAACGAATGGATGCAGAGACCTTACGCTCAAGTTAAGAATATATTCCAGCTATTCAAGATAATGGATAGTAAAGAGACTGATATTTTAGTTACAAATTGGGATATTTAGAATAATGTTGTTATCAAAACAATGTAGCTTGCATGTCACAAGTGTATGAATTTTCCATATCAAAATCACTTCCAATTTTTTGTTAATTTGTACTTTCAGTTCTTTTATAGTGGAGAAATCAACTCCTACTGAATGAAAGCATAATCACATGAGAATTTCTCGACATAAAAAGATCATTAAGTGGAATACAATACAGATTATTCTATATAACAGGAAAATCCTATAGTCAAGAGCTTTACTTCTATAACTAAATAACATTCCTATAATCGAGGTCTTTGATAGGCTTACATGACATACACTTACCATTGTCTGCCCAATTCAGTATTCTGCCTTATTCTTCTCAAAGATCTCTTCTATATACTATCTGTAGAACAAAAGCAATCCCAAAACTTTATACAAATATTGGAGAAAAAAGAAAATAAATTACATGAATGTGGCGTGAAAACCCAGCAAAGCCAAACCACCAAACTTTGGCAGTTGTTAGCTAAATGCAACAAAAATTCAACCTGATATCAGCCACAAATTCTAAGGAGAGGCACTGTCATCATCATCAGAACTGTTCTGGTTCCTTGCATTTGGTCCAGCAAAACCCTGTGGCAGCGTTGGATTTACAGGAATTGGAAATTTATAAGCAGAACTAACTATTGTTCGCTCATTAATCATACCAACTTCTTTGCAAACCCGATCAAGAACATTAAGAAAATCCCTTACCACCATAAAGATTCTGAAAGGGTGAGCTTCTTCTTTTGCTGAATTCCCATGGAAGTACTCTGTGATCTCTTTTACTAAAGACAAAGCAACACTTTCATGAGCTTGAATCCTTATGATCTCCTCCTCAGCCACTCTCATGAATTTCTTCATTGCATCTGAAAATTTCTGGCTGGTTTCATCCAACCAAGTTGTTTCATTTAATCGCACAACCTCGTTGATATTCTCAATGCCTTTGGAAAGTTTTGAGACGTCACTGCTAAGCACATCAGAATCCATAGCAGCTGCTTTCTTCACATTGGAGAGCTCTGAGCTTAGACCAGAAACAACTTGCAGGCCAAGCTTCCTACACTTAGCATCTTCACTCGACATGGAGTTTGGAGTTTGGTTGGTACCTGAGAGACGAGCACCTTCAGTTCTTATAATTTCCTGTACAACAAAATGCAATAGAGTGGTCTTTCCATCTGCTCCCTTGACATCAACAAGCTTAAGAAGTGTGTCCAGCTTGAATGCATGGGCATCCCCACGGTTAGTCCCAACATTCATGCGGTTTCCTGTCTTGAGAACTGCCTCTAGAAGTTTCAAGAACATCCTACTACTTCTAAGTTCTTCACATGCTGCCTGTGAGAAGGCAAAACAAGTCAGCGCAAGTCTGATATCAGATCACTGACTCATAATATCTAATTTAGCACCCAAGTAGAAAGAGGCAAGAAGTCTTTATTTACCTCTAGAGTCTCAAAGCATCTTTTGAGATACTCAACCTCAGAATCAAAATTGGTTATGTAAAGCATTGCATTTACTCTCTGAAAAGCAAAAGGTACATCAAGCACAGCCTTGAGGAATTTCTCAGCATGACCAAGCTTGGTTGGTGAGTCGTCTTTATATTCCTTCAGTTTACGCTCTTCTTCTTTTGTAGGAGCCATCTTCAATAAACTTTCTAGAAGTTCAGTTCCAAGTGTATCAGTATTGCCTGCATACAAGTGGTACTTATTTTAATTGCATAGTTAATAATTCAAAAATAAATTTAGAATGTGGAACCACCCTGTCAATGATAGTTACATTTATGAATAAGGACCTTCTAAGGCTCCTAGGTCTTTCAGTTAGACTATGACTTCAGAAAGAATGAAAGACTCCTCTAAAGCCTCATTTATTCAATTGGGCCATGTAACCAACAAGTTATGCACCTTTAGGGCTTAGCTTTAGCTCATCCCAATATATTAATGGCAGCAAATTATGACATTGAAATCAGATACTGTTAAGCTGAATTATGACAACGAAAATAGGATAGGTCTGAAGTGAATTGGTGGACAATGTCCCATGTAATTAACATCAAAGCTACACTCCATGGCAAAAATATATTAATGTAGTGCAAAACCTAGATAAGCCCTAACAGAAGGATAATTCAGCTCAGCAAAAAAGTCCTAGACAAAATGTCATGTTCATTATCTGAAGGATTCCAATGTGTCCAAGCTACAGGATATGAGGTTATTTTCAGGCACACATGACATAAGAAAAATGCCAAATTACAGTTTCTAGATAGAATCCAACACATCAAATGAACTAACATACACTCATGTAGCACTAAAATATGTTGGCATCTAGACCTTATCTCTCAAAAGTAAATGAAATTAGTTACCTTCTAAAAGCGCTTCACAAACTTCCTCAATTGTCACATTGAGTGCCCTGAGCAAAATTGCTATGTTCTGTGCCTTTTTGGGATCAAGTACCCTATTCTCTTGGTTTGGTGAAGGAATAACAGGGCGTGGAGTTGTCTGGTTTGATTTTGGCTTTGCGGTGTTTACAACAAACAAAGATTCCATCATCTCCTCATTCAATCTGCAAAATCTCAATTTTATAAATATATGCAGGAGAAATAAGTATAATCAATAAAAGAAATGGACAAGAAAAGATATTTTTCAACTGGTAAAAAGAAAATAGAGAAAACACCAAAGTCAGAGTAGTATTACAGAAGGTTCAGTATCTTACTTAAAAGAGCTTGACCTCAGCTGATCCCAGACCATTTCACGGTCAGAGCTTGCTCTAACTTTATCCCAATGTAAAGGCTTTAATTTTGGCTTAGGAGTCTCATCCACATCCTCAATTGTTTCAGAATTTGGTGGCAATTCAAAAGGAGACACCATAGATGTGCTTTGTAACACAAAAGGCCTTGAAGGCGGTATAAGTATTGGTGTCTTGGAAATTGGCTGGCCCGTAGGTGTTAATGCAACTGCGGTGTCCCAGTGTTTTCGTTGTCGTGGCAGTGGTGGTGGGGTTTGCGACTGTCTTTGTTGTTGTTGCGGTGGTGGTGGTGGTGGTGGTGGTGGTGGTGGTGGTGTTGGGGGAGGAGGAGGCGCAACTGAAATAGGCTGGTCTAAGACACTGCTGATTCTTACATTTAGACCAAAAGTCATTAGAGGTGATGCATCAGGGCTTCTTTCCAAACCTCTATCTGGTGACGAAGAAGCTGAAGATACTGAAGAATAAGAAGAAAGACGCTTACTTTGATCAGAAACATTTGAAATTCTTGGATATGCAAGTGGGTTGTTGTTCAAACATCTTGCTGGTGAAGTAGAAGCTGATGACAGCAAAGGAGACCGCACATTTGGATCCAAATCATTTGGTGCTGTTTGAGATGGAGAAGGAAATGGAGATGGGGATTTTTCAAAAATTCTATCTGGCGATGTAGAAGCAGAAGACAGATATGGAGACTTCACATCTCGATCCAAAGCATTTGATATTATAGGTGTAGTCATTGGTATTTTTTCTAAACTAGTTCTATCAGGTGATGTAGAAACTGAGGGTAGTGAAGGGGACTTTCTATTTTGATCCAAAACATTGAAAACTCTTGCTGGGGACAGAGATGGAGACCTCACGCTTCGATCCGCATCATTCATCATTCGCGGAGACCCAATTGCACTTTTCTTCGAACTTTTGGTAGGCGATGATGAAGCTAAAGACAGTATTGGAGACAGTCCGTTTCGCTCCAAATTAAACGATATTCTTGGTGATTCATCTGGAGATGAAGCGGATGGAGATTCCGGCGGCATTATTGGTGGTGGAGGCGGAGAAGGTGCTGGGACAGCCTGAAAATTAGTAGATTCCGGTGATTTTGGTCGTGGGCTCGAACTTACCGGCGGAGATATACTAAGGGACTGAGACCTAGCAGGAGAACCAGAAGTAGAAGACAAGTACGAGCTGGAGCCAGAGCTCCTTCCGTCAAAATCCTCAGCGCCGACAGCGGTAAACACTCTTCTAGACCCTGATCCGGTTCCGGTCAAGCTCTCTCTACCTCCCAAAGACCCTCTCGGCGAGTAAAACTCCTCTTCTTCATCGGCAGTGGACCCAACTTCCCCATTCCCGTAATTCTGCCGCGAACTCTGCCTATTAAGTGGTGGCAATGGAAGTAACTCCGGTGAATCCAATTTCCGAGGATCGGACCCGGCATTACCATTTTCATCGCCATTAGAACCTTCATTAATGGAGTGTGAATTGACCAAAGTACCCAAATAGAGAAACTCAGAGCTAGTTGAAGTAGCTCGTAGCTTGTGACGATTGCTGTTTCTAGTATCTACATTTGCTGCATATAATCTATTACTGTTATCCGATCTATAAGTCTTGTCATCCGAAAATCCACGGTTTCGCCGGCGTCGGCCATAATAAAAGACAAGAAAACCCAATACAAGAATGGCAGAAACAACAGCGGAAATTGCAACAGCAAGTAGTTTGTGGGAACTGGGTTTTGGTACAGGCGACTGAGGGAGGATAAGAGAAGAGATATTAGCAGGAAAAGAAGCAAATGTAGCAGGACCAGGAGGAGGTGGAGGGGACGGGTAAGAAGGAAAAAATGGAGATTGATTAGGCGTAGTAGTGGCAAAAGGGATTTTGGGAGGGGTTGATGGAGAAGGTGGAGAAGGGGACGGTGGTTGAGATGGAGGAATGATGTCCAGAGGAAAGAATGGCTGGTGGAGGATTCTACGGTTAGGGGTGGTGGAGGATGAGTGCAGGGGTGCGCAGGATAAGACTAACAAGAATGTGATGAAGAAGGTGGAGGATGTGGCGGTGGTGGGCATTGTGGTGGTGGTGTTTCAGTGGAAGAAGATCAGTAGAGTGCGATTTTTTATGTGGGGACTTTAGTGTTTTATTTTCCAGGAAAGTGAAAGAGAAAAGAAAAGGAAAGAAAATCATAAAGGGTTGAATTAGAAGAGAGGAAAAGGAAAGGAAAGTGAAAGAGAAAGTGAAGGAGGTGCATCCAGCTAAGATTCTGCTGGGGTTGTGTTTCTGTTCTTTGGCTACTTCTACTTCTGCTACTTGTTAATTAAATTGTTTAAGTACTAATGATAATAATATCTTTTTCAAAAAATGGCTTTACTTCCTCTGCAGTGCAGTTCCAAAAGTAATGAATAAATATAAAAGAAAAAGTAAATTTATTTACATTGTATGGTAAGAAATTAATAAAATTAATTATTTTTAACATTCTCACATGCACCAAAAAAATAAAATATTTATTTTTATTGCACATTTATATTAATTTGTGTAATTAATAAATTTTTTATTTTATTTATTTACAAGGTTAGGGTTGATTGTTAAAGAAGTAAAAAAAAAAACTTTTTCATAAATAGCTGTCAATCTCAAAATGAAATTAGTCTTATATTCACGTGATACTATTTTTGAAAATTTAAAAAAAATACATATTAAATCTTTTCTATACAAATTTATAGAGAACTTTTATTTTTATTTTTTTTCTTATAAGGAATATTTTTTTTTTTAATAAAACGTTTAGGAATTCTCTCAAAAAAAATTTAAGAATGTTCTTTTTTAAGTGTTATTAATAGTACATAATAATAATAATTGATTGATCCAGTTTGCACTCTTCTTTTAAGTAAAAGGAAACAATAAATATTCGTTAAGAGCTTTTTTAATAGACTAACTTGGCATGAATAGAATTTACAACGTATTTGGTTTATTTATTTATATCAACTGATAACTGGTGGTTGATAGCAGTTAATTGATGCATATTGGTATCCATAAATTTTTAATAGAAATTGCGCATATATATATATATATTGAATTTTTTATTTAATTTATTATAAAAATAATTAATTTTTTAAAATAATTTTAATAAAAATATTTTTAAATAGATAAAACAATGATCAAACAAATATTAATTTAAAATATTAATTTTTTAAAATAATTTTAATAAAAATATTTTTAAATAGATAAAACAATGATCAAACAAATATTAATTTTAAAAAAAAAAATTGTATGAGTAATTATCAACTGGTAACTGGTGGTTGATAGCAGTTAATTGATGTATGTTGGTGTTAATAAAATTTTAATAGTGATTGCATATATATATATATTGAGTGTTTTTTATTTAATTTATTACAAAAATAATTAATTTTTTAAAATAATTTTAATAAAAAATATTTTTAAATATATAAAACAATGATCAAACAAATATTAATTTTTAAAAAAATAATTTTATGCGTAATTATTTTTATGAGGTTAATGAAATCCAAATATAATATAAATACAAATTAATTAGCAGCTATTACGGAAAATTTTTAAAAAATTCTTGGATACGAATCAGTTGTTGATTAAAATGCTTATTAAACACCTATATTCTAGTTATTAGGTAAAAATTGACTAATAAAAAAATAAAATTTCAATCCTAAAATTAAACGTATAAAAGCATTCATTACTAAAAGCAAGTCATTTCGACACTCATCTCCTCTTTTCTTCTCTTCTTATTTTTCCTCGATCATTATCCTTTTTTTCTTTATTTTTCAATTCTTTTACATTTTAAAATAATTCCCATTATATATATGTAAGTTTTCTTAGTGTATGTGACTCTCCTTATGGAAGTGTTTCTAGTATGGAGATTTTTTATTTTTTCTTTGGTTAAGCTATCTGTTTGGTAATAATATTTGTCTATACTCAGTATATTAGATTAGTTATATACCAGGTCAATCAATGAAATATTCAAAAAAAAAAAATTATAACTATTTTTTCAATAAATAATTAGAAATATCTTTGTTCAAATTAAAGAAAGAAAAACTATTTTTGATTTGTTGGGTTGTAATATATACTCTGTTTGTTTCAGTAAAATAACTTATAAGAAAATAACTTGCTGAAAAATATTTTCCAAGCGATTTATTTTCCGTTGTTTGATTATAATATTAAAAATTAGTTAAAAATATTAAAGTTTTTATCTCATAAGACCATAAAAAATAAAAATAATAATAATAATAATAAAATAAAAAATAATAATAATTAATAATAATAATAATAATAAATAATTTTATTATTTAAAAATTTTATTATTAAAAAATAATGAGAAAATATGAAAAAAAAATATAAAATTTTATTATTAAATATGAGAAAAATATGAAAAAAAATATAAATTATGAACGCCGTCGGTGGCTGGTGGTGGTGGCTAGTGGTGATAGCCGGTGGTGAATGGTGAGTGGCGTTAGTAACTACGATGATTAATAAATTAAAAAAATATAGATTTATAAGGTTTATCAATGTCCGAAAATGTTTTAGTTTTTCGAAAATAAAAAGTTATTTTTCTTAAAAAATAAATTAATTTTTCTTTAACTAAAAAAATATTTTCTATTGACTTATTTTTTTAAATGTCCCGGACAATAAAAATTTATAAAAAATATTGTTTTACGCGAAAACAAACGGAGCTATAATGTGCGAATTCTTTCTATAGTACAATAGCGGTTATACATCACGACTGAGTGGAGCAACAGTAAATTCTAACAGACCTTACAAATAATGCTTTATATAAGTGATTTAATTTCATATATGTAAAAATATAATATTTTGATTTTTACTTTATTTTTGTATTTTTTTTAATAATGAAATATTTTTCCTTTGTTCAAAAAAAAAATGCAATACATTAAATCAAATCAAATTAAGCGAATTAAGTCGTCTATAATTCAGTTTGATTTTGAGAAAAATAACAATATTTAGTCTATAATTTTTATTGAAAATAGTTTACCAATTAGTTTTAATATTCATATCAAAATAAATCAAATCAAACTGTAAATTGTATTTATTTATTAATTATACAAAGAATAAATATTTAAATTGTTTAATTATTTTAATTAAATACAATTGTACGACATAGAATTGAATATTTATCAAAAATATATTGATTAATTTTCTTATTTGATCTATACCATGAATATATTGAATATTATTCATTTGAATTAATTTTAGACCTAAAATTTTCGTTTATTTTGAATGATTCTAACAATAATTAAGCTATTCCATTAAAAAAATGACTAATTTCACATTCACTATATGATTATATTTAATTTTTACGTTTAAAATTACCTCGAATTATTAGCCTTGATTAATAATAATCATTATTATTATTATTATTAGTATTATTACGTACGTGAGTGATGTGAAAATGTTGTTTTGCATGGCCATGAAGTGATGTTGGGTCCATTTTTAGCATAAGTCGAAGGAAATCCCTTCTGGAACACTGTGATATGTATTAGCATGGCTATGTATATAGGGACCCACTTTTGTTCTTCCAGAACCTGTTATTGGACGGTGCAGATACATGCAAAAACATATCTAACGGATACCAAATTCCTTCTCACCTAATTTTTACTAAAAGTATGAATTGCTGTTTAATTATAATTATTATTATTGTAGGCGTTAATATTCTAAAAAAAATTATTAAAATATTAGATTAAGTAATGAATTAATATATTCAGATGCTATATACTCTTTATACTTCGTGTTTTTACAACATGAATGGTGAAATAGAGATTTAAATATTATTATTATATCCTATATTATACAAAATAAAAAAAATTAATAAGAAATGTAAATTATAAAATATTTTTCATGCTTTCAATTGTTATTGATCTCTTAAAAAATGTGGATACAAACTTTTAATATTTTTCATATAATCCAAAAAAAAGAAAGAAAAATACTATATTATTTTTACTGATTTTCTATTTTATAAGTTTAACGTAGTTAACAATAGAATTGAACCCTAATCAAAGGGAAAATGAAATTTCTTAGTTGAATTTCAATATCCTCTCCTTTCCACAACAAATTTAATAACTATGTACCTCTTAACATTTCATTTTTCTGACATTTCAAATTTAATATCCGTTGTGTCCTAAATTTAAATTTTTCTAGAATAATTATATATCCAATTAAATTGAAATTTCCATTCGATATTAACCGTGCAGCTAGATATATAATTATACAAGTCATTAGGTTCCCAATATCACGAAACTAAAAAAATTAAGAGGCAAATTTATATATTAAGGGAAAAAAAAAAAAACAACACTAAACTAAAATATTATGATTTGAAAAATATTTATAACCATAGCATAGCATGAATGGGAAATCATATAAAGTCATGAATAGCAAATCGTTCTTCCACCGACAATTACGCCCAAATTAAGGAGTCAACAAAAACGGTCCATCCATTTCTCACCTCGTCGATGCTTAACCTACATGAAATGAAATGACCTCTAACTGTTTCTACCTTTTCATTATTTTATTTTAAATTTAAATGTACACTCCACCACCACAATATGAAACAAAACTTGTTATTTCTTATATCACATGATTTATTTATATAAAAAAACAAAATAGCATATTTTATTTTTACAATATTTAAATGTATAATCTTTTAATTTTATAAAATTAACATTTTGATTTAAAAAATTTACCTCCAAAATGGATTCAAAGAATGGAGTTTTAGGAGGCTATGTGAGGTTCAAAGTCCCCTTTAACTGTGGTTTTTCAAACCATTTGCCTGTCAAAGCCGCAAATGTGGTACCCAATTCAGAGAAATGACAAACTCCCTTTTTTCTTTTCTTTGGACTAACCATAGTTTTGCTATTTTATGAATTAAAAGACAAATTACAAGTGAAGTGGAATGAAATGAGCTAATTTATTTTTTCTTTCTTTGCCTTAATTTCCATAATTTCACTAACTTTCTGTTAATTATCAATTATGAAATGCATTGCCAGTCTCTAAATAGAGGTTGCTGTGAAGTCAACCTCAGCACTTAGGGGAAAAAAAATGATGAACTAAAGTTATTGGTTGCACATCAATATCTAGTGTTTGAAATTTAGTGTAAATAAAGTAGAAAACTATTATGATTTGTTAAGATTAATTTCCTATTCCATCTAGCATCATGCTTCCAATTTTTTATTTTTTTTTAATCCAGTGAATATCTTTCCTCTAAAAATGAATACTATAGTACGTTGGAGATATTATCGCATCGAAGTAGGACCTCTTTTAAATGAATTTTTT